CAATTCCAGTTTGGACTTACTCTATAAGGACTCTAAGACCAGCGCCTTCTTGGGTCGAAGTGGTGGTGCCTAGTCTCTCTTTTTCTCGTAGAATTGTTCTATAGTTCCAATTTTCCTTGTTGACAGAGCCTTCTGGGGGTGAAGCCTGAACGCTCATTGCTGGCGCTGGCATTGGCTCCATCTGTGTCTCGCTACGTATGAATTATTTAGATATAATAATCATTGAACTAATTACATTTTTCACATGAGAAAACAAGGGATGACAGATGTTTCAACTAGTAGTGAAATGAGAGCGTTAAAATATTTTATTTATTCATTTACCTCTGAATTCATTTTTTAAAATATTTTTTTTAAGTTCATATAGGTTTGTGTAAATGTGACAACTTCGGTGGATGAACACTTTTGAAAATTATTCAAGTTAGATGTTGTGCTATTGTTTTGGACTCAAATAGGTGGGAGTGGCTCAAATATACTTGAACAATATTAAACAATATAAAAGGGTGGATACCCTTTGTGTTTTTCGCCAAATGTTTAAATACGCGGAGGAGGGTTTTTGTTGGGGGGAAAGGTCGGAGATCTACGGGAGCAGTACGCGTGGCCCAATCATCCTCTCTGGAGTGTGTACGGTGGGTCTGTCACAGGGTTTGCGCAGTGGGGCTGTGACATCCCTGGACCCTTCTAAGACGATCTCACATGAATCTTCTAATTTATTATACCAATGGCCAGATTTGCAAATGTGGTATGTAAGAGTCAGAAGAATTTCTAAAATCCCGGACAGAAAATGATTGTCATCAAAATTTCCACCCGAGCTCGTGGACCACAGCGGGTTAAGTTCTCGCACCAGTTACAGTAGGCCACTGTTATTGCCCCCACATCCCAATGACAGAGCCTGTATCGGGAGCGGTGGTTCATAAGAACAGGGTCCCTGCAATAAGAACAACCCGCAAAGCCCGCGCCCGGATTTCCCGTTCTCCAGAGCTCCGATTTTGTCCATCCTCATTTGGCGGACCTGGATTTGTCCACACCGAATAAGTACCATTATCATGGGGGCTATCGGGCACTAACATTTATAAAATGGTGGAGATTTAAAGATTATGCTTTTTACGGAGACCTTAAGGCGGGAATAATCTCCGATGCGGCTCCCAGAGTCCGAAAGGGAGGAAGAAGAAGAACGGGAGGGCCATTACGAGGACGTAGGGAGAGTGGCAGTGTGTCAGGGACCGGCCAATGGCGGTTTCCACTTGGGAAATTATCATGTTCACGATATTATTGCGGGCCCGAATATATCAGGCCTGAGCATCCGAAACATCTATTTATAGGCCGCATTCTTAACGTCCACGTACGTCGTCGCCGGTCTGTAGCCGGTTGTGAGTACCGAAGATGCTCGGTTCACGTCCGTGGGCCGGTGCCATGGGCACGGGCGGGCGATGGGTCGCCCACTCGAGAGCTAATATAGAGAAGGCCTCAGACTTCATTCGTCGTTCAAACAAATATAAACAATCGCGAATGAATTCTTTCGCATCGCAGCAGTGATTACAAAATGCTCTTTTGCTCCCACCTTGGCGCTAAAGTATGAATTCAAGTCACTGGAAACCGTCAGTACCGGTTCGGGCCGAGGGAGATGCCACCGTCCGAGGCAGTCTCATCATGCTCTGGTGAGTGGCTGCGACCGGTAGGTGTTGGAGATATGTCTCCAGATATAACGCCACGTCAGAAATGCCCCGCCCTCCCATTCACCGAATAAAACATGTTCCCGGGGCGGGCCGTCAGACGGCGACAAAGAGTGAGGGTCGGACCAGTGGACCAGTGGACCAATGGCCCATTAGCCGGGCCATGGCGACGCGGACGCTGCCCCGCCTCCATGCATGCATGCGCATCGGAGAGGGGCACGAAGGAAAGAAGGACGCAGTTGGAGGGGACGGGAGGGGGGGACGAAGGATGCAGAGAGAAAGGGAGGGAGGGAGGGAGGGCGGGGGGCCAGGAGTTAATGCGCGAATGAATGAAATGATACTATGCGGGATCAGTGCGTCCTGTCCAGAGTATGATGTGATGTTAGCCCACGAGCGAGTCTGAGCTCATGAGCTGAGAGACTCTGAGAGAAGCCTGAGAGCCTGAGAGGCCTGGAGGGCCTGAGGAGGGAGGAGGCGAGGGGAAGATGAAGAAGTGATGGCAATGGGGAGATTGGAGTGTGGGAGTCGTGCGCCTGCTGTACTCCAGAGCCCTTTGGTGACCAGGTCTCAACTTATCTGCTGCCATACGATCTGAGCGGGGGGCTCTGGACGAGCTCTGGACAGTGCAGTCTGGCCTCGACTGAACTGGACAGAGGTCACTGAAGTGAAGTGAGCCCTGAGGAAGGGTCTGTGTCCGAAGTAATTGGAATTTTGAAAGAACTGTACCATGAAATGATTGCAGTGGTGCAGGAAGGAGAGAGAAAGGGACCCGAGACAGAGAGAGGGAGAGTCTCGGAGTAGGCAGTCAGTGAGTTAAGGCGTTCGAATTCTCGTGTTTGGATTGTGTTGGTTCGAATGTTGACTGAGAGGTGCAGGTTTTCAAAAATACCGGTCAATCAGCATGACATAGCGATTGACCAGGTTTTGGTACAAGCGCACTTGGATTCTGGACTTGAATGTTGGGTACTGTTAAATGTACTTATGTGCAGGAGTGTTTGGGATTTCGTACTTGGAAAGGGCAGAATCCCCTACAGCTATGCTCATCATGTCTCACAGAAGTGGCAATTTGTCTTCTCCTTGCAGCGCGAGGAGAGTCCTTCTCAAGTGTTGCGCAACCTTGCCCCTGGAACATATCCTATCAACCTTTTACACCTCGAAGAACTGTCAGGCCTGCGCAGTTACAATGACCAAGACCAAAGTGCACTGAAAATTCAAGACCCTCCAAAATCTCGACAGCTCAGTTGCCACGTTGTAAAAGAGCTGGTGGCCTGACTAAATGTGAAGCTCTCGAGTTTATATTATTGGATCCGCTTCAGTTGAATGGAACGAAAAATCTTCAATCTAGGTCTGAAACTTGGGGTTCACCTTCAAGACCATGGTTTGGAGTGATGGCCTCTAGCATTCAACAGCTGACACCTTTCAGTTTGGTTCCTTCTTAAAGTAGAAAGTTGTAAGAGTTGAGTTGTAAAAGGTGTAAGATGCAAAGCCTACTGAGGCGCACAAAGCCCTCGTAATTCGACATGTAGTAACTGTCTATGTTATGACCACCTTTTAGCGCTATCTACCTTTCTACAGTAAGATTTGATAAAATTCCTGTCCCACATTTTTGGACCGTACTGAGCCAACCCAACCTTCTATTCATGATTCGATCCTACCACAAGCTACGATCGGACGAAAGTTATGTCACTCGCCGCCATATGAGGACTCAAGTTGGGACTCCACCACTAAAAGAGCTATCGCTCTACCGAGTGCGCTGAAATCCCTTGGCCTAAGTAAGCGATGCTCTCATTTTGAGCTAAAGCTGAACCTCTAGGCAGCATTTGTAGTCGCAAGACTTGCACTCGGTAGCCACAAACTCTCTGCTGGTCATTTAATAAATAGCCATGTGCTCAAGTGTATATGCTGCCGGTCAGCGAGAAGGAAGGCCATCGACATACACAAACACGTTCAAGTGCTAAAAGTTACACACTTTGGAGCATGCATGAACTCGGGGCTGATGGTTGGTGCGCTCGATATGAACCTGCAGACAAGGTCGTCGATCATCAATATCATGCTCTGTACATTTGTTTTGATTATTATTTCGTTTCTTATGAGCAGGATCGGCATCATTACATATGTGGATGATGATCCATTGCAGACGTCCCCAACCAATTATACCGTGAGTGATTTTAAGCAAATGGCTGAGGAGAAGTATGCGCCCTGCTCATCATCCTTCTCCGAGGAGTGTACAAATGGAGGGAACGGAATCATTCGAGGCGAGATTTGTGGAAATCCTATGACTTGCACAAGTGATAAATTTCTTTTATAACTTGGAGCTCCGAATTCCGTTAAGATGGAAGCGGAATATTCGTCACACGTTGTCTACAGGAAGGGATGATCTCGTAAGAGAAGTATGAATGAACGAGGATGACAACGAGTGATTGGGTGATTGATTGCTGGAAGAGAGGGAGCTGGGCAAGCGCTGGAAAGTGAAGTATTGAAGAAGAGAAATGAGGACGCCAGTTGATAGACTTTTCCCTTCCCGTCGTCTTCAAACGACGGCGATGGGTTGTTGAAGGGAGAGAAGGAGAGAAGGAGCGATGGAGACAGATAGAGACGGAGTTGTGATAGTCCCATTATTCTAGTCAAGTCAACTCAAGCCAAGCTTACGCAGCCAAATGGCCAAGAATTCTGCTGCGGGTGGGTGCTCCGTAATTCTTGCATTCCAGCTCGAGATGGAGGAATGAGCGCACACCCTTGGGCCTGAGCTTCTTGTGCCGCTCACTACAGAAGAAGATGAAGAGTGTGCAGGAAGAGGCAGCGCAGACAGCCTGGGCCCATCACCCCCACCCCTACCCTCCGACCCGAGTCCCGACCCGACTCGACCGGGCCCATCCCAGGCCAAAGGAGATCGGAGCCCATAAATAAAAGGTGCTTGGTTCACTCAGTGGCCTTCCCGATAAGTAGTAGAAGTGAGGAGTAGTCGAGGGGCCGGAATCAGAAGAATTTCACCCTTTCTCTCTCCCTCTATCTCTCTCTCTCTCTCTCTCGCCATCCCTTGCTGTCGGTACGTGACTGCTGGCACAGCACAGCGAAGCACAGCACAGCTCAGACTCTCAGAGTGATTGAGTATTTGAGATCATTTCCTCGAGGTTGTCTTGTTTACCTGTTTCGTTCTTCGAGGAGGGCACGAGACTGAACAGAACAGAACAGAACAGAACAAAACAAAACAAACAGAACAGAACCGACTGCCGCAGCAGCAGCAGCAGACGCAGCAGACGCAGTCGTCGCAGCAGCAGCAGCAGCTGCGGAAGAAGAAGAAGAAGAAGCACAAGAACAAACTCGAATGCGGAAGTGATCGCCAAGGTCGTTGGGCTTGGGGAGGGGAGGGAAGGGAAGGGAAGGGAAGAGGGAGGAGAGCAGGGGAGGGGACTGGGGGAGGGCAGGGGATGGAGAGAGAGAGAGAGAGAGTGAGTGAGTGAGAGAGTCGAGGCGAGGGTAGGGAGGAGAATGTGGGACGAGACGAGTTCGGTGGAGGACAGTGCGACTGGTGGAGGAGGCGGAGTCGTCGTCCTCGTCGTCGTCGTCGGTGCCACAGCAATGGGCAGGAGGACGTCGGACTCTGGCGTGGGCGCATTGTGCATGGAGGGACAGGAATGACAGAAGCGCAGGATCGAGCATAGGAGAGGGCGAGGGCGAGGCAGGCAGCGAGGCAGGGGAGGGGAGGGGAGGGGAGGGGAGGGGAGGGGAGGGGAGAGAGGTGAGGAGCCAGGCTCCGCAGTCGCGTGGCAGGAGGAGGAGCCATGGGCATGGAGCCCGTCGCAGCGTCGCCCGATCACCAGAAGCAAGCGCACCATCACCAGTCGAAGCAGCAGCAGCAGCAGCAGCAGAAGAAGGCGAGCTCGGAGATTTCCGTGGTCGTGGCGAATGGGAATGCGAGGAAAGCAGCAGCAGCAGCAGCACCGACGAGCGCGAGCAACAACAACTCGGTGGCAGTGTCGCCGGCGCCATCGCCCGCAGCGACGGTGAGAACGCCATCGCCGACGCGCAGGAAGAGCACCGGGAGCCGGGATTCGTTCCGCAAGCCGAGCCTCCCGGCGCGGCCATCGCTGGATGGGAAGTCTTTGCGCCGGGATGGCGCCACGCCCACGCCCTCGAAGAAGAATGTGCTGAGCTGCAGCAGCGACGACGAGGGCGAGGGCGAGGGCCGCCTCAAGCAGGGCCCGTGGTTCCTCAAGCTGGCCAAGTCGTACCACGCGCAGGGCGACAACACGCTCAAGGCCTTCCAGTACGCGCAGCGCGCCATCCAGTGCTTCGAGCGCACGGCCGACGGCAAGGCCAGCCTCGATCTCGTCGTCAGCCTGCACATTCTGGCCGCGCTGCACTGCCGCATGGGCCACTTCGAGGACGCCGTCGGCGCCCTCAAGCGCGCGCTCGAAATCCCCGACCCCGACGCCGGCCTCGACCACGTGCTCGCCACCTTCGCCGGCCACATGCAATTGGGCGACACGCTCGCGCTCATGGGCAAGCACCAGCTCTCGCTCTTCTCGTACCACGCCGGCCTCCAGGTCCAGAAGCACGCGCTCGGCGACCTCGATCACCGCGTCGCCGAAACCTGCCGCTACGTCGCCGAGGCCCACCTCCAAGTAAGTTCTCAATCCTCCATCTTCCGTCCTCTCTCTCTCTCTCTCTCTCTCTCTCTCTCTCTCTTCGTCAGCCCCACGAGCGCTCGTCCAGTGCCTCGCTCGTCGTGTCGTCCGAGAGAGCGAATTCGATTCTTGGCAAAAGCCATTAATTTCTGCACCTCGCTCTTGGGAGGTTCGTTTTTCTCGGGATTTTGTTTTGTTGGTGCGAAGGTGGAGATTCGATTTGCTTTGATTTTCTCGCAATTTGGAGTGTCGAGAAGAAATGGGAAGAAATGGGAAGAAATCGGAATCGCGACTTTTTCAGTCCAGGTGCTCGAGCGCCGACTCGTGGTTCGATTTCTTCCGATTTCTTGTCGAAATGTCCGATTCTTCTCGTCGCATTTCGATTTCGTGCTCGGCCGAGGCCGAATCTGGAATCGAAATCGGGCGGAGCGCAGGAAATTGATGGATGGGGTGGGGGCGCAGGCGATGCAGTTCGAGGAGGCGGGGGAGCTGTGCGAGCTGGCGCTGCGGATTCATCAGGAGAAGAGCTCGGCCGGGAGCGTGGAGGAGGCGGCGGACCGGCGCCTGATGGCGCTCGTGTGCAGCGGCAAGGAGGACCACGAGGCGGCGCTGGAGCACCTGGTGCTGTCGAGCACGGTGCTGCTGGCCAACGGGCTCGAGAGCGACGTCGCGGCGGTGGACGCGACCATCGGCGACGCGCTCTTCGCGCTGGGGCGCGACACGGAGGCCGCGCTCTCGTACCAGAAGGCGGTCACCGTCTTCAAGGCCACCAAGGGCGACGGGCACGCGTCGGTCGCCTCGGTCTACGTGCGATTGGCCGAGCTGTACATGAAAACCGGCAAGCCGCGAGAAGCCAAGACGTTCTGCGAGAGCGCGCTCAGGATCTTCGGCGCGCATGGAGCCGGTCACTCGGTGGAGGACGTGGTGTTCGGGCTGGCCGACGTGGCCGGCGTGTACGAGATGATGAACGAGAAGGAGCAGGCCATCGCGCTGCTGAGTCGCGCCGTCGACCTGCAGGGCTCCGCTCCCGGCCAGCAGTTCACGGCGGCCGGAATCGAGGCGCAATTGGGCATCGTGCAATTCATGGTCGGCAAGTTCGCGCCGGCGCACTCGTCGCTCAAGAACGCCGTGCTTAAGCTCAAGACCGCCGGCGACGGCAAGCGCACCGTGTTCCTGGGCATGCTGCTGAATCAGCTCGGCCTCGCTTGCGTGGAGCTTTGCGAGATCGACGAGGCCGCCGCCACTCTCATTGAGGCCAGGGCCGTCATGGAGGAGGCCTGCGGGCCCCTGCACCCCGACACGCTGGCCGTCTGCAGCAACCTCGCCAGCGCCTTCGACGCCCTCGGCAGGTACATTCATCCTCTGCCCTCTGCAATGTGGATCTGGAATGAATGTGGATTTTGGAATGTGGATTTGGTGATGTGGATTTTGTAATACGGATTTGTAAGAATTCGGGCTCGTGGTGTGGATTCATCGATGCAGGACGCACGAAGCGATCAATCTGTTGGAGATGATTCTGGAAGTGAAGGAAGATCGGTTGGGCACGATCCATCCGGAGGTCGAGGATGAGAGGGAAAGGTTGACAGTTCTGCTGAACGAAGTGGGTCGGTCGAGGAAGAGGAAATCGAATACTCTCGAGGAATTATTGTCAATGGCCAAATTCGAAAGTGCGAGGCACTAGAATAATTTTTTTCTTTTTGTAGGAACGAAGTGCGCGGACTCATTCACTCTTTCACCCACACGGCACTCCAGCAGCAGGCCACTAGCTCTCGATCTCATGTCAGGCCTCGTGGCTCATCAAAGTAGTGACTTATTGAAATTATCCTCCCAGTAGCGAAGATGATGATGATGAGGAAGAAGGTGAAGAAGAAGAAGAAAAAGAAGAAGAAGAAGAAGAAAGATCTCATACTGGATCACCGAGCGTCGCCCGCAGGTGGTCGAGCGTCGAACTCACTGACGTAGAAAGAAGGTGGTGGACCTGGTAGTAGGATTGTTGGATACACTTGGGATTGCTGGCGCTGCTCATGATTATCGGGGTTCTGGATTACGAAGTATCCGAGCAGACTTGAGTCGGTGCATCTTCAAGAAAAAAATTTGAAAGAAAAGGTGAGAAGCCCTGGAGCCATGTTCGCACCGTGGCAACGCTGAGGCTCATGCATAAACATGATAGAAAATTAAAACCTTCCTTCTCGGTCTTGCTTGGGTCGAAGAGCACAGCATGTGAGAATGGATCGGGTGTGCAATGTAAGTCCAACACTACGAGGATCCACGCAGTGGCAGCGGCCTCGTTCTGTCCCTCCATTGGCCTTGTACCAAAGTACTCTTTATCCTATATGGGTTGCTCTTCTCATGGAGGGTGTAGCGTAGTGATGAACTTCAGTGTATACTAAATGTAAGAAATTCTTATTGTGTGATAAGTTAGAGTAGAATTCTTTCTAGTGCACTCGTTGACACTGAGACGAAGTCGAGGTTCAGGTTAATGGCAGACGACAATCGTAAAAGCTTAGGAAGACGATTCTTGTAGTTCGCCTATCAACGTATTTCACTATTCTGCATAGTAAGCTTTGTTCTTATGAATTACGCTGTCATCTGGGTGTGCCGAGCACAACCTTTCAGAGGCCCTTTCTGTAGAATAAGTTTTTGCCCATTTGAAGGCTGGACGTATTCCGCTGTTTGCTTTGGAGAGCCTACGGGATCGCCTCTCTCATCCAGCAGCACTACAATGATGTTTCAGAGTGCTGTCAGTTCACATGCTGCTGTGTAGAGCTATGAGGGGTTTGTTGCCACCTACCCCTCATAGCTGGAAATTTTGTGTACATATCATAGTCTTCTATTACTGGAGAAAACGAGGAGATTTGATTGGGACCCATTGAATTCCACATGACTGTCACTCCTCCTCTTGACTCCGCACGCAACAGGTGGACCGGAATCCAGATCCTTCGTGCGAAGGGAAGGAAATGCTTCCAAGATGCTTGAGTTGTGTTCTGTACTCGAGTGTACCTTACTCGGAGACAAGCTTGCAATGTCCTCAGTACCTGCACTACGGCCATTGTCGCAAATGTACTCGGAGTTAATGCTCGGCAGATTGTGAAGGACCACAAGCGTTCTGGGCTGGAAACACCCCTCGGACGCAATTTCTTAGCGTCATTATAGTGCGTACTGTCCTAGAGGGGCCCGACGTTGCGTGAGGCTCTTGACTTTGAGTGTACGCTCCGCTTAGCATTGACAGAATTGAAGGTGCAGCAGGTGTACCGAAACGACCTTCCCCGTCTTAAAACAGTTCCAGTGGCTCATGGTTTCAACGGACTCCTCTAGGTCTGGGTTGCCATTGACAAGTTGTCAATGACAACACCTTCCTGACTCGTGGAATCGACATCCGTTCCTGCAGATTGTGACTGGCGGTCATCCACGTTAAACACCGTACACCTTCCTCTTGCACGTAGCCCAAATTGGTCTCCCCTTTGAATAATCAATAAAGTTGTATGCAAGTCGTCTGCGGTCAGGCGCGGGACAAAATCGGCGTTTGGTGTCCATTGCCAGCACGCGTGGAGCTGTGCACAGACCAAGAGCATCTCAAATGTATCGCAGGTCGGAGGATGTTGAATGTGTGAGCTGACTCTTGTCTACTTCCCTGATTCTGACTTCGCTTTCCTTCCACCTTTTCCCATCTATGGAAGATCTCTGGCACTAAGCACACCCTCGCCAGCTGTAGGCATGGCTTTTCACCATCACCGGCTGCCGCAACTGGTCGAAGCTGGATCCCACCCCTGTGCATATGCACGCCCATGATTGGACCCGAGGGCTAGTCGTACATAGCCACGGTGCACTCACCGATGCCAGCTCGTTAGGCGCAAAGAACAGACAACTCGTCATCTGCAACCTGACTCAGATCTCCACTAGGTCCACCGGAGGTGGGATCGGATTTGTTCCAAAAGGTGTGAACAGCAAGCACATCGAGCAGCGGATGCTCCTGCTCTTGCGAAGACAACCGCAGCACCATAATTACTCCCCGGCCTACTGGACCGGGCCGGGATCCGAGCACCTCACTTGCATGCGCAGCAGAGAGCTATGGCCGCCGTGTATTGCAGGAGCTGCTGTCCAATGTCACGAAATCGGGGAAGAGATAAGGAGAATCGCATCGCGTTCAGAGAAAGAGCACACTTCACGTGCGCCCGGCAAGAAGATCGAAGTCCGCCAACTGCCCCCACGTTTGATGGAGGTCGAGGGTTTTCGGCATCAGAACCCACAGCAACGAAGGTGAATGCAGGAGAGGACCATCGCAGATTCAGCCGTCGAGTTGTCTGCCGATATAATGCTCCCACGGTCCAACCTGTCCTAGCTCGAGAAGCAGAACTTCTCCTTCTCACTGTCCCAATCCTGCTATCCGTGGCCGTCGCTGCTGCTGAGGAAGAGAGCGCAGTGCACCGTAAGCTCCAATAAACAACTTCTGCCAAACACTCGGACTGGGTGCCGATTGAACGGATCCACTGCCATGCTCTAGACAGCTTGCTAGCTAGCTTCCTGTATGGGCGGGGCTGACCACGCCCCGCTACAAGGACCGAGCCATCTTCTACACATCTTCCAGGTCTGATCTCCGTGTACACGATTGTGCTCTGCTTCTTATCATTGACTATCTGGTTTGCACACATCTGTCGTGAAAAGCCTGGCAAATTTCAGATCTTGGTACGCGACTTCGACTGTCCCTCCCTCCCTTCCAAGCTGGAAAGCTCTCACTGGCTAGAGTGTATCACCAGATCGGATGATTGCGTATCACGCATCTTCTTCTCGGACTTCAGACATTAATGCCACTCCGGGCGGTACGTGATCGTCATAAGCAGTATGAGCATCGTCACTGTATGAGCATCTGTCACATGGTCCAGTCCAGTAAGGAAGGCTAGGGGAGTAAGGCCCATAGTCGCTAGAAATGTGTCCACGAACTCGTCCTTCTTTCAGTGAAGAACTCATGAGTTTCGGTCGACGGTCCTTGCTGAAACCCGTTCTCGCTACAATGGAACATACACAAGTACTAACATGAGGGAAGAAACCGACAGAAAGCAGATGGAATGCCAAGAACCCACCTCGTCTGCAAAATGCTCATACTCGGTAATGTATGAAAGATTTCAGTGCAAGGAACCTATCACGAGCTGTGCACTGCAGTTCAACCGCGTGCCTTACATGCTTCATAATGCATACATTTGACCAATCGGTGAAGACTTCCAACACTTATGCTTGAAACTAGTAGAGATCTGTGTACACATTCTACACCTTAAACGCACAAGGGATGGGATGTAGGTTTGTACTAAATGATACCTCGTATTGTGGAGGCCTTTTTGTAACGAGGTTTGTGCTCCTCTCGAATCAGCTCCGTGGTCACTGAATAAACATTTTAGTTTCTTCACAGCCATCTGTGAAGAAAGCGCAAAACTCTTTTATACTTTCCGAAGAGAACAGCACTATTGCAGCTGGTCATGTTCCGTCGTTTCTGTTGTAACGGAGATCAGATATTAAGTGTTCCTTGCCGGCTAACCTCGAATTGTGGCAAGCTTTTGCCCTCATTGGTTCGTAAGGCAAATAATTTGTTCTAGAACGTATCGATATCAGGCCGCAAGCCTTCGCCGGACATGACTGAAATGACAACCAAAATTTTCGTCCACACTGCGTTCAAGATGATCGAACTACGATAGCTTTCGAATTCCCGGCAAAGGACTAATTGTTTAAGCCGGATTTTGGCAGATAAAGAAAGCAATTCCTTACAGCTCTTCAAACAAAACTCAAGACACTTCTGAATGTCCTTTATATCAGGTTCGACACATCTGTCAAGACAGGATTTTAAACACTAGATACCGCGCCATTTCTTAAAAAGTGACCTTGCCGACGATGTGAACGCATGAATACAATATGGTCACGTACAAAAATCGGTGGGAATTTCACGTATAGGATAATATGCTCAACAGTCCAACTGTATCCGGTTGTGAACTCAACAGTATATCTGTACTCGTCCAACCTGACTGGCAGATGGTGGTGCGCAAAGTAATGGAAATGATCTTGAATCATACTATCATCAGATAACTGCCACCCGCTTCCACCAAAATTGTCAATCTTACGAAACGGCATGCAGATGATTTCCTGCACGGGTTTACATGCCTTGATAAAATCGGAAGTTGGCCTATTAATCTCCCTGTGTGCTATTTGGCACACAGTTTATTTGACTGAGGTTCGTACACTCGTTCCATTCGATGGTGTGGTCTTCGAAACTACGTACTCAAGGCGACATCATAACCTAGGAAACAAAACATGCCTTGAAGAAGAAGACACATATAAATACATTCCCATACATCACCAATACAAAACAGTTTAGATTACAGTGTGAGGAAATTCATCGGCCGAATATAATACATTTTAGGCAAAGCCACGTACTCAATGAACCAAGATGCTACTGGTTCTCCTAGACTAATCGAATCGAATCGAACTGAGAATCTATGAATTGAACTGATCAGCAGAACTGCTAGCTGATCATGGGTGTTGGTTTCCTAAGCCGTTGCAGAAGGTAGGCTGAGAGTCAGGTGTAACACCATGGCTACCATAAAAATGAGGATCGGAGTTCTACAACGAGGTCTGTCAAAACTAGGAGAGGAGAAAATCTGTACCTGAGATTAATGGTGAGATTTCTATCTCCTATCAGTTTTTCCTGTGCCTCTCTTGCCAGAGAACAAGTGCTTGGGTTTGAGGTTGACGATGGTTCTGTCAGCCTCTCCCTTCTTCGCATCCTTGTTCCTCTGTCTCACGGCCTTCTTTCCGATCTTCATGGCCTTCACCTTCTGCGCAGAATCCTTGAAACCTTCACCAGGACGCACCTCCGACAGCGGGCGAGTAGTGGACCGGGATCTGGACCGCAGGCGCTTGCTGGGTTGATCGACATCCATGGCATCACCGCCTTCAGAAACAGCTGACCTGTCTCGCTTCCGCCCACGTCTGGAAACAGACCTGCTCCGAGCTCTTTCCAGGGCGAGAGTGGGGTCCAATCCAAGGCTCGATAGATGTCTGCCCATTCTACCTGCAGTAAATTCCTGATCCCTGTCGTGCTTCCTCGGTATGACTGGGTTGTTGTCAGCAGTCCTCTTCTTGCGCCTGTGCTCTTCCAGCAAAAGCTTCTTCTTTTTCCTGATTGCAGCAAGCGCTTCCAACTCCTCGGGACCCAACTCGTCCTCGTCCATCTCGACCTCGCCTTCCGCTTCGGCAGCCGCCTCCCTTTCCTCTTCCTCTCTTTCGAGCTCCTCGAGTCTCAGAAGAATATCGGGGTCGATGAAATCGGCGATGTTGTGACCATCCATAATTTCAGGAACGATGTCATTCTTCCAGTCGTCGTCGGCCAGCATGTAATGCTTGACAAGACTGGCAGAGTACACTCCTGCGCCTCCGTGAGCATTTTCCAAGTCTTTCTCAGTCTGTTTGCGGGTTGCCACTTGCTCAGTGATCCTCATCTTCGCTGCCACGCCCTCAGGGATGCAAGGAGGCCTCTCCTTGTGATCCCTGACACGAGGAACAGCGACGTGCATCCTGTTCAAGACATCGTTGATCTTCTTCGACTTCATTTTCACCTCTACACGGTGCTGGAGAAGCTTCTCACAGGCTGCATTCTTCACTCCCATCACGCCCTCGTCTGTAAGCGTGCTCATGGTCAGCAAGCACTCCTTCGCCTCCTGCGAACCGTCCAAGAGCATCAGAGAAGAGGTCTGCGCAGCTTCCTTGGCAATCTCATCTAAAAGGCGTCGGTCCTCCTCAGGGAGAGTCTCCATAGGCTGCAGGTCAGTCTTGTTGCAGGCAATGATCAAGGGTTTATTGGCGAACAGGGGTTTAATGCTCTGAAAGAGTGCGGCCTGCTGTTGAATTGTGTATCCGCAGGCGCCAGACAAATCCATCACGAACAAAACGGCTGCTCTCAAATGCACCAGAGCCATGATACTGAGCATCTCAATGGTATTACGATCCTCCAAAGGATGATCTAGAATACCAGGGGTGTCGATCACCTGCCACCTCAAGTACTTGTAATCTGTATGCCCCACAAACAGAGATTTCGTAGTAAATGCGTAGGGTTGCACGTCGACATCCGCACGCGTAATCTTGTTAATGAAGCTACTCTTTCCCACATTCGGGTAGCCACAAATCAGTAGAGTCCTCGCATTGGGATCAATCGAAGGTAGACGAGAGAGATGCTGCCTGACTTGCTCCAAATAGGCCAAACTCGGGCTCACACGCTTCATGATCGTGCACATACGACCAAGAGCGGCCTTTTTAAGCTGCTTGCATCTATACAGAGAATCTCCATACTTCAGCAGTCTCACGTAATCCTTGCTAATTTTCTCTACCAAATTCCTGGCCGTATGAAGCTGACCTAACGCAAGCTTGTAGTGATCCTTGTCGTACAGCACATTCATCAGATCTCCGTAGAAGGGATGGATATCATCAAGGCGAGGGAAGTCCTCCAATATCGTGGACAGCTTCTCGTGGAAGTTCGACTGAGTGAACTTCACCTTGCGCATGTAAAACTGACGAATCCTGGTAATGGCATAACCTTTATGCACCACAGTCGGCGTCTGCCTCTGCGTCCTCGACAAAATGATGTCGATGAAGTCCTTGCCCGAAGGCACCACCGTAATCTTCTTGAAATTGTAGAGCACCATGATTGCTCACTGTAAATCCCAGCTCAAACTAATACTCAAAGTCTCGGACGAATGGACGAATTGTCGACCTGCGAAATGTGCTGGACCGCTACTTCGGCCGTCGCATCTCCGCTGGTTCGCACAGCAGCAAATCGAATTCCCACCGAACGAATTCGAGAGCCCGCACGAATTCGGGCCTCCTTCCGACCGCGCACCACCTCTCTGGAAATCCTCGCGGGCTCTGGAGGAAAAAGGCCGAGCTCCGTGTCAGTGACGCGAACTCATTCGTTAGGGTTCAATCCTGAAGCAATTAGGGTTTCGACATTTTCGTCCGTGCCGAAAATAACCAAAGTCCTTGCCCGGTCATGAAAGCGCAGCTGCCGGGCTCCGCGAACTCGGGAGCCGGTGGCCCAACCGTTGAAACCGGTGCTAGGTTTGGCTTCTTCTGCAGCCATGTAAGGTAATTGTCACATTATTGAATAAATAGATGGAAAAGCTTTTCTCCCCCTTGTTAAGTTCAAACTGCTCATTTTCCACACATAAGAGAGGAAGAAAGTTTGATGTTTAATTTAATTATCTTTAAATACAGTTTTCAACCAGCAATTGACGCTCGGTTTCACCTCACTAACTGCGTCATTCCCCCAAGCGCAAAGATATATGAATTAGAAGTATATAAATACTTCTAAATAATATATATATACTATATATATAAAAGTATCATACTATTCTGAATTGAAATGAATTATTTGATGGAACCTGTGGAACTCAATACACTTGAAAGACCAACAGGTTTTAGTTTACTCAATACACTTGAGGGACCTGCAGGTTTTAGTCTATACGATGGGACCCATCGACGGCCTGCAACCCCACCGGCAATGATGTTCCAGTACTATCTGGGTTTTTTCGAGTAGAAAGAAATCACCGTTCAGACTCATGGTGCCCGTCGTTTTAGACATGGCTGCAAACGAGTCGCCAAGTTACTCTCGCTCGACAGTGGTGGACACTCTGCAAAGGAGTCGCCGAAATACTCTCGCTCGACAGTGGTGGACACTCTCCACTTTATAGAGCAAATCAATAGATTAAAAGAACATGGCTGAGGGTGGCCAACGAATGGGTCCCATCGGGAAATTGATACCGGTTGGGTCCCTTCAAGAGCGTTTCCAAGGGGTCCATCAAGTAATTTCCTTTGCATCTACAAGCTTTGTACATTTTGACATACGAATTCTACAAGTTGTTATCTGTGCTCTAACCAAGGTACAATACGTAGTAGCATGTCTCCTTAGGAGCCGCTTGAGGGTATTTAAATCCCATGGATTACTTCTAGCTTTTTTCCTTGCAAGGTACTTCAACTAACTCGGTGTCCAGAAAGTGTGTCTTAAATACTTGGCACAACATTCTCCTCATGCAGACAATCTTCAGAATGTTTATCCGTGTGCTTAAATTGATTGACTAAATATGTTCTGCAAGTAAGCCAGTTGAGTTCCATGTGAGATGAAGATCGTTGAAATTGATCTACCTCAGATAACAGATGTGATGTGTACTCACTTGACATTACATGTTCATCACCGATGCACATCTACAATTCCAGGTCACCATTCCGACTCAAACACTGAAACACAAAGTGAAGTGAAGTGAAGGGTTTAGGTTTAATGAAGGGTTTAGGGCTCGATAAACTCGGCTTCTTATACTCATGAAATGTGAGACAAGAAATTGTTGAAACGGGATAAAGTTATGTGATAATTTTCTCAAAGTGCTCACTACGTCAGAAGTATGCTTCATAAACGTAAATGTTCATGGAAGCTTAGTCCAAAACGAGCTCTGCAGCATCCCCATTACATTCAGGACTAAAATCTATGGACACGTGCTGCAAATTTCCAGTTTTGCTCAAAATTACGCATTGTCTATCTTCCACAAACAAATAATATTATTAGCTTCGCTTAGAAGTAGAGCAGTGCCGAATATGAGTGACAACTGCAAAGTGCATGCTTCAACACATACTCCATTCCACGACCTCTGAGGAAGTTCAAGGAAGCCCGGTGGTAAGCAATTAGTTGGGCCCTGTGAGGACGTGAGCCCTGGGGGTACTGGAGATATTAATACCAAACTTATACCGAGCAAACGTTTTCTACACACGTCTTGGCCGGGAACGAATGGCGAGAAATGTGAGTCTGTTCGATTGGTGAATCAAAACTATCTGAATTAAATCAATTTCTAATGTGAAGATAGGGGCCTAGCCTAGGCCAACACGTCTCGGGGAATCCCTACTTCAAAACCTCGTTCCAGACTTTTCGTTCTGGAAGTAAGCTTGTAAAAGATATCAATGGAGTAGCTTTCGCCCGGATCGACAAACGAAGGCTTCACGGGCACTGTGATACAAGTACAATGTCAGTTTACTATGCTAGAAATTTGAGAAGTCATCAAAATTGTTTTAAAAAAAGCTCCAGTGCACAAAACTCAGGCCTCAAATTTACTCTCGTGAAAAATATGATCCACAGAATCGCCATCTTATAGCATTCCGTGGAAATGGTGAGTCATCGCAGACCGTTGACATCCATAAAGCTTGAACTGGATATCACGTTCATCTCAAGCTCCGAAACTACGACAAAATACATTTCAAATATGTCAACAAAACAAGTCTTGTAAAGTTATCGGTTAAAAGGTGCAGCAACAACACGAAACCTCTTACTGACACCTGCAGGCAGATTACATATTCCATAAGAAAATTCAAAGTGCAAAATACATGAAAGGATTCGTAACTCTGACGCTTCCTCGACTTTGCAAGATGACCTTCATCGCTCGACGTATGGCCGTACCTTTCGAAAACCGCCCGAAGATAATGGGAGTCGCGCCGCAAAGTCATTTCTCGTGAAACCTAAACTACATCAACATCACTTTCGCAGAAGAAAATGCATGTTTGTACACCAAGAACGACGTCATGCCTCATGCCTATTCCTCATCCTCATCATCTTCGTCTTCTTCGGATGCTTCCTCGAGCCACTGAGAAGTCAAGTAGATCATAACATAACACCTGATCAGTAACAAGCGTGACGGCTTCTGATACTTTCACGTCCCAGTAGATGGAAACTATCTATCTAGAGTATATATAAGCTCTTGGAGTATATTTCTCGTTTTTTTTCTGCATTTCGAATCAGGCATAAACTGCCGTCAAAGGACAAAGGTTTGGTAAATAAGCCAACTCTTGGTCTCGATCAAACATAGATGAGATGAAAAATGGAACCAAATGCGCTTCAGATATTGACGACAAATTACCTGAATGAATCTCTCACACTGTTTAACAAATACTTTATCTGATTCATCAGCCTGCTGTTTTTCTGAGGCCCATGCAATGATTGCCTCTTCAGATATGACGTCTTTGTCATACAATTCTTGAAGGACCTGGTGAACAAGGATTCTTGTGAGGTTAGGGGACATCTAGCTACAATACTTATGTCGAACGCAGAGGCAAAAACACATCGGATCTACCTATTAATGATATGACAAAGAATAATAACAAAAGTAGTTATTGGTTCCTGCGTTCTTCAAATTTCAAGGCTTACCGAAGCAAATATGGGAGCAAATTCCCTGTTGTCTTCTACACAAATTTCTTCAAACACGAGAAGCACTTCCATCTGTGACGATTCGAAAGTGCAGAAGTAAGTTTGAGTTAAACAACTGATGTTTGCAGAACTTATATTTTACAACAATATCGACTTTACATCCATTGCATTCGATTACTCCGATGTCACACTACGGATCCGAGAAGGCCAAAACTGCAGGTTGATTACATAATTGTGAGTCCTTCCCGATAATGCACAAGTCAAAGTCCAGTTGACGAGGTCAATTGTTCACTCACACACCACATATCACCATCTCGGCCCATTCTTTACCAAATTTAAAGAACCCATTAGGACAGAACTGGTTTTCGTACCTCATCATCTTGAGATTTGAGAAACCTTCTGAGCAGAGGTCCCCATTGGACTACAACTTGCCTGCAGTTTTGAAGTAAGTCTCCTGTTGAAGATTATAGAATATGGGTTAGTTGACGAAAGAGGGAAGACTGACAAATCCAGATCTTGTGGCATCCGCGAAGCACTCTAATTGCGCACTCGTGTCAATTCAAAGAAGCAAATAAAGGGCTTGACCGAGGTTCATAAACTGCGATGCTCAGGGTGCAATTCTTCCTGTGTACAGTTTAGCCAAGCCAGACCATAATTAGGCTGCAACAGCCAGCATAATTACATTTATGTGAAAGAGGGGGAGCTCGAGTTGTAAGACTCGACGTACTTGACGTTGTATGAGGGCGTTCTGAAGCAAGATTTAGCAAGGCTGTAAACATGGCTCCAGCACAATCGGAGAACGAGCGGTCATATGCAAGCCTGCCACATCCATAGAATGACATTATTGTCGAAGTAATTGACATTCTAATTACTTTTCCTAAAGAAACCCATCTCAACGCCAGCTGGCTCGCTTTCAAGAAACAGATAAAGCACGTCAGTGCAACTCCACGACTGCACCATCATAAGACTCCGTATTCCTAACCTTCTCATGTTTCAGCGCATACACTAGTTCGCGTATCTTTGCTCCACACAGGACAAACAAACTTCTCGATATCGAAGTGCAGAAGACTTACTTTAAGGAGTTGACCTCCAACACAACATGATCTTCATGCGCGCCAGCCTCGCCGGTCACAGCTCTCCTAAAAAGGGCCTCAACCTTCATTGTGTTTGCCAAATGGGTTAAGTACACAGACTGAAGAAAATCATCATACTACGAACTTCTTCGGATTCGCCCAAGTAAAACTCTCATATTGTAACTCTTGTAATATCAACTTACATGATCTATCAGGGCTCTGTTTTTGTTCGTTAGAGCACACAACATGTCTACAACAGCAATGTACAAAGATCTATACGAGGAAAAAGTACATGATCGGTTTCATACCTCTTTGTCAAAGAACGCACTCTCATCTTCTTCATCTGCTTCATCATCATCAACCTGCTCTGCAATATTGTCATTCGTTGAAGACGCCGTCATATCCCGTGCGTCATCTTCAAGCTCACCTTCTTCCTCCCTCGCTACAATTTCCCGTATCCTTTCAGATGGAATAGGGGCCACAGAGTGCCTCCATTCTTCGTCTTGACCGGCAGACCAGTTACATCCTGCACCTGCTATTCCCACCTATATAACAAGTAGAGGAACCAACTCTTAATACAGGGAACGCATAAATAATGACCAATTCCATATTTCATTCTAGTCAAATAAGACTACATATGGCATTCTTAAAGAAATTCAGTATCAGAAAGGCTGTCGCCAAGAGCGAGAGGTTAAGAGCTGTATTGTTCTCAAGAGAAGGTGTCTCTTCAAAAGCAAGGAGTGCCAGAAGGACTTTTATTCCTGGGAAAAGTTTCCTTCCGAGGATCATAGGTTCCACACATCAAAATAAAACCTTGGAAGTTCCCTTTGACTGTATTGGGACTCACCTCCGAAGGATCCCAGCGAGGGCTTTCAGGAAGCTCGTCTCCACCATGAGCTGGGGATCCGTTTACAACACGTCCATCTGCATTATGGAACACCTTTAGTGAATTAGTACTGAATCCACGTCTATTTCCCCTAAAAAGTACGACCGTGTTTACCCTGACGAAAAATAAAACAGAAAAGTAAAGCGAGCAGTAGCTGAAGTAACTCGTTTATTTGAAGCTCAGGTGAAGTGTGTCCTGTAGAAAAAGCACAACAGTAACATCGACGTACTATAAACTTTTGGCTAATCTTAAAGGTGTCCCTTGCTTGATTATCTCTGCACTGGACTAGTAAAAGAGACGAATACAAACGAGGCGCCACAAACCGTAGAAAGGACTAGGAGGACTTTCGGCAACACCGCTGGCAGCTTCAGCATATTCCAACTCTTCATCGCTACTATCCTCCTCAGGCCGCTGACGGACGAGGGAAATCTTGGAGTAAGCTGGAACTGTGAAATTTTCTCCAATCACCACCTGCAAAGTGTTAATTCAAGTTTATTGTCTTTAAATTTGGGACCTAATGACTGTCTTATCTCATTATCTCTTGAAAACTGTAATTAGAACACTTGTAACATTTTCATGCCTTGCGGAAATCAGACCGGGAAAGGAGTTAGAATAAAGGTGCTAGAACTCGAGTCCCATCCAGACTTTGTGAAGCTCTTGACAATTTTGCACTTGGATATTACGAGGCCTATATACCGTTTTAATTCAAGAAAACTTTGGCAGCGCTCCTTACTTTAAATGAGAGAAGAACCCCGGGCTCAATGATTGCACCCGACTTCAATACGACCCCGTCACAAATTACAGCGTGACGAATTTGAACATTGTCACCCACTGTTACATTGTTCCAAATGTGGCTCCCTTCGATGTTAACATTACTTCCTATGGTGCAACCTCTTCCAATCACTGAATTTCTCACGATGCTCTTGTCACCGATCGAAGTCCCGGTGCCAAGCACTGTACTCGGGCCAATAACGGTCGTAGGTGCCAGTACAACTCCTGGATACCAACAGAAGTTCTGAAGTGAGATTCTCAAGTTCTATTAACTGCATCCTCTTCAAAGCGGCTATCTGACGGTACATAATTGGCAGTTCAAGAGTGCAGGACTCAATGCAGTAAGTAGTCACAGTCTTTGACAAGCAATATTCTTCTCACCTAGTTGTAACATGTCATATTCAGGCCCAACGTCATATTCAGGCCCAACGATTGCTACGAAGACAATACATCGATGTACAAAACAATCGAGATAGTTTCAAGACTTACTGATACAGACTCGTCATCTTGTCAGTACTTGTTACGTGTTACTCACCATCTTCCTTATATATATTTGAGCGCCCAATCTTGATCCCAGTTTCCGGGCTTGCAAATCGAATATCGGGAACCATTGGATAGGTCCATCTATGAATGATGTCCTTGCTCACGACATCATAGGCCCGCATGTTGTCTATGCGAGCAGCATAGTCACCGAAGATTTCATGTGTGTATATTTTATTTCCCATAACCTTGTAATGAACACGCACATCCGTGGTGAGAACGTGATCAAGACCATGAAAGAGGCATGCTCATAAAGCACCACTGTTATTATGCCACATAACAAAGTCGAGGTCGACAAACACCGCAGTGCGGAAAACTAGTAATCTTGCTGTCTTCAAAACGCCACCAGAAAGAAACAAACAAAATTAAATGAAAGATTTGAACCCACTTGATCACCACAGAATCAGTTAGACTTCTCACGAAAATCGTACACCAAGTTTCACATCCATGTATATCAGAGAATAAAAGCTAGTGATCGAAAAAGGCCTCATCCTCTTAGATCTGAAAATTTACAGATCAATAAATTCAAGCAATTGAGTACCTCATCGCTGAGGAGTCCCTTGACGAAGTCACGACGTAGGTGTTGGTAGTCGAAATTATCAGTGAAGAGTAGAAGAACCTCGGGAGAGCAAATATCGATGTAGCAATCCTGAAATAAAATAGTGCTTGTTACGGAAAGATCATATTTCCTCCTCGTGTGTTACTATAACTTCTTTGTTTTACTTATAAAATGTTCGGGTCGAGTTTCCCTACTTGGACAACAGAGTAAGTCATAGGCAATGCACTATATCAGGCCCGTACACTTGGGACCATTGTCACGCTGAGAACTTTAAGTGCGTGCGCTCGTTACGGTCACCGGGTTGAATCTGGATAGCATCAGGTCTCAGCTGATCAACAAGTTTATTGAACTACTTCTCTACGGCTTCTCTCAACATAAATAGATACTGAGTAAAAACAACTTGTCTTGCTGCAACTTTTCAATATCAAAGCGAGAACGTACGAGAAAAACAAGGTAAGCAGCCAAACCTGAACGTCTAAACAAAGTTGCACAGCAGGTCTATCTGCAAGTATCGAGCGCTCCAATACAACTTGTCTTGCTAGGGTTTGCTGTCTCGCGCTCTCCCTCCCACCAGCCTCTTTCAGGGAATCGAAATGCAGCAGCTGCTTTGTACTTGGATCAATTACCAAGAGAAGCTCTTCGTTTCCCAAACGTGTTTGATGAATTAGAGGGTGAGGTTTCGACCTCCGAAAAACCATGGTCATAACAGCCAGCTTGTCCTTCCTCCTTCTCTCTTGGTGTTCCTTGAGCACCTCCTTAAGAGACATATTGCTCACAGTGTCGCCACTGATAAGGATAAAGTCTCCTCGAACCTGTAGAGAGCAACCCCACTCATATGTGAAAACCAAAATACAAGACAAGGAGGGAATTCCACCAGATCAGCAGCGATTGATTTTTGCTGGTAAGCAGTTGGAGGACGGCCGCACGCTAGCCGACTACAACATCCAAAAAGAGTCCACCCTCCACCTGGTGTTGAGATTGAGGGGAGGTATGCAGATCTTCGTCAAAACCTTGACTGGTAAGACGATCACTTCGGAGGTTGAGAGTTCCGACATCGACAATGTGAAAACCAAAATTCAAGACAAGGAGGGAATTCTTCTAGACCAGCAGAAATTGATTTTTGCCGGGAAACAGCTTGAAGATGGTCGGACACTCGCCGATTACTACATCCAAAGGAATCTACCTTGCATTTGGTCCTGAGGCTGAGAGGAGGCATGCAAATCTTCGTTAAAGCCCTCACGGGCAAGACCATAACTCTTGAGGTGGAGAGCTCTGACACGATTGACAACGTGAAAACGAAGATTCAGGACAAGGAAGGCATCCCTCCAGATCAGCAGAGGTTGATTTTTGCCGGAAAGCAACTTGAGGATGGGAGGACGTTGGCCGACTACAACATCCAAAACGAATCTACCCTCCATTTGGTGTTGAGGCTGAGAGGTGGTGTGCAGATTTTTGTGAAGACATTGACCGGTAAGACCATCACTCTTGAGGTTGAGAGCTCCGACACGATTGACAACGTGAAGACCAAGATTCAAGATAAAGAGGGCATTCCACCAGACCAGCAGCTTTTAATTTTCGCTGGGAAGCAACTTGAGGACGGTCGTACCTTGGCCGGCTAAAACATCCAAAAGGAGTCTACCCTCCATTTGGTCTTGAGGCTGAGGGAAGGAATGCAGATTTTCGTGAAGACCTTGACTGGTAAGACCATTACTCTTGAGGTTGAGAGCTCAGATACTATCGACAACGTGAAGACGAAGATTCAAGACAAGGAGGGAATCCCCCCAGACCAGCAGAGGTTGATTTTTGCAGGAAAGCAACTCGAGGATGGAAGAATTCTAGCGGATTATAATATCCAAAAGGAATCCACTTTGCACTTGGTGCTCCGTCTTCGTGGTGGCCAGTAAATCCTTACATTCACATGGATCTTTTGTTAGATCAATCGTTGTACCAATGTGCGCTATTATCTCGGAGTAGCTCTTAAGTGGGAAATGATGTAACGCAGCAGCTGAGGATCGGTTTCAGATCCTCATGCTTACAGACGAAATACAACCTCGACTATGAGTGAAACATAACACAACGAGAAACAGGGACGATTTGCCAAGAGGTAAACTTAAAAGGTAGGACATCGTACCACGTTGCGTTGATCAATAACTCGGAGAGCATCACCAGCGCTCACGCAATCTCGTGATTCAATGGGGGTCACAGTAAAATTTGACTGCGAGGTCCACCGAGAATGTTCCAAATAACTAGTGACTTGCTTAGCATGGGCACAGCAGAACACAAGGACTTCTTCAACTCCGGCAGAAGCCAGCCACTCTAAAGTGTAGTCGATCATGGGCACATTTACAAGTGGTAGGAGAACCTACACATGAAACATTTGAAGATTCCATGAGTATCAATAGAAACGTAGATGAGTTTTCGTTTGTATGTTGATGCTGAATAGAACATTCTGTAATACATGTCCAGAACCGTAGAAGCGTAATGTTACGCTTCGGCAAGATGTATGGACTGTAGAGGGAGATTGCATGTGAATTCTGTTAAATCAAACGAGTCATTGAGTATTTTATAAAATCACTAGTTAGTCTGCAGACCGTGAAGCTACAAAGTTGGATGAAACGGACTGGAGTCCTGCAAGGATCGAGCGGTATTAAGAACCTGGTCAACAATTCACGAGGTTGAATTAAGAACCTGGTCACTTGTATATGTAAGAACTCCAAGAGCTTTGGCCAACTAACCTTCGGGCGCTCGTCAGTTATGGGACGAAATTGCTGGGCGAAGCTGTCGGCCAACAGCACAGCCTGCAGTGGGACATCAGCCTCATCGTCTCCTATGTCCGTCGCTCTTGTTGCCCGCTTGAGCGCCATATCTAGACGCGCAGGATTGTGAAGATTACCTGCAGCCTGCCGGTCGCAAGCTCTTCTCTCCCAAGAGAGAAGCTCTATGGCCAAACAGCAAACCTGCAGACGACAGAACTGCAGCGCATACCTTCTTCTTTCTACCTTTTGCGTCGTCCGATTGTGCAGCTCGATCAGGCAAGGTGGACTCCTACACTATGATTGGTATGTCCTTCGATATTATGGATCTGATTTGAGCCATGGATTTTCGATTCTCAATTCGGTAACCGAAAATCTTGCTTGTGCCTAGCATACAGCCCCATACGCAGCAATCTGTGAAAAATATAAACCAGATTATCAAGCGTCCTAAGCACGCAGAAGACTTGCCGAGTCATTAATCGACCAAGTTTCTACGTCCGTCTCGGACTCTCTAAAAACCCTAACTCAGCAAACGGGATCATCATTCTGTCCAGATGAATTCTATAGAGAGAAAACATCTACAGTTGGATGAAAGTATGGCAACATCACAATTCCCCACACCGTCTGACCCATCCACATGAGGTGCAGGACGATGAATCTGCCGAAAGGAGGCGATAAAATTGCAAAGCCATCTTCACCCGACACGCCAAAGAATTCAAACACAAGCCCCAAAAAAAAAAAGGACGAAAAAGGATTCGAGTGCAGACGTTTCTCGACATGCGCTTCGAATGTGGCATGGCGATGAGGAAGAAACAAACTAGAGCACGATAAATGCAAGTGCAGGGCTGGGATGCATACCGTAGGGCTGAAGCGAGTGTCCGCAGCGCAGCTGATTCTCGATCAAACGCTCACACAGAGAACAGAATGTCGTGCATATCCAGCCTGACGTCCAATTAACGACGGCGAATCTTCTGCTAAACCCTACCACTGTGACGGTGAGCTGTATCGATTCCCCGGCCGAAACGTGAGACTACCCGTCTGCTAAACTGCCTGATCCGCCATCGCCAATCCGAGAGAGTGCGTAAAAAGAAATGCTAGACGAAAAGGCTACACGGCCTCGTCTTGGGACGAAACGCGAAACCCGTGGGTGACGGTGACACCGGAACCCACTGGGTGACGGTGACGGTGAAACACCAACGGTGTACGTACGCCGTCATCCCGGAGAGCATACGGTCGTGGTTGTTCTAGCCAGAAGCTCTGCGAAGTAAGTCAAATCTGCTACCCAGTCAAGTAAGGTTTATTCAGATTCACACTTGGTTTCAAAAAACTACTTACGTTGACACACGTTCAAAACTATAAAAAGCATCATCTAGGTGAAAAGAGAATGGACCCAAAATATCTTAGTATGGTGAGTAGTTGCAATCATATAAGCTACGGAATAAGCTATTTATGATATTTTATTTGAGAGACACTTGTTTTAGCTTATTATATAATTTCTTTCACATCACGTAATTTTTTCCTCTATGCAAACATCAAAGGAGATACGTCCACGTATAACTATTTTGTGTGAAGGACTCTAACCCGAAAAAGCCATACTATATCCCCTCACATTTATTTTATGGGTACACCATCGAGTTAGATATAGTTGCAAGTACCGACTGTAACCTCAAGGTCTGAGCTTTGGCAGGCACTGTAACTCACGGTGTCAACGTCTAGACGCCACGAGGAACAACTCTTCCCTCAAGCGAACGAAGAAGCTGTCGGAGTTGACTCTGAATTACGGCGTTGAGTACCACAGTCCGAAAATCAGAAGAAGAAGCCACAAACTCCGACCACGTTTACATTGTCTACGTGGTTGGTCGGACGGACTGCAGCAGTCAGAGCTTCTGAGCAGCCGACATGAAATTAGTGCCTGACATGAAATTGGAAATTCTCGCAGAAAGCCCGACCGGGATCCAGAGAGCAAAGAGATATGGCGATGCATGGGCTCTTTCAGAAGGAGGTCCACGGAATCGCTTGCCTTGAGGCAACCAGTTCACCGTCAGCGATCGAGTTAGTCTTCCTCGAATTGCGTGGAGTGGCGTGACGTGATGTCGTGGTGGTCAAGTTTCGAGAACTTGCAGTTGACAGCTTTGGCCGAGTCGTCGTCGTCGGAATATAAATTTTAAGATGCGATTCTGCAAGCTTTTATCGCGCGCATGATAAAAGGTCAACTGGGACCGAGCGAATGGCAGCGATGTCGTATCCTGATGCCCAAAGAGCCGAGCCGAGCCGGGCGAACCCTACTTTAAAGCTCAAAAGGAAGAAATGTAATGAACGAACTCTGACAGATTCCAACATCCCGTATCGTTCGAAAAAGACTTCACATGAAACGCTGAGACGGCGTGACGGGAGAAAAAGGTTAGGACCTTCTTAGGAAATCGGCCTGAATTATCACCACCATTGAGGAATTCACCGGAAATCACGTAGGATCACCCGAGTCCGCCTGCTGATCCGGCACAGCAGCCGCCGAGTCCTGCTCCTCCCAGTATCCCTGCCACAGAGAGTCCTGTTCATGTCTGAAGCTGCTCATCGGATCGGTCACTTTCGGCACAAATTGTCGTGTGCTTGTTCACTTGTCCGCCCTCCGTTCGTCACAGTGTCAGTGAGAGAGAGCACCTGACAAATCCCACCATCGAGACAAGAAACACAGGGTATTGTGTCTACTGACCAGAATAATCAGATCTGGTGATCCGATCGGTGTTGGTGAATGAATGATGTATAGGGTCTGATGTGCATATACTCGACTATTGAACGAGGGGAGGACAGCTCGGTTGCATCTTATTTGTAAGGATCGAGCTGTTGTTGAGCAGGAGCCGGAGGTTAACAGGAACTCAAGGTGTGAAATAGTTCCTGTGCCGCTGCACAGGGCTAGTGTGGAGCTTAGTGGTGGCAGATTTGTGAGAACTTTGGAATTTGGAATCTCTGACATCGTCCTTAATTGTATGAAGATTCTAGATGACGCTTGTGTTCTAGTTATGAGGGCAGGATGTAAGGCTCAGTTATCCATGTTAGCGTGCGGATCTGTTGCGTCTGTCAGCAGAGAGAGCAGCAATAAGTCACATTGTCTTTGTTACCGGAGTTAAGGGGTTGACACAGACATGACATGGCCCGAATGGTTGGTCAGATGTACTCTGGAGAAATTTTGGTCCGTCCAATTTTAGATCTAAGCCTCTGACAGGATCTAGGCTGACAGATTAGCAAGTTTGCTTTCTCCGCTAGCTGCTCTTAATGGTGTACCTGCGGAAAGGCTCTGGTGGATGGCTGCAGGATTCATGATGTCGTGCAGCTCCTACCAAATGAAGCCGATCTGCTTTATGGCCACTCACGCCACCGTCCGCAGTTTACATGGATAGACATTATTCTTTCTGCCGAGCTTGAAAGTTTATAAAATTCAGACCGCCGATAGACCGACTTTTTTTTCGCTGTCAGTAGTTGACTGTTGCAATGAGCTCAATTTGTCATCTACAATTCTGAGTCGAAAATCCGTGTTTGAGAAGAGTGCACCTTTATCGCAAGCAACAGGAAGATCTCAGCCTGACTTAGGGAAAATCATAGAGATCAGCCTCATTCTATGGCTGTAGTATTTCGGGCCATCAGGGCCTTAGACAAGACTACTCTCACAACACCAACAGACGCAAGGGCAATTCCACTGGGACATGAGCAATTCAATAGTACTCATCTTACAAGCAGTCTCTGCCCAATTTGTTTTTGAGGAGAAACCACTCAGACTGGCTAGTTCTCGCGCCGTTGTTTCGATTCTCGAGGTTATCCATTCTGACGCTGTTCTTGTGTGGGATTTAGACGGGCTGAGCTCAAATTTTCTCGGCGACATGGCGATCAGGACTTTGTCCAGTGTGGAAGATGTACTCAAGGCTCGTAAAGAATATGCGAACCCTGCTGTGGCGGGTAGGCCTGCCCACGTTCTTATTTTGCTTTTGGAATTGGAAACAGCTCGAAATTGCAACTGTCGGTTTTGGACTGTATATTTGTGTTCGTCTTGAACGATAATTAAATCTCCTCAGTATATTACGTGAGCATGCATTGTCCGTCGTTTGTCATTGAAAAAGTTTTACACTCATGGCCATGACTTGTCCTTCTTAGATTTGCCGTTTGCTTTGACAGTTGTCCAATATCCTCGCTGAATCGTATACAATACGTATTATTGTTTGCTTTTGATTATGGTGAAATTGACCATGAGTGTGCTCTATCATGTAGCTCCCAAGTTGACGGGATTGGGTCTGAAGGCATTTGTCTGGGCACTTGAGTTTCAACCGATTGGACGTCCGCTACTCGGCGGAATTTTGAAGAAAAACAAGACCTTGGAGGTACTTTTGAATGACAGCCTTGAGAAACTACGTTGTTCGTTTATATTGAGTTACTGATTAGCACACGTCATCTGCGCAATATATCCGAACTGGGAGCTACAAGGAATTCTGAGAGCAGACACGTAATCAATGTGGTAACAGAACGTCATAATCTGATTGAACTGTTCTTTGTTTCTACTAGAGAAATAAGGCTGGTCATGCCTAACATGGGTCGTTCTTGCAAGTTTTGTTAGGCGTTGTTTTTCTCACTGTTGAATATCTGCCACCTCCCTCTGATATGATTTGATTGTAATTTCTTCCAGACTCTAGAAGAAGCAATCATTCCGGATGCACCTATGTTTTACCCTGAGTATACAGCTCAAGGTAAGTTTGACCCCTACACTTGTTGATGAAGCTTACTTCTGCTTTGCTCTAGATGAAGCTTGAAGCATATCTCTGTATGGACGTCATCAATTGTACCTCCTTCTATCCAAAGCTGAACGCCGTTTGGGTAAATGTCGACAGAAATTACCGAACCGGGAGTTAAAGAGATAGATGAGGAAAGTCTGAAGTCTGTAAGTAGAGTTCAGAGTGCGTTGGAATGTCTCCCTTCACCTGCTGGATCCCTCCAGATGAAACTGAAATCGGAGTACCCATTCGTGTACTGGACGATAAGAGATTATGCAGAAGCCTTCGCTTCAGGGCATGTGACTCCATCAGAGGTAATTGTTCAGCTATGTAGAACACGTTGCACCACTTTGAGGATTTATGGGTTCAGAATCTAGTGGGGAAGCATGCAGGATTTGAAGTGAAGTTACATTCTTTTTCTGCAGGTCGCTGAGCGCTTCATTTCAGCCATTGACAAGTGCGAAAAGTCGAATCCCCCGATGGCTTTTTTGATATCCTTCAAACCGGATGACATACGCAAGCAAGCTGAGGCATCCACGAAACGTCATGCTGAAGGTTATTGGTTACTGTATCAGTTTGATTCCTGGGCTATGAGAAGCAACACTAACATCAAAGTATAGATAGCACTCCCTCTCCTCCTAACTCGAAATCAACTAGAATGCTAGCTCCACCCTAAAATCAACAATCTAGCACTAATAGGTGTAATTATTACCTGAGGAAATTGATTATACTGTGTGATGTGAGATACTTGCCGGAAACTGTGCAGAGATATTGGCCTTCACTTATTCTAAACAAAGTGCCGTGGGAACTGCTTGAATGTGCTCAGGGAAACCTCTATCTATATTGGACGGCACTCTGTTCGCAGTCAAAGATGACATCGACTGCATGCCACATCCAAGTACAGGTACTAAATGCTCTCGTTACATTCGGTTGAACTCGAAATAGATGCAGAATGGAGAGGAAGGTACAGGAGCTGCCCTTTAGATCTCAGGGAATTGACTGATTCTGCAAAAAAATTTGTGTCTTTCGTCGAAGCTAGCATTTTTTCGCAATTGATTTCAACAAAGGCTTAATGTCCAAGGGCTTTCGTAGTTTGTCCTTCATGATGCGATATAGCCCAAACCTGGACGAGTTTAAGGTAATCTGTGCCTTCCTTTCAATCCAGTTGACTTCGACAAAACAAGGTTTTGGGGCTCGGCTCTAAGTATGGAGTGAAACACGAAGTTGTTAGAGAAAGTGCAAGGGAATCGGTTCGCGTAGCGCCCCTTGCACTTTTTGAAGGGCAAGTGCTTCACTAGAAATAGGAAATGCTAAGATTCAAACTTAGATTGTTTAAGGACTGGTCTTCTGACCTCTTGCAGGAGGAACGACGTGGCTTCACAATTTCCGAGAAGTCAAGGAAGATGCTGAGTGTGTTGCAAGACTTCGGAAAGCTGGAGTTGTGTTTGTCGGCAAGACTAATATGAGCGAGCTCGGTCTCGGTGTCACTGGTCACAATGCACACTACGGGTGAGGTCCTTATCCAGTTCCTGGAAGATAGACGCAAACCCAAGGCTCATTTGTATCCCTTGGACAGACTAGGTATATGTCTCGTCCAATATCCCAACTTTATTGCCAAATTACAAGGTTTCACTGCCAGAGAAATTACAGGCTCAACTGCTAACCGATTGTCTTGACTAGTTTCCTTGTCTCGGCTGACGATGGTCTCACACACACAGTTGTGTGAGGAATCCCCATGATACAGACCGTCACACAGGAGGATCATCTGCTGGTTCATGTGCACTTGTTGCAGCAGGATTGGTTTCTGGAGCTTTGGGAACTGATGTTGGGGGTGCGTGCCTCACTCGTTGTATGATTTAAATGTTTAGCACTCAATTATCAACAGTATCCTTGCAGACTGCTCTAAGTTGACATGAATGGTGAGGCGGTCTTGCGTGTTGGCAGACACTCGATCTTATCTGATTTACGGATGTGTGCAACTGCCGATGACTATGCTCTGGATGATGGTTGCAGGCTCCGTTCGAATACCGTCAGGCATATGTGGAACCGTGGGTCTCAAAGTGACTGTTGGTCGCACGACGCTCAAAGGGTACAGTACTTCAAGTTGTACTGATGTAGAAAGTACTTGACACATCTATGCAAGATAAATGGACATCCAGCACAGCATTTGTTTCAGCACCAGTCATGTTTTGTCTATACACAAGCACAATTAGCTGTGGCAGGCAGCAAGCATTTTAGCAGGTTAACAGATGTCAGCATGTGCAACACAGGTTGTACGTGATGGAATAGTTTCGAGTGATCTATGAGCTCAACTCTCCAGAGCATCAGAAGTTGAGAGAAAGTCAACTTAATTTTTTTGTACGACTTTTTTAAATATATTTAAAAAAGTCTCCTTTCATGAGAAAGGAGACCTTTTTGAGTCATGAGGAAGCAAGAAATTTATCAGCCTTACGAGTTCTCGTTCTGTTTGTGCAGAGTGGCAAGCGTTGGTTGGACCATGGAGTCTGTTGGACCTATTGCGTCTAGTGTTGAGGATCTTATTCTCGTGTAAGAAGTCGGAAGATTGTCTTTGTTACGAATGTTTTGGTGATGTCTGAATGTTCCTCTATGTTTTGAAACCCGTGATGACTTTGAAACCCAGGGTTGGTATAATGCTTACTTTGTTGTGTACATTACTGTCCATCGGAGGTATGTTGATAGAAAGTCTAACTTCAAGCAGTTTTCCTCTTTCTGTTGATGAATTGCACGTCATGTCAGGTATTCAGCCTTTCTTGGTTCTCTTCCGAGCGATATCTTGCACTCTAGACCTGTAAGTGTCACTGCTATGAAGGGCAACCCATGGATGTTCTTGTGTAAAGTGAGGTTAGCAAATATGTATCTTGAGCCTAAATATATATGTAGAGCGTTAGAAGAATGTTGGAAATAATTCTTTGCGATAGAGACGACCAGGGAATTCTCTTTACTTGATGTGACACCCACCCTTCATGAAAAAGTTATTGAAGTTAGTCAGCATAATAAATACGTCTCATCCATAAATTTCAGTCATAGTACCTGCTGATTCCTCTCGTTTGAATTTGTTCGTTGCTGCAGCTACCACCTTGTTTACCGAATCTGAAAGATGATCCACGGTCCTCTCTTCGGCAATTAAAGCTCGGGAAATTTTCACCTGTAAGGCATCTTATTTTGGCTAACTTTGTTCACTCGGGTTGAAAATTGCTTCATCAGTCGACGTAATTTCTACGAACTGAACCCTAGTTGAAATTTCCGGCAGTGGTTCAAGGACGTCCTGGACGCTGAAATAGCAGAAGTATGTGAGAAAAGTTTGAATTTGCTACAAGAAGGTTTTGGAACAGAGGTATGTTATACTCCCGTCAGGAAACGTTTATCGCTGAATGTATTGTCTTTGAGCGAAATCTGTTAAAACCGTCAGTGTTATATCTGGGCTGAAAAAAGGAGACAGTAGGGTATGGAGTATTTATGTGTCCATTGTATCTACATCTCTCGGTAATGAACATTTTATGCTTTGGTGTGTAGACGAAAGAGGTTTTTTTGCCGGACCTGGATGACCTCCGAAATGGCCACTTAGTTACCTGTGGTGGTGAATATGCAACGAGTTTGAGGCCCTACTATCCGACTGTGTAAGTACCTTCGACGAAGGCCACTTCTACTTGCAAAATTCAGGGCTCTTTTGATTGCTTTCGAGAAGTCGCTATTAGTTTTTGTTTAAGTGCAAAGTTGCTATCTGACACCGAAACGAGGCTCAATATACTATATGCACAACTCTGCTACGTTGTAGTGTGATTAATCTCCAGGCACTCTTAGTGTGCATGTTGTACAATCTACGCAGTGTTGTACTCTCTTTTGGTGGCTGAATAGCAGTCGACACTTTTTGCATCTTGCAACAGAAAGAAGCAGATGGGTCATGAGCCTCGGGCCAACTTAGCACTCTTCTATCACTTCAGCTCCAACGATTATGTTGCAGGACAACAGCTACGGTGAATATATTTTTCTCTTCCTACCATTAGTTGAGTTCTCGCAAAGAGAACGGCAAGAGTACAAGTTTATGTTTCCTGCCGCCATGAATATTTGGGTATACCAGCCCGTTTTATGTTACTGTCTGTCATCCTCTGGAAAACTGAAGCCGCTTTGTGAGATTGTTTGTGAGCTCCCGATTCAATGTGCTCTATCTTGAGTTGAGAATATTCTGTTTTCTGTCCTTATTGGATCAGTTGGAGAAGACATACATAATTCCTGCTTCATATATGGAACTGCAGAAGGAGACAGATGCATTATCATATGGAGGCCTTCAAAACAGTGGACGTGATTGTAACTCCGACAACAGCGTGAGTCCGTCAGATCGTGTTTGTATTCTTCTTTGTCCTGCTGTGGGCTCATTTCTCAAGGCGGTCGGACTTGAGAAATGAGCCCATTGAATTGAACTGATCTCAAGGATATCGATTGGCGATGAGTTTTAATTTAAACTAAATCTCCTTTTTATGGGGTTCCGTACAGCATGGTCGCCCCGCTAATAAGCCCAGCCTCCGTGAAGCTTGGTGAGAGTGACCTCGAGAAGTCAGGTGAGGAACACTGAAGAACAGGTCATTGTTGTTCTTGTTGGTATCAATCTGTGAATTGGAAATTTACTGTAGAGTAGAATAGGGTAGTGCTTTGTTTCTTGGTTGACTGTGATTTCTGTCCTTCACTTGGACAGTCTTTGGCATCCACCTTATGGAAATTTTGCGGTATTCCAGGAAATCTCATGCGCTTTATTCTAGCAGGAAATCTTCTCGGTCTGCCATGTGTCAGTGTTCCGGTAAGTTGCCGATCTCACGCTCGTATCAGCAGCACATTATCCCATCAACAGCTCATTCTTTACTTCATGGATTTTCGGAGACATGAGTGTTTGCTCGACCTTTCATGGAGCACATATCTTCGAAAAGGATTTTATCTTGTCGTGTCTGACAAAGGCGCCTTCGAGCTCACTTTGTGGTCTGTAGAGTGAAGGGTACATACTTCAACATTGTCAAGTGGTAGTACTACATTGACGATAGCATTATATGAGCTGCACAGGTGGGACATGATTCAAGAGGTTTACCCATTGGTCTTCAGCTCATAGGACGTCCTTGGGAGGAAGCTACCCTGCTGCGAGTGGCTTCAGCAATTGAGGTATACCGCTTATTCCTGGACTTTTCTATCCATAAATCTTTTTATCTTTTAGAGCATATTTCAGCCTTTGGACACTGTCTCTTACACTTATTACAGCCCCTCCAATGCCCTGCTTTGCTTAAAAGCATCCATAAAGTTCAGTCGTTCGCGCGGGTCGGAAATACACAGAACGCCGTCATGGCTCAAATTGGCGCCAATTTTCAGGAGCCCTTCTTGTCCGCGATACGATACTTGAAAGAAGACATCAGCTGCAGGGCCCTCATTCGATTTAGCTCTGCTGTAGCTCACTGAAAGGAGTGAGGTCCACCCATCGTCAGTGAGCATGCAGTCACTCTCCTTCTGTCGAATTCATCATCATATTAATGCATCACCTGAGCCGAGCGTGGAAATCGTTGGTGTTTGTCTTGCAGGAGGTTTGCTCCTCTCTCATGAAGAGACCGAAAGTGTTTCATGATCTGCTGAAATGAATCCACTTGCAGCAAAGAGGCTAGGGCAGGTGCGTTCTGGAATAAGCGAAGCACCCATAGCGAGAAGATTTCGGATTCGAGCTGACATTTAGCGTCACTTTCTCACTCAGTAGCTAGAACAGACTTCGCAGGCACAGAAGGAAGTGTACGGGGACAAAACCTCAGACTTCCGAATCGGACTAAATATGCTTCACTACCCTTTGTACATCACAAAATTTCTCCACAGTCTTGAATCTGTTAGTAAAGTTCATGGACAGAGCTTGCGTGTGTGATGATGAGTGACACCAATTCCTCGTTTCTTTGTCCAAGTCGAGGTTATCGGACGGAAGTTTGAGGGAACTTACCACCTGTACTCCAGAAAGATGGAATTATTTCTACACAAACGATCAAGTAGTTGACACACGAAAGCAGAAGACCCGATTCACGATGTTCTGATAGTAGATTGTATCTATTCAATGCAATCCGCTCCACCCTTAACTATACAAGGACTGCTTGAATGCGGTAAAGCGGCATTAGCTCCACGGATTGACGGAAAAGGTCAAATACCAGCATCTGAATTTAGACGAATTGAATTTCCAGCTCAAGGTATTACATCTCGACGTTCTGTTTGTGAACCTATGCAGAGAGGACTCTCGACAAATCGCCCTCGACCGAAGTCGTCGAGTTCGGTCAGAGGTAATGCGCTTTGCACACATGGCAGTTTTCAGACATGGTTCATTCATTTCCTTACACGTAGACGTGCAAAGGCTATGACGTGGCTGGATGGGCCATGGAACGCGGGTACATGTGGACGCCTGGTGGTCGCTGAGGTGGCAAAAGGTAAAATTTCCGATGCGCGCCTGTCCACGCGTGCCGAGGTTCCTTTCTCAATCCCTCGCTTCGTCCCATTTCGAGCTCCAGGAGTTGGAATTCATGCCTGGGGATCGAATTTGGAGGTCGGTGGGCGCGGTCCTGGGATCGGTTCGAGAGTCGAGACTGTGGATCAGGAATGAATTTTCAAAGCTTTTCTGGTAACGGCGGATTCATCTTGTGTGTGCTCGCTTGCTTGCATGGTAGAATGTTTCTTTCACCGACCACAACGACGAGGGTCCGCTTGTGTTTTGTCGGGGAGGATTTGTGATTGGGCAAATTTGTCAGAAGGAGGCTTTCCCTCTTCGTGGGCCTCCTCCTCCACGGAGGGAAGGGCCGAAGTCGCCCCTAGGGTGGTCCAGATTTGCTGCTGATGATCTTCATGCGAACGCGATTCGTTCCTCTCTGACGCGAGATCTGCTTCGGTTCTAGAAACAAGGGGATTCTTGCGATTCGTGCATGGATTGCACGGGGAAGGAAAGTCAAGAAACTACCAGAGCAAGCAAATGTTTTGCACTCAGGTCTTTACATTGGGAAGGGGCGAACCCTGACTTTCATTCCCCGGACGATTCCTTTGGTACCCGAGGGACTAGACATCTTTTACATCGTTTCAGCGGGGTATGAAGGTCGAGCACTCGGAGAAGCAAGAATGAAGTTTTTGGACACATGAACCTTTCAATTGTTAGGACTGAGGAGTTAGGGAACATAATAATTTCAAGAGTTTCCAATTTTCTTCTGTACGCCTCGACCAGACACTCTTGGAAAACTTACAAATCACCATCCTGATGTGTGCGGGAAGGCCTCATGAACCGAACGAACGGAGAGGACAACCATGTTAGTGATGTATATTTTGGTGTATGCAGGCAGATGAAGACACCGGGACGAAAATACTCAACTTAAAATGGTGGCGATCGTGCAGACCACACAGCATAAGTGCATCGTGGCTGAACTAGTGAAAACTTAAATCAGATGTGCAAGCTTTGCCGAGATGGTCATGAGCAGGGGTTGTAATTTTAATCTCCGCCGAACGACCTCGTCAAATGGGTAATATTATCAACGTCGCTCGTGAGAAAGGAGAATTTATCGATATAATTCGCCAAAAAGATGCTAGTGAGTTTCTCAACTTTTTCCTCGGTCTCTGTTAAAAATTAATGTTCCTGGCTCTTCGTCCCTTTGGAAGGAAGCAAGCAAGATCCATTAGAGACTCATCGGGAGTTTCGTGAGTAAATGACGAAACTCAACAAGTCCTTCAACCTGTCTGGCTTGTAGTTCTGTCAGGAACAGAAGCATGGCGAGCAAAACAAAGGTTCAAGAAAGTCGTGGATGACGGTGCCGATGGCATTGCACCAGAACAGTTTAAGACCTTGCTTGGTCCTTGTGAGCCTCTTACTATCATCAACATTGAGTGTCATAGCACCATCCACTTTGTCCACCCTTTCTCGAATTTAGATCTGGAGTTGTCAATCAACTTCTCAGCTTTATGTGCACGTGTTTCTTCCAGATATGCCGATATTAGAGATTTTAATCGAGGCATGCAGGATATCCCCTGTAAACAATCATCAAACTGCTGCAAACATTTCGAATGTAATAGCCAATGCATTCGTGAAACTCCGAGCTGTAATCAGAGCTCTTTTAAGATTAAACTGAAGATACCTTTACCATCATCCCAAGCAGAACATATAAACTATGGACGGGAGATGGGTGACCTTGTGATATAGCAGGAGAGCCGTGTGCAGAGGTACTATTCAAACATGTGGACACAGACAATAACGGATCGGTCAGTTATCAGGAGATTTGTGAGGAGATTAAAACTCACAGGTCTATGACAACTCCTGAGGCCAAGGTCCTCGGTGTGTGCATCTCCCCCATCCATCTCCCCCATCATGAATAGAATCGTGTTGCAGTAGCTGACTGTTCTAATGTTGGCCCGTAGAAGGCAGGAAATGCGCTGCGTTGTCAATCCAATTTTACGTCAAATGTCCCAAGCCTCTGGCCAAGCCTCTGGCCATTGTCCAGAACCATGTAACTTTCTTCGCTTACTATCTGAATATGGGTACAGTTCTATTCAAACTATATGATCAAGATCACGATGGTCGGATGTCGCCTTCCGAACTTGCTCGTGCCATGCAATTGGCTTGCCAAGCGCTTCCCCAGGGCCAACTCGACCAGGTGAGTCCTCCGTTAGTTTGAATGAAAATTGCACGTTTTCATTGAGGGTAATAAGCCGAAGTAGTGCAGTAATCTTGCTCGGCTGGTGCCTAAGAGTGACTCTGACATGTTTTAAATGGTTTTTACACGCTAATGTGGTCCCTGTCCTGCAAACTGTGCTCAGCTCGTTCAAGCGATTATGGAAGTCTTTGACTCTGACAAGGATGGATATTTGAACTTTGGAGAATTCTCTGCTCTTATGAGTAACTCAGGATTGGAGCTGAACGTATAAACAGCATCCTTCCTTTAAGTTGTACAGTAGGGCAGTTGCCCAGAATCACAGTAGTGAACTTTTGAGGTTATGCAGAGGCGGATGTAAAGGTTCGCAAGGAGGCAGCAGTTCGACTCCGTAGTTAGACCTGATTGGATCCAGTAGGAGTGACTCTAGATGTAGTTCCACCAAATCTGGAGGTCGCACCCATCTTCATGTGTCAAATTCAAGCCACACTTATCTTCCCCAACAAACCGTGAAGCATTACCATGTAAAAAGCTAGAACGATAGGCAATCCAGAGCCTGCAGCCATCTAAGATGTACCCCATGAAAACGAATTGCTCACCTGCTGCCTGCAACGTTTCGGAAGCAACCTACATAATCGGCAAAGCTCCACTCGATTGAGACAGAGCATATGAAAGATCACAGATTCCAACAGCTGCTAGTGATTGAAGTAGCAAATACCGAGGATGCCCGTTCCCACATCAACGTAGAAGAGACAGTCAGGAGCTATGTTCAGTGCTTTTCGACAGCCACGCCAAATAGCGGAAGCCTACCTTCGACAGAAACCTAAAAGCAATCCCAACAACCGTCTCAATGAAAACCCATTCTCTCAAATCTTTCAGTTGCGAAGACGTATGTGATACATACAGAGCGTGTACCACCAACTGTTCTGAGCCAATGCACAAGTTTACCAGATGGACCTCATACATCTTCTCCTTCAGGGAAAGGAAACGAAACTTCGGCCAAAGCGTCTAAAGCAAGCCACAATTCAACAAAAATTTGCACCATCTGGTGCAAAGAAATTTCCATCTGCCTCCAAGTTCCTCGGGTCATTAAATACGGCAACAGGGTAGCCACAAGCAAACATGGAAATCAGGAGGGTAGAACAGTATACACACGGCTTGGAGTAAACCTCGGCTGTGAAATTACCACGAGCATCCGTTGATATCCTTCGAAACAGTTGCTAATGAACTACAGTATGGCTTCCTGAAGCTCATCTAACCGCAACCCTGCGACATCAACGCATATCAGCGGACATCTGCTTACAGATGAGTGAGCACCACAGTGCGTGATTGGTGAAATGTATTATTTACATGTAATGGGGTTTGCTTCCGAGGGCAGGAAACGCACATAGAGCCATAGTTGTGAACGGAGTCGGATTGCACATCTGATGGATCAGTTACTAGGACGCCAAGGAACCCGAGGAGCTGTTACAATCAGAAGATCTTTCCTGAAGAAGAACGCGTATCTACACGAGCTTACATGTAAATCCGACAACGCAGGAAGGAAGGGTTGAATTTAGACGACATCATCAGTTTGCAGAATATATCATCCTCCAATAGTCATGTCCTTTTCGAAGTGTACCATACGTAATTTTAGAAGCCAAGTCGCCGACAGCTCCCAGATTCCTGAAGCCCAGATGCTCCAGAATTCATGACAGACGATGGCCGCTGGTTCAAGAACCTGATATTGACAGAGTGGGTAGAAATTATAGGAAAGTTCCCGTGCTATGGTTCAAAGATGAGTGGACGTCACCTAAAGTGGAGAAAACAGGATCTCTAGTACCAGAGATGACATCCGAGGGCGCTGCAGGATGCGAGAAGAGAATGAATACGACCCACCAATGGAGGGCGAGAAGGTAGAGGCCAGCAAAAGCTCGAGCCATTCCATTTTTGCGCAGAACCAAGGCAGCTCCCATTACAAGACCATCGACTTGTCGGACCAAACGTAGAAATGGCTGCAGATGAGATGCCTCGGTCACGTTCTCATATCTACCATCATCCGTGTCCCAGCCCTTGTCCTTAGCGCTGTACGTCTTGCCAAATCCATATTCCAAATCTTCGTCAAAATAGGACCAATCCGACCAGGCACCCTTATTGGGATTCCGTTTCGCTGAACGAGAGACGAGAGCCAACTTCTCTTCACGCAAAGTGTTGGACACTGCTTCAACTCGGAAAACTAGTGTGGCTTTCTCGGTAGAAAGTTCTTCAACCTGGGCCTGTTTATGTATAAGACTATCGGTGATTTGAGCCAACTGACTCTCTAACTCGAGCTGGATGCTGCTCGGGGCCACTTGCCTGTCCAGCAGTCGTTTCAGGCTGTCTTGCAGATCCTCGGCCTGCTGCTGCAGCTGCTCGATTTTCGCCACCATGCTCGACTTTTCTTCCTCCATGGATTCGGCCTCGAAGGCGTCATCTATGGCCCTCTGGGATCTGTTGGGACGAGAAAGCCTGATGCGCAGAAGAGCTGCCTCTCTTTGCAAGTCTGAACAAGCATCCACCTTGGCCTCCACCAAAGCTCGGGCTTTTGATACCTGTGACGTTATTTCCTCAAGGTCCCACTGGCTGGCAGCCAGGGATTTCGCAAGCTCAGCGTTTTCGGCCTCGAGTTTCACTTCCAGTTCCAAACCTTGTCTTCGGGTGTTATTGTGCATTTGCTTCTCCTGCTCTAGAAGCTGCATCACCTCCATCATGCTCTCGCGCAGCTCAGCTGCCATCTTCACGTGCTGTTCTTCACCCTCCGCCAGTAAAGCCTCTAAACTGTCCTTCTCCCGCTGCATTCTCTCCACAAGATCTTCTCGCTCTTTGATTGCCACCTTCGCGGCCTCCTCTGCAGCTGCCCTCGCTTCCATGGCCCTACGCTTCGCCAATTTTCTCCTTAAAGCCAATCTCTTCAGTCTTCTTTTCTCTTCATATTCCGAGTCGTCCGAGTCCGAATCTCCGTCTGTACCAGAATCTGAGCTTTCCTCTTCGCTGAGTGACAGGCTGTGGACACTCAACTTACCCTCCTCTTCTTCTTCTTCTCCACCATCTTCTTCCTCTTCATCATCCTCCTCCTCCTCCTCTTCTTGCGATTCATTCCCACCATCATCTTGTCGAAGAGAATCTCCTGTCGCCTGCAGGCGAGCGGCAAGCTCCACGACCGAAAGGCCATTCTCGTGTTCCTCCCCAGCGCTACCACCCAGTCCATTATTAGTGGCATACTCATCTTCCACCAGCTCCACCTCTCCTCTATTCACGATCCCCTCCGAGGCGACTTCGGCCGAAGCAATAGGCCCATCAGCCTCATCCAAGATGGACGAGCTCGTGTCTTCATTCGGGGGAACTCGCTGCTCAACTCCACTACCATCAGCTTCGGATATTTCGCTATCAATCTGCCGCAATTCCTTAATCTCTGATGTCTCGGAGACAGCTGACATAGCATCGTCCCTTTTCCCTGACGGTGCATCGATCCTAACCCCTTCGATCTCCGCATTATTCTCAAAGACTTGTTCCTTACACTCTACTTCCTTCTTGAGGTCGTCTCCATTCGTCAATAGAATCTCACCTGCGGATTGTACATCCTCGTTCCCCACACTCAATGCTGCTGTGCTGGTCTTCAAGTCCTTTTCCACACCCTTATCGTGCAGAGATCTTCCAATTGGATTCTCCGGATCATCTCGACCGGCATTATTCGCCTTCTCCACGGCCGTGTACGAAGATACCCTCAAGATCTTGGAAGAATTCTTCGCCGGCGTCAATTGCTGCGCATTTGGCTTCGAAGGTGTGATAGAGAACAAATCGCCATTTGAGCTAGTTCTGGAGGAGTGGGTGAGACCTCCGCCGGTGCTCTTGCCACTGACCGGCGTCTTCGTCCGATTGCTCTTCAACGCAGGACTGTAAGAGTCGAGATCGCCGCTTCTCGAACTGCCAGAACGAGAGATGGGAGTACTGCCGACGAAGTCCGTCGACCCTAAAAGCTCCGCCCAATCGTCTCGGCCTTCGGAGGCGACCATGCCCTGGGACGATGAAGAAGACGAAGAGGCCTTGGACGACTTCTGGCCGGGCGTTCGCTGCGGTCGCTCTTCGCCCGCGGTCTTCCTGCCTGCTCCGGGTTTCGAAGACTGCACGGGGCGATCGAAGAGCTTTCCCCGTCCTCGTGACGACTGCGAAGCCTGATCAGACGTAGAAGGGGATCCATAACTTTCCTTCTCCTTGCGCAGAGATTGAGAGCGCCTCTCCGGAGGTTTCTCCTCTATCAATCCCGACGAGCTCTGGCCGTCCTTATCCTTTTCCTTGTGCAGAGTTGCTGCAGCCTGTTGATCAATCTGCTGCAGGAGCTGCTCGGCCGCTTTCAATCTGGAACTGAGCCAATTTGCCATTTCCCTCGCGCACTAATCCAATTCTTCCCTACAACAGTATCTCTAATAAATCCCTACTGGACCCGATCTCTCCAGGCGCCCGCCACCGTCACCATGCCTACTCCCGCCCTTCCTTCCTTCCTTCCGTCCTTCCCTGTCACTACCCTGCGATCAAATCTCAGCTACTATCGAAACCCCGAATGGATCCGTCATGCCTCCTGGCCAAACATCCCGACGAACGAGCCCCTCTCGATGCCCTCGCTGCCCGCCTCTCTCTCGTCCTTGTCCAATGAGCCGGCGCTCGCTAACTGGAGAGGGGGACAGAGAGAAAAGAAAGAAACCCAAAGAACCGAACGCGAGGGAGTCAATGCGAAGAAACACCATCAAGAGCACGGCACGCCCCTCCTCTCAGGTCCTGAAGCCCCAAGTACAAACGCGAGCGATCCATCAAGAAACGAATCGACTGATTGATGATCCCCGCCCGCCACCGCCGCCGATACCTCCGCCTCTACGCGATCGATCAATCAGTCAGTCAGACAGACAGTCAGTCGATCCATCAATCCTTGAAGCGGATCATTTCTCGCTGCTTCGGAAAATGCATCCGCACCCCATCTCATCTTCTTCCCTACCTCCCTCGGGGCAGGCACGCACTGGAGCAAAGAGAGAGAGAGAGAGAGAGAGAGAGAGAGAGAGAGAGACCCCGCGGAATGTCGACGATCCGACCAGGAAGATCGATTGGGGGGAGGGGGAGGTGGTGCCAGAACGTACAGTCATGTCATACGATCTCTCTCTACCACCATTCCATCGTTCTCAGGCACCAGGCGGATAATGCCCCGACTCCCTCCGTCCGATGGACTGACTCTCTCTCCGCGGACGTACGCCCATCGGTCCCAACAGCCTTCAGCATCGGTCGAGAGCCGGTCACATAGCCACAGACAGGCCCAGCCCCGTTCGCAACAGTACAAACGGTCGTCGATTCTTCATTCGTTCTTTCGTTCGTTCGTTCATTCATTCATTCGCGGAGCGTTAAGTGGCAGGCGGCGGACCAGGCCATCTGAAACGGATCGGCTCGGATCTCGCTGCTTTGAACCCTTGCCGACGACCGAGCGGCTAAAAGCGGCGCTGAAAAGCTCCCCGAACAGCCCCGGACAAAACGGTGCCGACACATTTAGCTCCCTCGCTGGAGGAGGATCTCTACTCTAGCTTTAGCGGCAGCTGGCCGCTAGCTGCCAAATCTCTGGCAGCGCAGATGATGGATGGATACACGTTAACCTAACTGCCCAAGAGGGGCTGGACATCGAGAGCCCCGGTGCAGAGAGACGGTGGTTAAGCAGATGAGCACGAGCATGCGCTCGCAGGCACCGAGCGAAACACGGAGCGATGAGAGAGTGAAGAGGACGGACTCGTGGTGTGGTTAGGTCAGCCATGGCGGACGAGGCGACAGCGATGGAGGAGCAGCAAGAAGAGGATGAGGAAGATGATGAGGAGGCAGAAGCAGAAGCTCAAGGAGGAGGAGGAGGAGGAGGAGGTGCTGATGGCGATGAAGACGATGGAGTGGAGGAGGAGGAGGAGGAGGAAGAAGAAGATGAGGAGGAGGATGGTGATGACGACGACGACGACGATGGCGAGGAGGAGGAAGAGGGCGAGGCCGAGGACGACGAGGAGTTGAAGAAGGACGTTACTCCGACTCCCACTCCTCCGTCGCTGGTGGAGGAGGAGCAGCAGCAGCAGCAGCCGGCTGACTTTGCGTGCCCCATATCATCGACCCCACCCGCTCCTTCTTCGGCCACAGGTCCTCCTGCTGCCGTCTGTAAGGCAATGCCTCTCCTGCCATCCTTCGCTCTTCGCATCAAGAGAATCTTCTTCTCCTTGGCGCTGCTTGTCTCTCCTCCACTTCGGCTTCGGCTTGTGCATTCATGGTCTTCGTCCTCTCTTTCTCTCTCCTTCGTGCCTTAAAGGCGCTGGAGCGTCCTCTGGCTGCGTAATCATAGTGTCTGTCCTTCTCTTCGGTCTGAGGAGGATCGGAATCACGAAGATTGTGTGCCCGAGCAGGGCCACTCTTGAAGGAAATGGGCATGTCGAGCAAGAATGTAAGGCTGGAAGTTGTTAAAGTTGTTGATAAAGTTGATTTGGAACCGTTGTCGCTTGCGGCCACACATGTGCCGAAGAGTTGTAATTAACGCTGGAACCTGAGCCGCGAACGTCATCTGACTTTCATGAATTGTGAACTGCGTTTTATGATTTGTTCCTCGATTTTTCCGACACCACACGATTTCTGTTCTTGAACTGGGCTCATCTCCATCGTGGAGGATTTTGTGAGCATCATGACTAGCCGGCTCTGATTTTGAAAAGCACTGGGACACTTGGATTCGAAGGTTTGGTCGTTATCGAATTTTCTCTCTAGATTCATCCTTACGATTTAATTTGGCCTTTCGGACGAAAACAATGCTATTGTCACGTTATTCTAACCAAAAGACTGGGAATCCAGGAACTGCAACAGGTGGAAGTAGAGCTGCGTTTACTTGAAGCTCTGGAAATTTATCATCCATCCAAACTTCTAGGTCAGTTTCTCTAATTACTTTTCATCAATTTTTAGGTTTGGAAGATACATTTTCTTTTGATTAATGGGATCCTTATGTGAAACTTAGTGAAGCTATGTGTGAGTTCGTTATTCCACGATCATCTTGGTATCAATAGAATTCTAGTGCGCTGGAGATGTTTAGTAGCTACAGTTCACGCCCGTGATCGTCACACAGTGATGCAAGATTTCCTGAACAATGGTTGAACACGCAGGTATGCATCGGCACTTCATCCTGTACGGGTTGATGGAGTATCTTGAAAGACGGTGAGCAGTTGGTCGATACCAATTAAAAAATGTGTAACTGTCTACGTGTGTTTCATTTCTGTCTAGAATATCCAGGAAGGAAGCTTAACTTTCCTTTTTATCAGGACTTGTTTAACTGGTTTTGAAGTCGGAATATATAGGGAGACAGGATTTATGATATCGAAGAAGGCGAGTTCAGTCCAACCAATTGTTTCACACTCATTCTTAAAGTCAAATGTCGGATTTTGGGTATTGACTATTACCGTTCTTTGATATTTGTGCCGTAACAGGCTCAATCATCACTATACAGCTGAAGAGATTCTAGAACTCTTAGATCGCTTCTACAACCTAGAGCTTCTGGTAAGTAGTGCCGACGTTCGACAAGAAAACAAGTTGTTGTCAGATTGTATGAGGCAGTGTGTCTGGGTCTTTAGCTTTTCGAGCCTTAGTCGAAAGTACGTCATGAACTGTTTGAGCAGTAGACAACCCCGATGCAGAAACCTAACAAGAGAGATCGGAACCTCTGCAGAAACCCGATGAAGAGGAGCTGGAGCTGTTGAGCCAGGAGGAAGAATTTGCACTGCCTGCGTCAATCCTTGCGGTCAAGGAAGAACCAAGAGGATCTTCGTGAAAAGAAGTGCATGCCAAGTGTTTCTTCTTGAAGACCGGATTGCAGAAATGTGAGTGGAACTTCTCCTTTCGTGAACATTGTGTTTACAACACTATTTTACAGAGTCTTGCAGTCGAGTCCCCAATAGAAAGCTATTGGGGACTCGAAGACTTGTAAATAAGAAGGGCCCTAGAAGTGTCGTTTCCAGGACAAGCCTAATGTACGTTGAATGAATATCGTGCAAAATACATGTCTTTTAGTTAGTACACTTTCGTTGTTTGGCTCAAATTTGTCCTTGTCCTGCTAGCCTTCAGTCGTAGGGAAGGTTTGATGTAGGTCTAACTGTCATTTTTCCAGACAAGAACAACTCATACTATTGATGGGGCCACTTCTTTATAAGTCCGAGTCGGTTTGAGGATCCTAGTCGAAGACTTGCTTAGAAAGATTGGAAGATGAGGACTCTCTGGGATTAATCATGCAATAGGTTATTGCATCTTGCATCTCGTCTTCTATATCAAAGTAGAAGTCGTAATCAAAATTTACCACATGGCGTTTTCAAATAATTGTTTCAAATGTGTGGAGATAAACCTTGAATGCTAGGCTGAAAGTCAATTGTAGCCACTTGGATTCTTATGTAAGATGGCTTTCTCAATAATGTACCTAGCGAACCGCAATTCCATGTCTTTTCTTAGTGTAAATTGAAGCTGCTGTTATGATGTCATCAGTTTCATTTCTCTTTTCGCAGGTAACCGGTCACATAACGCTTGCTGGAGCTAGCATCTTGTCGCCATTCGCTACAGCTGCGAGCGTAGCTGCCCGGTTACATCACAACAGCGCCTGAAGGCTTGCCCTGAGGAGTATATGTATGGCTCATGAAGAAGTTCGTATAATAGAAACACATTTACCATCCTCCGGGACGAGCATTGATTTCAACTGTAGATCGAGGAATGCGCCAACGAGACTTATTTACGTTGAGTGCAGCTCGGAATATATTGCGCAGGTTCTGCCTGTGCAACATCTTTGAAGTGAAAAGGCTGCTGAACTAAATGGGAGCAACCCTGAAACGAATTATGCTCTTGACCGAGAGGGTTGAAATGATCAGGGTCAGAGTTTCTCTGGTTTCATCTCATTAGCTGACAAAAATGAACCGTTAAAGATCGAGATCTAGTTAGATGATATTTGCTGTGACGGTTTACCTGTATTCCAGTTTAAGAAGAGTTACTCGACCGTCTACCACGAATTGATGTCTATACTAAATGTCAGTTTGGATCTACTCTCAGATCTTTCATTTTTGTGTTTTTTGATACTTGACGTGACCATTTACACGAATGCATGGGATCTATCTTGTGAGTCTTGACTCAAATTTGTATTGTACCTCTATCTAGTTCAAGTGTTCAAGCTCAACCTGTGCTGCATATGCTTGTATTATTTGAGGCTATACCAGACAATTAGGGCTGTAGGACCAGTCAATTGGGAGGTAAGACGGAATATCTCTCCGTCGATGTCGATGTTGGGAATCGTGTGGTGTATGTCAGGAAAGTATGAGTTTTCTGTAAACAAGTTCTCATCATGCTGGAGTGATCTTGAGGGATGATGTGTCTGTATTTTCTGTGTTTCTAAGGCAATCTGTATAATATGCCTTTGCGATTGTAGTCTAGTTGGTTCGTGCAGTCACGTGAGCAACCCGGGGCTTAATGTCGAAATCGGACCTAAACCATCCATTCAAAGAGTCTGTTTTATGAATTGAATTGAAGGCCACTAACTTTCTTTGGACGGTGTAAAACTTTGAATGTGAAATGTGATCTAGTCATGACTCTATATCTACTTTGAGCTTACATCTTCACACCCCAATCTAGTTCAATTGCAGTCAATCCGGACAGTCAAACCCATCTTCTCCTTTTCTCTTATAGTATTACCCGTAAATTACGGGAGGATCCCACACTTTAAAGGGAGTGTTAGAACCGCACGCTCCTGGAAGAGAAGGAGCGTGCGGTTAGAGTTATAACTTCACCAAGAGCTTCTATGATGTACACCTAGCCACATCAAAACCACCCTCCGAGCCACAATTTTGCGACGTGAAGGAGAATTATCAACTTCATCCACATCATATGATGGTGGGTCAACATCACATAATGATCGGAGGAATCACAATTCTCAAGGATGAATGTGAAAAACACATTAATACCCCAAGCAGCTTTCTGTTATCTCGACGATGCAACAGAGTACGTGCAAGAACTACAATCACGGAAAGATTGTCTGCGCAAGGAGTTGCTCGATGATGAACAAATCCTTAACATTGATGCCATACCCAAGGTTAGGAAGAGAGGAGGATGCTTTCTAGACATCTAAACCTCTGAGCCACGGCTTGACATCATCCCCGAAGAACAACAAATAGAGACTCTTGTTCAGCCCGCGGAAGTAAGTAGTTTTCCACGTGATTAATTTCAATTCCTGTGATAGGCAGAGCTTTACCTTGTCGCCTTGAAGATTATCGATAAAAAGTTGAATGCTTTTGCTTTTTTCGTTAATGCTGAATTCTTTCTACTCCACATACAATGGACGCGCATTTCTATGTGGACAAAATCGATGAATCCGTATTTACTGTCCAGAGTAGACGTGAAAAGTCTCCAGCAATGTTTCTGGTCATCCTCCGCATCATGGATGAGTTAGCGATTTGTTGTCGGTCGATTCTTTGACTTAGATTTAAATTCTGCTTGTGGTGCACATTGCATAGCTTAAAAGAGTAGAATAAGAAGAAAATTATACACTTCACAACATAGAAATGACCATTATTTTTGAGATTGCCAATAGATTTGTTTACAAAACTTTGACGTATAACACACCATACTAAAAAAAATAATTTCCTAATAAAACAGTTATTTGATTGAGAAATTTTGCTATTGTAGCTAAAGAATATTCATGTATCTTGAGTTGGAAATATTTATCTATCTATTTATATCTATAAAAAATATTAGAGTCATTTTTTGCAACTTAGGATTATTAAATGATGAATAAAAGACAATTTTTTAGAGTAGTTACTTCCCTAAATCATATCTCTAAATGAGTAGTGTATATATTAGGTTGATTTTTTAATTTATTTTCTTTTAGATATAAACGTTGCCAATGATTTTAAGATTTGTTCATTTTTTAAAGACTATCTATTTCTAAGTTTTGTAATCAATGTATCTATGGAGATGATGATAATTTTATATTATATAGGTCTATCATTTACATTATGTTTTGGGTTAAAGTCTCCGAGTACTTTTCTAAGATTGGTGGGTACAATCATTGCATATGTTTGATATAATTATTCACTTCACACCAAAATCTTGACAGTGCATTATACATTCAATATGAATATAGTAATTTATAAATGGTGGTGTATTTTTCACTCGGAGCATGTGAATTTGTGATCCTTGTTGTACTAATTTACTTCTCCAATTTCGTCTGTAGTATCATTTCTAATGTGCCACATTTAAGTTTGTTTGAAGAAATCATACATTCTTGTTGAAAAAATTGAAAACAAATTCATCTTTCGTGGATTTGTGAACATGTACTTCCGGGAAGTATTATCAACTATACTAGCATGTCTCTAGGTAGAGACGTCACATTTGGCAATGTTTGATTCCATGGCAGACCATGTGCCATTAAAAATTTAGTATAATAGGAGTTTGAAATTTCTAATATGTTTATAGTTTAAAACTAAAACTCCCACCGAAATCACTTTGGTGTAAAGAATTCTGTACAGTAGACTCCCACTTAATTACGCACCCGTTTAAGTAGAAATTTTATGACAAATTTTGTAGAGATTAACATGTATAATTGTAACATACAGTATCATAAATAATAATCTGGAGAATGTTTTGGTTTTTTTAGATCTTGGTCTGGAACTCTTGAAAATTTTTTTTTGTAGCCTGTACAATGATTCTTCCGCTTCTTTTTAAATGTTAGAGCAGAGTATCAACTGTTGGTGATATTCAATACATAGAATCTACATACATAAAAACTCAAATCTACATTCAAAACTCAACAATATGGTCTTGTTGTCTTCATCCTGCTCTGCTTCATTAATCTTCATCAATTTTCAACAATAATTCTTTTCCACGTTGGACACTAGAGGTTAAATACACGGTTAAGTACACACAACTCTAAAGGTAAAGTTGTGTGCAAGCACGGGAGAATAAGAATAAAAAAGGTTTAAACTTAAGCTTGTATTTTTTTCTTTTAAAAAATGATCATAAAATAATAAATTTTCTACATACAAAGAACATATCAGAACAAAGTCAATGATCAACTGGTACGCGGGGATTTTTCGCAGCCGGTCGTACGGCGGGCCCCCTCCAGATGCGGCGGACGCAGCGTGCAATGGATAGGACAGAGATTCCGAAGAGGCGACGATGTTGCTGTAGGAGGGACAGGGATTCTAGAGCCGGTGGATTCACTCACGCGCTGCTGCCGGTGAGAGAGAGAGATCCTGTACGGAGGGGGAGGAGGAGATGGACGACGATGGAAACATGTGGAAAAGAAGGTGATGGCCAGGCGTTGCGCGATGTCTGCTGACCAGGGAAGTGAGCGAGCGTTGCCGATGCCGATGTGAGGATAGGGTAGCGGACGGGGCTGGCCAATGGACGCAATGCCTGGCCTGCTGCTCGAGCTCATCCATCCCCCTCCCGCTCCGACGGAGCGCAGCGACTGAATTCGCGCCGGGCCCAGATTCCGTCCGTCGGCCGCGGATTGGGCAGCGGCACATTTGGATCCTCGGTGAGCAGGCGAGGCGACGTCCGCGGGCGGAATTCGAATTCGATGTTGTGGAATTGATTGATTGAAGGCTTGGGATTTGGCAGACGGCGGAGTTCTTGAAATGGCGGCGTTGTGAGGTTGCTGCGGATCCATGGCGCCCATGCACTGAGGCCCGTGGACTGAGTTGAGTGCCAGATTCGAGCATCGCTGCGATCTGTTGCGACGCCAGAGCCGGAAGCTCGAGAGCTATGGCTGCGTTTCTGCCCGGCGTCCAGCAGGCCACTGCTGCTGCTTCGGCTTCTTCCGCAGCGGTTTGCCCATCCGTCGCCAAGTCGTGCCGTTCATGCCAGTCGTCTCAGATCGTGTGTGCTCCATCGCAGGTTCCGATCACTCGCTCGCTCTGCATTTTGTCATGGGAAATGGATGCAATTTTTTTCTGCACTCAATTCGAGTGCAGATTTATCCAATTTTTTCGATGTGTTTCGGAATTGGGCACGACCAATCTCGACTTGTTTGATTTTTGTAATTCAACGAGGATAGCCAGTCTTCGTTTGTCAGACTTTAATGATGTCCAGCTCTTGGTGCTTTCTCGTACTTCTGTTGAATGAAACGCCGGAGCTTGATTATTGAGCGTTCGCAGTGATCATGTTCAGTGTATACAAATGAACGAATTTTTTGGGGACGAATGGGGCTTTGAATCAAGACATTTAAAAAGAAATGAATCCATTCCACTGCCGTAAGCGAAAGAAACATTTTATTCGAGGCAGCGAAATGCGAGTTCGAAGAACTAATATCTTTCTCCTGTGTGCCGTGCGTGGAACGTGTGTGTGTGTCCGAAAACTTCAGTTGTGTTGCCGAGGATTGTCCGGAGCCTTCCTCAGAAGATCTAACCGGATCAGTTTGGGAAGAGGGTATGTTGACATCAGGAAGAGATTCAAGGGCAAATATGCGTTGAAGGCCACTGCATCCGCTGAACAACAAGCTGAGGTCTTCAATTCCTCTGGGAGTGTAGTAGTTCCCACTCCCACTCCCACACCCACTCCATTCGATGCCTTCAAATTTGCTAGTGAGGATGGATCCTCAGGACAGGCTGTGGATGCAGTTAAATATGTATCTGATAGTGGATCAGCTGGAACGCGTCTGCTAAGTGCCAAGGAGAAGTACCTTCAATCCATCAATGGCGGACTTGAGCCGCCCAAGAGTGAGAACGTGGACATGTTCGGTGGGTTTAAAGATATGTTCAAAGGCTTCGGTAATACAGGTGACTCGGTGGATAGCTCGGTCAAAGGCGATGTTGTTAAGTCTGCTACAGGTAATGACAGAGCTGGGGACGCTATCTTGAATGCTAAGAAGCAACTGCTACAATCATTTGGAGGCGGAGGTGAGATTCAGTCCCAAAATGAGGCAAATGAAGTGGATGTTCTGGGTGGGCTGAAGGATGCTAAGACCTCGGCTACGGATTCAGTGAACAACTTCTTCAAGGGTATTACAGATTCTATGGACTCGGTGGGCAAGGCGATTAAGGACACTGGAGTCAAGTCTGCAACCGAGGAAGAAATTGCTGGGGAGACTGTTTCGAGTGCCACGGAGTCTGTCCAGAATATGTTGGAAAGCACAACAGACTCCGTCGATTCAGTAGGTAATGTGATAAAGGAGAATGGAATCAAGCCTGGAGACCAGGATGGGTCACTCGGGGAGACTATGTCCAGTGTGAATGAATCTGTCGATAGCTTTTTTAAAGGACCAACAGATTCTGTCGACTCAGTGGGTAATTCAATTAAGGATAGTGTGGTGAAGTCTTCAACGGAGGATGGATCCTCGGGTGAGGCATTGTCAACCGCTAAGGACTCGATGGACAATATTTTCAAAGGCATTACGGACAATGTCGATTCAGCTAGCAAAACAGTGGAAGAAAGTGTACAGAATTCTATGGCCGAAGATGGATTAGCAGGGAAAGCTTTGTCTAGTGTCAAAGAGTCAGTGGACAATCTCCCAATCCAAGATAATGTGGATTCAACTGCTAATTCTGTCAGTGATATCGTAATGAAATCTGCAACTGAGGACGTATCATCAGGAGAGACTCTGTCAACCGTGAAGGACTCAATGAGTGATGTAATCAAGGACATCACAGATACGGTTAACTCCGCTGGCAGTTCAGCTAATGACAGTGTAGTTGTCAAGACTGCAACCGAATCTGGATCAGCTGGGGAGGTTGTGTTGAGTGCCAAAGAGAGGTATCTTCAATCCATAGGGGGTGGACTTAAGCAGTCACAAAATGAGGATGTGTTTGACGGACTGAAGGGTGCAGATATTGATGTTTTTTCTAGTTTGAAAGATGCTCAAAATGCAGTTACAGGTTCCGTAAATAATTTTGTGAAATCCATAACCGATGCAATTGACTCAGCTGGAAATCAAGTGAAGAGCTCCTACGAAAGCTTCAATGGATCCTTAGTCAAAGCGGTGAAATCAGCTACAGGGTCGGTGGATAAAAGTGTCAGTGGTCTCCAACCAAATGTCGATGGTATCAAACCTCCCAGAATTTCTGTGGACATTGACTTCACGGCCCCTTTCCGGATGGGGACGCCGGCCAATGATGCTCTCAAGGAAGTTGTCGTCGTTGTCAAAGATGTAACCGGTACTGTACTTGTAACAGCTGGAGAGTTACTCACCAAATTTTATGCTTCTGCAAAGTCTTCTTTACCAGAAGACGCGTTGATCATACTCAATGATATCGAAGAGAAAACCTCTCAAATAGCCCAGCCTTTGGGCTCAGCCTTTGATCAGGTGTGTTTCTTGGGATCTGTGCAGAATGTTTATTTTTTCGGGAAAATTAAGAAACCTCAAACTTCGTACCTCATTGTAACTGTCAAGGGAGTCTAATTGTTGGCATATAATGTGACATTTCTGAGAGCTTTATGGTCTACAGACAAACTTGTGAAGGCAAACTTCTGGTCCTACTTGCGAAGTGTAGAGTCGTCAGAAGAGGTTTGTAATAATCAACATTATTGACGTGCAGGCCTATGCAATCGTTATAGATGTAGAAAAATCTGCGGGTATCAATCCGGAAAACCCTGTCATACCAGTAATTTTGGTTGTTGGTGGTACTCTTTTCCTGAGGTACGTGCACTACAATTATGGTCATCGGAATTGGCTTGTCGTGTGATTCTTGCTGCTTGAGACTTTCAGGGCGAATTTCTTCTGTTTTTGTATTTTTTTCATCCTGGGCATTGGTAGTAACACAAATGAAACTCTCTAGTTCTATATTTCACAGAATGTAGTAGATCTTATCAATTATTGAGAGCAAGATGGCGAATGTTATGCTTGTGCGGCTTGCAGTGTCAGCTACTTTCAGAGCAAGTATGGAGGATACGCGGGAGACTTGCCTCCAAATGAGGCATTGGATCTGCTCAAGAATGAGGGCAATGTTGTGATGGTTGACATACGTCCACAGGTAAGATTGGCTTTTTCTGTATGATAATTAAGGCTGACCTCTGATAGCATCTCAATGCCTTCATTACTGCAAAGCTTGCTAGTGAAAGCTTGATCCCTTGCAAATTTCGTGGAATGACAAATTTCGTTGCTTCAGGAAATTAGGGAAGCCGAAGGAATCCCAGATCTGCGTCGATCAGCCAGATTTAAATTTGCTGCAGTTGAAGTCGTGAAGGTGAGATCGATTCGTGAATGTGATTTTCGCAGTCTTCTTAGAGTAGGGAGAAATAGATCAACTTTTGTTTCTTGCTCAAGTCAAATGCATGCGTACGGATAATTATTGTTATCATATTGCATATTCAAGGGAATCGGAAGTACTGAATAGTCTGTCCCTTGCTTCTTCTGACGATAAGCATGTAAAACTACATATCTTTACAGGCGGATAAGACGATTCGAGGCCAGCTGAAGAATGCCGGTGATATCGATAGCCTTCTCACTGCAGCTGTTATACGCAATCTAAAAAATGTCGATGTAAATTTCCAGAAACCCTCTAAAGCAGTTGTTTTTTCGTAATGTCTCGACTTCGTACCCTCTCGTAATGTTTCTCTTAGTTGATTTGCTACTGTTGGAACAGTAATGGGAGTAATGAATTTTAGTCATAGCATTTGTGGGCAACTCTCTGGTTTGAGAAACATTTACTTTGTTAGCTCCATACCATCTGAATACTTAAAATTGTACCCAGCAAGTGATGAGCATTGTTCTCACACACATCGATTTTTGGTTAGTACCCAGTTCGGACATCACATTTTGAGTTGAACGATTGTTGCAGGGTGGCACGAAGATTATTGTACTGGACGAGGACGGCACACAATCGAAGCAGATTGCTAGAGGGTTGAGGAAAACTGGATCGAAGGTACAAAAACATATCTAGAAAAGTCAATATCTGAGACGAGAGGAAACTCCGCAGGTGCATCGATTATCTCGATTAGCCAATACTGCCGCATTTTGGGATCTTTTCTAACGCCTTCATCTCATCTACGTCCTGTAACCAGCGAGCATACCGAGTAGATGGAGGATTTAAAGCATGGGCTTCTCAAGGACTTCGCTCCAAGATGGATATTCCACAGACTCCCCTTACGATCCTAAAAGAGGTACTTTACCTTCAGATGTGGCAGTAAAATCCGAATATATGACAAATCTGGAAGCAAGATGAGCATATTTCGAAAATGCGTAATTCTCCCGTTGCCTACGTTGTGCAGGAGACTGAAGCCATTGTTGAAGAAGTGAAGCCAACCGTGGCTGGCGTTGTTGGAGTATCAGTGGTACGTTGAGCTTAAGCAGTTTCTTGTATGGAGCAATCTCTCTTTTAAGTCTACCTGTTCAAGTGGTACGTTGAGCTTAAGCAGTTTCTTGTATGGAGCAATCTCTTTTTTAAGTCTACCTGTTCAAGTGCCATCGGTCTAGTGTTCTGTATAACTGATGGTAATTCACATGCGCTGGTTGTCTCGCAGGGCTTGGTGGCCGGCACATATGCTCTGCTAGGTACGGATGCAAACAAGGATCTGCTTATGAAATTGATCATATAGCTACCATTTTCAGAAAGAACTGGACTCCTAGAATTTGCCGGATCTACTTGTAAAACAACAGCAGCGAATTTCTAGATATTTACGGATGCTACCTCTGGAGAAATTTGTGTTTCTGATTAAATTGTTCGTCAACTGTAGAGTGGGAGAGGACGCTTCAACTTATTGGTGTCATCGGACTCGCTGCGGTAAATGAACCTCTCGTGCAGTTTCAGGCCAAATCGTTTCCACCTGTTCAGTACAATTTAGTTGCATATTAACACGAATGCTTCATCTTCTGGTTGCAGACTCTCTACATCAGGGTGGAATCCTACGAAAGTGTCGAAGACGTCAAAGCAGATATACAGTGAGTTGCACACTTGCACTATGACTTGTTTCTGCTCTAGATACCAAATGGATATCGATTGAGGAGTGATACAATTTGATATACTTCCTCTTTCGTATAAATGGCGCTGGTGAAGGTGCTGAAATTGTGAAATTCAACTCTCAGGTTACTGCAGAAGCCTTTCAAGTCTTTCATTCAAGCAATTCTTCTTTTAACGGGCCAAGCGGAGAAAGGAGAACTTCAGCTGGCAACTTCACCTGCATCCTCTGCCGTTCAGGGAAGAATGCTTCAGGCAGCTGCTAAACATGGACCGTTGGCTTCAGAAATGGAACAACAGCAGGACGAATCGAGTCCGACACCAGAGGACGAGATGTCCAGCGCTGTTGATAGTGAACTCAACGAAAGTCATTCAGCAAGTATGCAAGAGCCTCCGCAGTAAGACCTTACGAGAATAATTGTACATCATTAGCCTCTATTAGACGTTGAACCCTGATTCTTCGACCAGAGGAAGAGTCATGTGTGCAGGACGAGAGCATGTCAAAGACCTGGGTTGGATCATTGTGGGAAGAAAATGTTTCTGCATATCCCACCGTATGTTGATGTATTTTAGTTGAGGGGAGCGAGCTCACTTCGTACTCGCAAGTGAGAGGAGAGCTACCACAATGTATTGTGCAAAGCACAATTGTACACTTAATCTTTTTAGAAATTTCTCAAATTTGTAGACAATCCGGGCATAAGAAGAACCGCTGTGTAACTGTGAAACAACAGTTTCAAATAATTTGACGACAACATACTGTACTTTTTCTTTTAGATTCACAGAGTGGTTTGTTTTGTTCAGTAATCTTTACCAACTACGCAATATTGTTCACGAAGTTTCAATCTACTTCACAATACACGTGATCAAACTTCACAATTACTGTGCCAGAGTAACTAAATCAAGTAACATCCGTTGTTGCGTGTTTAGCCAGTTCTAACAAGTTCAGAAGCGCTGTCTGCTGGCTTTCCTCTGCATAATGGTTAATACACACGGCAGTACTAAGTTGAGCTACAATCTCACCCGTCAGCTTGGTGTTGTACTGAACAATTAATGAACCCCAGTTTGGAAACTTCATGAGGTGCCTCACGGTAGAAAAATGACGTTCGAAGGTGTTCGTAAGAACCTCTGAGCAAAAAGAGAAAAAGCAAGTGTCAGGACTGCAGTAACTCTCGTCACATAAAAATCCTCAATCATCTTGTGCAATGCGACTTTGGGAGACTAGTTGGTTGAGTCTGAGAATGAGTTTAAGTACCGATATCCAGGTCACCGGTATTCGCCCACTCACAGAGATAATCCGCCACAATTTTCTCGAAAAGCTGATATCTGTTTCATCAAGGAATGATACCACAATGACACATGCATATCGAGAATTTTTTATTAAAAAGCTTTTAAAATCTCAAGAGCACAAGCTGAAAGAAACTAACACTCACTACCTGGAGCAAGAAAAAACGTCCAGTCTCAGCTTCGAACACTAGGAAAGCACTGCAATTGACTATTTTCATACTACCTACAGGACCTCACCAAAGATGTCTCCTACCTGACATGGCACAGATTTCACCCAGAACGTTCTGTTACATTAATGGTATATATCATTTCCATTCTGAAATAAATACAGAGAATGAAACAAAATAGATGGAGATAGAGCACTTACAGGAAGTATAGATTCTCGTATGTTTGAGCTGCCCCTTCATGAAAAGGATTTAAACATACTAGAGTTTCTGTGACTTCTGCGATTAGTTTTGAAATGATGAACAATAACTGATGGCCAAAACACGGCAAACTTCCCAACTGATACGAAGTTTGTTGTATCCAAACCCGGGCATCAGGTCCTGCACCATCTAGATTCATCAGGTTGAGATTCATACATATGACAAAAAAGCATGCGATATCGGCTTTGCTGATTCAATCGAATCAGCACATTATTGACTTTTTTATTTCTTTTTCCTTCCTTCTAGCTCACCTTCGTCAGATATATGGTTCATAATTTTAATACTTAAGCTTGACGTGAATTTTTTCACCATCTCTTGAACGCTGTACTTGTCCTCGGCTCCTTTATCTATCAGTTGTATTATACACTCTGCGTAGGTAAAGCAAGACCGTCAAACAACTAGTGTGAAGGCATTGCTAGGATATGTGAAAAAAGGTACGATAATATTTTACATCTTGCGTTATAATGTTCGGGTGTAAAAAGAAATACGAAAATATAAGCATGGCGAAATTGTACCTTTAATGAATTTCACAGATTGATGGATATATGCTGAAAATTGCTTGGTCTTCGAACTCTGTTTTGCAGTCACCCCTTATAGGACTTAAAATCATTGTGAAAAATATGCACACACCAGGAACTTAGAGCAATATCTGGTACGACAAGAAACAGATATTTTCACTGTATTTGCAGCTTATGGCTTTAAAAGTTTAACCAGTTTCTAAGCATAAAGCGAAGAGAAAAAAAACGGAGTAAAAAGATCATGATAGTACAGGGAAAGAATAGAGAAACTGAAAACTAGGCCCAATGTTCAATTATTGACTGATGTAAAAGAGAAGTGAATAAATAAAAATTGTTAATGATAATATTCATCGTGAAATAGCATAAAATATGAACTTACTGTTTGCGCTTCAGAAAATAAGTCCATTATGAACTGCAGTGATAGGGCTATGTGACCTTTGAGATTTTCTTCTAGCGATACTTGCATGCCCCTGGGTATAATGACTGCAGATTTTCTTCATGGTACAATAACGTAAATCACAGAAAATAGAAGAAAATCAAGTTATGTAGATTGTTAAAAATAACGCTCTCTTCATCTCAAACACAGCCAAAAGGTAGATTACATCTTTCAAATACCATATGCATGTTCTGAATCATTAGAATTCAGAACATGTTTTGAAGCACTCTCAATGTTAGTCTTTGTTTCCATTGTCTTCTTTTACTATCTTACTGTGGTACCTCACTCAATAAATAGTGCACAAGCTTTACCTGTGGAACTTCCCGCCCTCTTCTTTTGCTTAGCTCGCATTAGTCTTCTCACTGTATACGACATGGATGTGGTACACTACTTAGTGTAGTTCATATGACATGATACTGTTCAGTTTTTCAAATTGGCTAATTTTTTGCCATTTGGCAGGACGAGACATTTTTCTAAATTCATAACTTTACTAATTCTTACCGTTGCTTAGGAACAATTCCACCGATAGCTTGTTTGTATTCTTGTCACCGACTGATGTGTTATCTATCTCTGTCTTTTGCAGTCTCCAAAGACCACCACTCAGGAAGAGACAGTCACACGGAGCCAGAGCTGGCAGCTTTTCTAAAGTGGCATGGTCTGTGTATTTTGGCAACCAGCAGTTTTTTGTCATCAAATAAACCTTATTAGTCGTGTAACTACGAGACTAGAGTCAAGCTCATCAGGAATTAGAAACTGCCTCATATCGTTGCAAGATATATATGGACTTCGATTAGTCCTTCAGAACATGAGGAAGACCTCGAAAGATCAAGTGCAGTAACCTCGATTGAGTAACATACCGTCCATCTCTTGAACCTCCTGTCTCAAGGCTTTTATTTCCTGTTTGTACAATCTAGCCTACAACCGGGAAATGTGCCTTAGAAAACCAGGTAAACCAAACACCCGAAAGTCATCAATTGCAAGGTCTCCTCAAACTGAATCGTCCCTTTACATGCTCAACATTGAACAATTTGAAACAAAAACAATTCCATTGGGGCATATATTCGAGATACAAGACAATAAGCTTCTACTAAAACATTATGCATCTACACCAAGAATGACAAGTGCACTCAACCGACACTGAATTCCAGAGTGTCAGAAATGTACAATGATATGCTATTCTAGAGCTCACGACATGAAAAGACAAACGAGAGAAACCTTCTTCTTCCAATGCGCATCTTGTTCAGCAACTTTTGAACGCCCCCGACCTTTGACAATTGCAAGCGCAAGTGCCAATCGAAATTCACTGGAAATATGCCTCTTTTCCATGTTGAACTCCCGTGTAATCATATGTGAACTTCTACCATGCACTAACGCTTAACTTGCTTTGGTGCATCACTCAGGCCTAAACCTTTTCCTAACGACCAGAGCTCAAATTTAGCTCACCTCAACTTCCGATAAACTAAACAATGTCACCAACTTTTTGAAACGCTCATTCGCATTCTTCCTCTCATCTATCGAGCAGAAAAAGTTCAAACCCGCAAGCAATAATCACTGAACCAAAACGAGATCTGAGCTTGGCCTCAAACGAAGAATCCATGCCTCCAATGTAATCCCATTCTTTCTACAATTTGTCGAAGCGAAAACGAAGCAAGAACCGAACGCATGCAGCAGGCGATTAGACTCGAAGGAAGGAAGGAAGGAAGGTGTTGAACTCTTCCGATGTCTGTACAGGGACACAGACGTTCACTGAAATCGTGTTCCTCGGGTACAGAATTCGAATTTCGAATCGGACAGCAAGAGAGCCTAGGCTGCTGCCACTTGTCAGCATGCTAACAACCTTGCACTTCCATCTTTTATGGATGCGACTCCGGAGGTCGTTCGTGGTCTGCAAAGTGCCGCATTGCGCGCACTTGCTGTAAGCTCTGATTTCTATTTTTCCCTTAACCTTGCCAAGGCCGGAATGACCTTGTACACGGCAGTGACTAGCATAATTTCCACCTATTTAGTTCATTTCTGCCATGTGTGATTTCTTTTTTAGTTTAATAAAAAAATTGCCACATTCGATAATTAAAAATTTATGTGCATTTTTGTAATGATAATTGATTTTTTTTCCATAATAAATTAAGCATCGTAAGTCTTTAATATCAACGTTTCATCTATGTCAAATCCTATTTACAGATCAACAGAAATATATAGTAATGATATTCATGTGTGTGTACATACATAGATAATGTGACATGTGTACGTACGTATGAACAATGGCATATGGATATGAACATCATGGTATGGCACCATTAAGTTGAACAAGGAACAAAATGAAAACGATATATTGGGATATGCACAAGTAGCATCGTGATATTATGAATCTAATATAACACCTACTATATTTGAAATATTAATACCGACAAGTCCTTGATTATTTCAGGTCATATTGACTAACATGATCGTCTATATATGCTTAGTGCTCTTTGTAAAGCAATGGAACACATCATTATTAACCAAGTTACAAAATATAACAGAAAATTTGATACATTCTATTGTTAAGTATATATGATTATCATGCAATGACTCACAAACATGTCAAAATTTGCATACTTAGTTTCACATAAGTCCAATTCTAAATTAACAAAGAGTTTTTTTCATTTCAAAGTCTTATATTGAAGCATTCTAATTGTTGTTGTCACTCTGGTTCATTTGGAAAGATGATTAAACTATTTGTCACATATAGTATTGCTAAACACAACATCAACAACCATAATTCTTTCAAACCATACACATTCATGTTTCATAAGAATGTCACATCTCTAAACATATTGTATGTACTTAAACTTTTACCTTCTGCATCCAACATAACTTCACATTTATGCTAGAACAATGAATATATTAAGTGAGAGGCTAGTTATCATTCACTTAGTTTAATTAGCCCTCACTCTACTATATGCATTTATCTGATTGGTCCATCCAGTGTTAGTGGATGAGTAGCAACTAATTTCAAAATAAGATTCTAGACAAAACTATAGGAGGGTGAGGGCTAATTAACCCTAATTGAGGTATAACTAGTACCTCCTTACATTAATGGGTGTAGTATACTTAAAACAGTACCTCATCATTGATATTTGGAATCGTCTAATGCATTAACAAATCAATTTCAAGAATCTATATATTGAGATATTAAAATTTATTTTTGCATAGGTTTTTAAAAATAAAATGCTAAGGTTTTTTCTTTCTTAGATTTTTATGTTAATGTTTTCATGTAACTTAAAAATTGTGTGTGTATGCATCAAAATGCTTTGCATATTGTTGCAACAAGTTTAAGTTCATTCTGTCATTTGAAACAAATGGATATTCATGTTGTGATAGATAGATCAGAACTTGTAAATTACTTAAACTTCTTTTATCAAATTATACGTTGAAAATTTGAAATATAATTTTTTCATGATAATTTTTTCGAATTATTTTTGAAAATGAAAATAAAATCAATGATTGTTATAGATTATAATCCTAAAATTTTCAAGTTGAGACATATTTTTTACTCAAATTATTATTTTTATGTGATAAAATTACATCCAATAATAAAAATAATTTCTAAGGTGTAATAAAAATGAATAAATAAATATTTATGTTTTCAATTTCAAAATAAAAATTGAATAATTATTTCAAAAATCAAGTATATATTGCTATTATATAGCTTGTGATCTAACAAATTGTACAACACTATTCAAAATAAAGGAAATTAATTTTATATTAAGATATATGTATTATTATTAAATAAATAAAATAAAATAAGTAGAAAAATTTATTGATGTTCAAATAAATTCTAAAAAATTTAAATGTTTAGTTAAAATTTTATCTGTAGAATATTGGAATCTTGTGTTCATGTATACATATTTGAAAAACTGGAAATTTTATTGATTGATTATAATGATAATTAAATATATATTTTTGAAATTTAAATTTAAATTTAAATATGGATTGAGTAAAAAATTTCCAGTCTATATAGCTATTTAGTAAAAGAATATGATTTTTAGATACCACCTGAAACTCTGAAATTGATAAAAATGTAATATAGTATATCTTGGATTTAACCCCCAAAGCAAACTGTAAACCCTATCACCTTTGATAAATTTTTTGTTTTCTAAAATAATGTGAAAGAATACAGTCGATAAATAATCATGAAGTAAAACATTGAAAACTATGTGCTGAAGCATAATACATCTCGACTCTCTTATTTTAGTTTTACTCTTTGGTGTATTTCTTTGATACCAATGATCATAGTTAATATATACATCGGAATATTAAAGATAAAAATAATGATCGAGACGGGTATTTCAATCTGATAAATAAGTGCATTATGTGTAATTTGAATCATAAATGTATCAAAACAATCATGTGTACCGATACATGATATCTGTTCATTGAAATCCGTAGATGACCTGCATTTTGTTTTACAGCATTGGAAAATAAAGAAAACGACTATCAATATCCCACCATCTATTTGTGCGAGTTTACTTACGAGTTTTGGTGCTGAGACTAAGAACAGAACAGTGGGCCATTTTGCAAATGACGAAGGCTCGAAGGCTCTAAGGCTCTACGTACAATACAATACTGTACAATACGGTACGGGACTGTACAACGGAACGAGCGAGATGAAGAGCCATTCGGCCAAGTGTTATCTTCACCTCCTAATTTGGAAGTGATCGACGCAGCCGGTCGCACTCCTGCAGTCCCGGAAGGACGAATGAGTCGACTCCACGTGGCACTTCAGTTGTCAAAGCCTAGGATCCTAGTGTCCGCGGAGCCCAGAAGTCCGAGAAAAAGAGAAACCAAACCCAAGAATAGCGTCGTGACTAGAGTTCGCGGAACTCGGGTTCGGACTGTTTGGTGGCAAGAGGGGGCTGGGCTGGTGGTAACCGAGGCGGCCGAGCGATAGAGTACGGGAAATGCCAATGGCCGGGGTAGGTCCGACGGACACCAGCAGGTCGCAGCAGGGCGGCGACCGGATGACCGGGCGGGACCGTCAGCTTTCGATGGCTTGAGCTGGGAGCTGCAGCAGCAGCAGGTCGGTCTTGGACGAGCGTGGTGGCGATCTGAGTCTGTTGCTTGTGCGCGAGGTTTGCCTGCCCATCTCGATCTTGCTCCCGGATGTTGGACTTCTGAGGAGCGGATCGCATCGCATCGCTGTGGGATTTGCGATGGCGCAATCTCCGAATTGCGCTGCACGGGGCGGCACGGAGCGATGAGATGCGCGATGGGTGCAGGAGGCGAGGTTGCGGAGGAATCGTTCGAGGGCCGAGGCCAATTGGGTTGGGGTGGCAGTATTTTCGGTGGAATCAATCGGTGATTTCTGCAGGGCCAGCGAGCGGTCGGAGAGCGCAGGAACAGGTGAGGATTGGTGCTGAGGTTGATGGGGCCAGGTTTCTGGACTGTTTCGATATTTGGATCCAGATTTTGAGGAAAGCTGATTTCGGAGCTGTCCAGGGCTCGTTTTGCATGTTGCGGAAAGTTTTTTTGTTGGTTATGGTTCTTCCTCCGTTTGGAATGTGGGGGGACCCTGGACTTTGCATGGTGCTCTAGGCGCTCGTTGTAACTGATCTCCTCCTATCCTTTATAAGTGGGAAATTTAGCTGCTGAAGATTGTGATCGATGAGAATTGTGATCTGCACTCTGTAAGTTCATCGTTGTCGTTGGCCAAATTCATGTAAAGTTAGATGACGTTTTCATGGTTTTGTTCGGGTATGATCCGGGAATGCTCCAGTAGTCTATGAATTCTACACATGCGTAGTGGGATGCTGTCACTGATTGCATTTTTGGTGAGAGACATCCGGTGCCAGAGCTATAACTTCACATTCTCTCTCCCTCTGCAAGGATGAGGATTCTCTTATGCATTCAGTTTCTCCAGAGCAATGCATCCTGTGAGAATTAGCCTTTTGCCGTACCTTTTTGTCGACTTCAAATGCGCTGCGAGTTAAAGGGAGTCGATCTAAGCTTGTGTGTGATTTTCAGGAGCTTTAATTGGGGCTCGTGGAGTTGTGGAGCACATAGACCTAAGGGCCGGGCTCAGAATGAAGTGGTAGGAACCTGATTACAGAAACGGGTCTCAATGGCGGAAGCTCCAAGAGGTAATCCTTTGTGGTTTGTCAGACCTAGATCTTGTAACTAGTCAAAATGTTAGGAGATACAGGATTTAGTGCTTTCCATCTCCGTGATTATCTTTTAGATTGATAGGGGTGTTCTACAGCTCGCGAAGTCACAGGGTGCCGGAATTCTTACTTATCTGATCCTTCAAATCGAGTCTGAGTAGTGGGAAAAAGTAACGCATGGCATTAAATAAAAACTTATTGATCATGTAGAAGGTCATAATTATATACCTACCGAAGATTAAGCAGCTAAACTTCAGCTCTGTGTCATTGTCTTCTGATTTCATGCTTCAAGTAAACGCTCTCCTGTTCGATCAATTGGTTCTTTTGCCACATATTCTTTAGATATCTCAGCACGTATGTGGGGCCTCAAATTATGAGTTTGTACTCAGAACTAGTACGGAAGCTTTGAAAAATAAACCTACAGTTCCTTTTGATGGCGTTGAATTGCACATATGAGTAAATTGTTGCAACTGATGTATGATTGCCTATATAGAAGCCTATACACCGCAGTTTTGAGCTGTCTAAGATCCGTGGTTTGATTTCCAGTCACTGAATTATAAGAGATGACGACATATACTTTCCTGCTTTCCTGCTCCATCCAGTCCATGGTCGCTGATTTAGATGGCATGAACAGCGTCTGATTGTTTAGAGCGACGCAGCCCTTATAAGCAGGAGACCTAAAAACACAGAACTGTTCCTCTCACCTTTTGTCACTCTTTGCCCTTTTAATCGAAATTTGGCAAAGCGAACTTTAGAACGTTTAGACGCTGAAGACAATTACAAATTCTTAAGGGGTAGAATGAGAACTTTTTCTCTCCGTACAAGGTGAGAAAGGTTTACGAATGCCGAGACCTGATTACTGTCACCTGCATTGGCGAATCATAAAAGTTGATCTTTCTACGCAAGTTTCCTGACAATCTCTAGTCCAGAATTCCCTTCAAATGCATCATATACACATTTCACCAAACGTTTTCTGGTTGATTTCTACAAGTAAATAATTGGAAGTCTGGATTTTCCCCGAAATAATTGCAGTGAGAGGAAGTCATCTTGGAATGCCATACCTCTTTACCAACTCTTGTTCGTCAGGTCTCTCACTTCAGGAACTGTGGTTTGGTAGATGGATTGTCCAATTTCTCAGCACTGGATCAGAGATAATTTCTACATTCACCTGCTTAGAATTTATACGAGCACTGGAAGGCCAATGAGCTGCAGGTCCTAGGATTTTGCGAGTCTTCTAGGGGCTATTCTTGAGTATCTATTCCCACGGCACGGAAAAGGACCACAATCAGAACAGGCAGCCTGACGTTCTGATTTCAGAGCTTTTCTACATGGACATGAGTCATATTTTGTGTGAGATCTCGCCTAATATGAAGGTCAGGAGAGGACATTCGGGCTTATGTCGTTTGTATGTCCTGATGAGTTTAGAAAGCCTCATGCTGCTGTGTTTGTTGGAACGTTTTCTGCATAATTCCCAGTATCATTCAGAGATCCGCTGTTACTGCTGCTGTTGACAATCGATGCATCGACATAGCAGGATTCCACACCTTCTCGCTCTTTTCTCCAAATAGTTCAGTGGCTCCATCACACTTCAACCGTTATTCAATTGTGATAGTGTAAATTATAATTCTTCGCGTTCATACTACTGGTTGTCTTCCTGTTTGTCGTATCTAGATTCACGTAATAACACACACGAGAGTTGATTCTCTCGGGGGTTTTCCTGTTAAGATTGTTGCCTCGCTTGATCGAGGCATCTTACAAAGGTATCGGATGACGAATCCAGTTAGTCACCTTCAGATGTATTGCACATTTCACCATTCCATGTGAAAATTAATAAGCTGTTTGTGAGTGAGATGTGAGTCAATCGTGCTGATTATAATACTCAATGAAGAATCTTGATGTTGCTGTATGCGGTGATCTGGCTTCCTTAATATCGGATCTGAAGAGAGCGATGGTAGCGAGCACCTGCAATGGGCTGTTGCCTCTATTGTGCCCTAGTTGCAGATTTAGTAACAGATGATGATAATTGCAATACCTGATAAATGCTTAAAGAATCTTACTTCCTGAGGGTAACTATGATATACTTAACCTGCAGATTGGATTATATTATGATGCACTATGAAAATTCCTTACCAATTGTGGCTTTGATATCTTTTTTCGATTGCTCTCATTTACACACGATCTTGCAAGTATAGAGTCTAAAGTGAGGTAGCCTGAAGGTCCGGATTTTGTAGTGAACATGATGATTAAACCTTACAAGCTGGAGTCATGAGGCTAGGTGAGGGATTCATGAAGCGTTATCCGTCACTTACATTGGAAAGCTACTAGCTGAAGGGGTCTTCTATTAATTGTTATCACACTGTGGCACAGCTTTCATGCTTCTAAGTAAGTGTGTCATATTAAAACATTTAGCGTTCTTATACATAATGAAGATGAAATTGTGTCTGGTTTTAAATGTAATTGCTAATCTGCAGTTTTCGCAAGATATTATTGTCTCTTTTGACGCGAACGCTCCCGCTATGTTGACAGGAGGAAACAGGAAGGAGACATCAGTAGTTGTACTAGAGTTGGACTCTGGTGATTTTATAATTGTCGTCAATTTATCCACACGCAGTGATACCCAAATCATAGCTGTAGACCCTACTACAGGAGCTCTGTGTTATACTGGAACGCCGGGGTTGGATGTGTTTACTTCTGAACACGATGCTTGGCGCTACATGAAGTCTCGTGGCATGCCCAGCACCAGCAAACCTCCTGTTAGAGCAAGAGCTATAATTGGTTATGCACCTCTAGGAAGTGTTGGGCTCCTGTTGGTTGCCACAAGAGTCAAGCAATCTATACCGGAGCTACCTGGTGGAGATACTGTATTTACAGTGATGGAGAGTCAGTGGATAAAAATACCTCTTAATAACTCACAATTTCAGTCCAAATCGGAAGCTGCCCGTGCTGGAGAATTGGCGGGGTTCAATATCGACGGCTTACACTATTACTGTGAAACGCGGGATATTACGAGGCATTTTCCGAGCAGTGAACCTGTTGAGAACCCAGACAGGGAGTTTGTTTGGAATTGTTGGTTGTCTGCTCCTTTCAGGTCGCTAGGCCTACAAAATCACTGTGTCGTTCTTTTACAGGTTTGTCTGAGTTGTGGATTTTTTCTCCCCTCATGAATCTTGGTTGTGACTTGCAATCTCCCGATACTATTTGTTTGCACTTTCTCTCTTCCGTGGTGGTCTGATCGATACAGATGCCTGGGCGTCCGTAAGCTCCCTCTCAACCTTCGTTGTAGATTTTTTATTTTCACCTAGTAAAACTACACTTGTTAGTTTCACCTCATACACTTTTTGTGTCAACCTGTACGATGTTGTAGAACTTGTTGGCGTAGCTCATGAAGCTAAGTTTGTAATGACTAATGTCGAGATGTAGAGTATGCACATGAGGCATTTAAATTAACTTCTTGTCAATTGATGTAATTTCTCATTCATGCTTCAAAAATGACTTTCCATTGGCTTCATCCTGCAGGGTTTTGCTGAAGTGAGGACATTTGCCGAGTCACGAGATCTCCCAGTGACGGTTGCTGTGACTGCACGAAGAAGCAGGTTACATCCAGGAACTCGATACCTAGCACGTGGACTGAATGCTACTTTTAGCACAGGTGCGTGCCATATGAAGACAGATATGTGAGCTCAGGTTTCATCTGACATGGAGTGAAGCTATAGTTCTTATGTTGAGATTGTTCACGTGATAAATTGCACTGCAGTTATATTTTAAATTGAAGTGAATATCTGGGCACTTTGAACGCTTAGGTCTTGGAGGGTTAAAACCCAGACTAAGTTTATGCTTCTATCTTCAGGGAATGAAGTCGAATGTGAGCAACTTGTTTGGCCTTCGAAAGTTACCCCGGGTCGACCCCATCCCTTTAGCTCTTATTTGTGGCGAAGGGGAACAGTTCCAATATGGTGGGGCGCTGAAATAAAATCCACCGTTGCAGAGGCAGAAATCTATGTTGCAGAAACTGATCCCTACTTAGGGTCGGGAAAGTATTATAGAAGACTTGCCCGTAGATACAGAAGTACTCTAGGTAAATGTAATGGGGAAAAACTAGACGATCAAAGCCCGAACCCACTCATTGTGTGCGTAAATCTGCTGAGGAATGCTGTCGGGAAACCTGAGACAGTTTTGGCCACACATTTCAAGGAGGCTGTGAAGTACGTAAATTCTAGAAATGAGGTTCCAGATGCTAAGCTTTGTCTCATGGACTATGATTGGCATGCTGAAACAAAGGCCATAGGAGAGCCTAACACGGTGACTGGATTGTGGGGGCGACTGAAAAACCCTACGATCGCTATTGGATTTGGAATGGGTGAGTACTACCCTTCTTCAAGTGAAAAGTCCGGCAGTGGTATCATACCAAACAAGGGATGTCAGGGTGGAGAATATATACTTTCTTCAAAACAAGATGGAGTAATACGTTTTAACTGTGCAGACTCACTAGATCGCACTAATGCAGCTAGCTTTTTTGGAGCTGTCCAAGTGTTGGTTGAACAATGCCGCAGGCTCGGGTTACCCATTGACTCTGGGAAGTACAGCAGTCCTAGTATTTCAGCGAACGGACGAGCTGGAGAAAGGGACAGGGAGTCTGCAAGAGGACCTCGGGGGACTCTCCCACCCGGTTGGGAAATGCGCAGTGATGCAGTTACAGGCCAGGTGTTTTACATTGATCACAATACAAAAACAACTACCTGGAATCATCCTTGTCCAGATGAGCCGTGGCGACGTTTTATTATGACTGTTGAAGAGTTTCGAGACGCAACTTTACCATCTCCGATAGCAGCAATGGCCGAGCTCTTCCTTCTTGCTGGTGACATTCATGCCATGCTGTACACAGGATCGAAGGCCATGCATAGTCATATCATTAATATATTCAGTGATGAGGTGGGCAAGGGTAAGCGAAGTGCTGCGACAAATATGGCTATAACTCTGCAGAGAAGATTTTTGAATGTTTTGATGGACAGTTCTCGCCAAAAGCAGCTGGAAATGTTCTTAGGATATCGCCTGTACAAATACTTCCCGACCTTGCCGGGCAGGCCTTTGCAGGTCAATGGACTTCCAGACCCCAACTGTATTTTGCATCTTCAGAAATGTCGAAATTTGTTTTCAATATGTGGCCTTTTACTTGATCACAGAATCACAAGGTTAGGCCTTGGCACTAGTCTGACTAATTTGGAAGTGAGGACAAAGAGGCCCCTCTGTTTGCCCTCTCAAAGGGGCAAGTTTATCCTTCCCATGTTTTGCTTATCATCTTTCTTTAGATCGTATCATTCTTTGACTGCTCTTCATGTTCGGCGATGTTTTTGAACTTATAGGTGCTGACGAGGCCACAATCATGCCTTTTAAACGATATCCCAAATATGTTCGCAACTCCAAATTCCCAGAGTTTCCTGCAGAGCTCCAGTTCCAGAGATTCAGCATGGGTAAGTTCGATATTCTCTGGCAATTGCAGTCTTGTAACTTTAGCGTAATGTAACGTGCTTGGATCTCGTTAGGTTCTCTTTTTGAAGATTAAGTGGAAGGATCATCGTCCTTAACAAAAGGTGGATGTATATACACAAGGTTTGAAAGCAAGTCACGAGCAGGGACTTGCTAGCCATGCAATACAATTGCGGGTGGATATTTGCCATCAAGACCCGTTGTCACCTGTCTTGTGATTGCCGTCATTTCTAACGCAATTCAAGCTGGCATTGGACTGCCTCAGGTATGCCCTGCAGGTGCAGATTCAGTGCAGCTCTTGATCTACTTGGCGGAGCCTTGTCACGTGTGTCAAATCTTACTGACAGTGGCACATGGAACTGACGATACTACATCCCCTGGTTCTTTTGATGTTTCCACGGGACGAACTCTTGAGGATCTTAAGGTTGTGTTGGAGGTTAGTACCATCTTTCCGAGTTCCGCACTATTATTTACCGCATGAGTTATCAGAGTACTTGAATAGTGACTATCGGTGAAAACAGTAGCAGTTTTCAACCTATTTTGTTTCAATGACCATGTCTGGCGTTATGGTGCTAGTTACATCAGTTTTGTCTATCAAACCTTCCTGTCATAATTCGTTTGGTCTTTAGAGAACCTTTGTTGTCCTAAAACAATTTTTGTTACTGGCTCTCAGGGAAGTAAAGTACCTAAATGTGCTCATGGTACTCTATTGACATATCCTCTGCCGGGTGCAATGGACCCCGAAGAGGTTGCTATTACTGGGTCGGGCGCTGGAGAACAAGCTTTTTCTTGGCTCTATGATTTTGAAGAGCAGGAGGGAGAGATTGACTTCTTGACCCGCTTGGTAGAGATCAAGTTCTACCCTGCAACTCCAGGCACTCCTATGACTCTTGGTCAGGTACATTTTCTAATTAGTCACATATTACAGCATTGACATATTCTTTCTCAAAATCTGCTTGTTTCGCAGCGCCTGTTGCCTGTGCTAGTGTTGTAACGACACTAAGACTTACTGTCCTGAACGTAAAAGAGAGAGGGTTGTCTCCATCCCTTTTCTACAGCTTCCCAACGAATGCTGAGGTTTATGTTTTTTTCCGTCTGCGCAGGTGGAGGTTCTGGGAGCCTCTGTTTTGTGGCCTCCCGTCTTGAGAGAATTTGACCTTTCCCTAAAAACAGTCCCCCCAAATCCGAAGCCTCCACAGTTTTCTGAGCAATCCCGAAGTATGACTCTTCCAAACATTGATTTGCTGTCATTGGAGTCGACTACTATGACGAGCTCTAGTTTCATAGATCCTTCCCCGATGACGAGATCCTATTCCACACCTAACACTGCTGCCTCTCAGGTATTTGACTTGTTGACTGGAGAATTTATCCCCGAAATGCCCTCACCTGAACAAGGTAGCGAACTTTCGACATTTAAAAACATTAATGGCATGAACAACAAAGAATCAAGCCACAAAGGAAGGAACCCAGAGGGATGGAATCCTTTTGTAACCGATTCACCTGTTACAGCAACCAACGTAATGAAGAATGTACAAAAGGCACCTAAACCTTCAAGGTCATCTTCGCAGGCGGATCCCGTCGCAGAAGTTTATCTCGACTTACTCAAAGCACTGTGTGGAAAAGTACCCGTATGTATTTCTTGGCGCCTTTGTTTTTGCACATGTTCTCTTTTCACATGTTTCTGCAGATTGCTAAGCTTAACGTGTGTTCCTTATCTTCAAATCTCCTCACCTTAAATATATATGGCTTCCACTATATGTTTTGTTCTGAAGGGGAAGTCGATAACTTTCGAAGAAGGCATGGAGTTGGAAATAGCTCGCCTGCATTTGGGTCTATCTGCTGCTGGAAGAGATCGAGCACTGGTCTCCATAGGTCGTGATCCTGCAACAATTGATCCTAACAGACTAATCACCACCGGATCGATGGCACAGGTATGCTCTAATCGAAGCCCAAATTCGATGGCCATGTGGCTATTGTGGTGGGTCACCACTGAAACATGTAGTTGAGCGGATTACAAAATTCGGATACATTATCTCTTTCAAAGAAGTGTAACGATCCAGTGGGATGAACTACGTTTCATTGTAGAAGGTATAGGTATATGCTATACGTTCTCCCTAAATATGGAATGAGGTTTCATGATTCTGTCGGTGTGTATTGAAGATGTTTCATCATCTCTATTCTCATAAATTTGAACTTGGCTCCAGAACACTAATTGTCTAAATAAGCATTTACTTGTATGTGTCTTTGCAGGTAAAGCAGGCAGCATCACAGCTGGCAACGATATCTGAGATCGATACCGAAGACAGAGATCTTTCTTCACTTGGCTTCGAGGAAACAATTTCGGAACCAGACGAGATCATGGAAAACCTTCACTGTCTTCGTATTGGTTGTTTGTCATCTATGTGCGGAGTTGCGTTCTCAAACGGGAATGGAACGTTTCGATACTTCGAGAGACTTGCTAAATCTAGTGACTTTCTAGGCACCTGTGCTATGTGCAAACGGAGGGTTTGTGCAGCTTGTCATGCCGGCAAAGGTAGTGCGCTCTTACATTTTAATGGCCCAAATCCACCCGGTAGTGTTGCAGGCAGTGGCAACTCAAAACCTGCACGTGGTCCCACGGCTGTCGATGCAGTAGTCTGCAAAAAATGCTGCGTACCATTTGTAAGAGATGTGATCCTGTTGGAGCGCGTAAAATCAGTGCTAGCTGCAAGAAGAAGGTCAAGAGTCAACGATGCTTGTACAACTGCTCTACAGGGACTTGCCGGATCGTTGTCTACTGATGGCAAGGGAGGCTCCAGAGAGTCAGTACTCGAAATTTGTCCTGAAGGAGAAGTATCACTTGCAGACTTTCCCCAGGCAGGGGTCATCTCATCAGTAAGTCATTTCCTGCAGTATTGCAGATGTGATTTTACCTGCGTCAAATCATTAAGTTTCGAATATTTGTCAATGAGTTTTTTGAACAAATTTGGCAGGTGTTTAGTTTCATAAATTGATTTTATTTCGTAGTAAAATAGAAAATGCTGCTATGAGCTGAAGAGAGCTCGGCGAAATTTATGAAGCGAAAAGGAAATGTTACTTTGACCTTAGGAGAACTCAGTCAAATCCATGAAGCAAAGATGTGCAATAGATGCAAATACTTAAGTCCAGAGAAATTGGTTATAACCAATTTCTCTGGACACGAGCTTCCACAACTTTGAAAATTTACCATATCGAGAAAGACACTGAAGCATACCATAGACGGAAACCGGTATGAATACTCCATGACAGAACTTTCCAATGCTACTATGTAATTAACATCAGCATATTTACAGAGTTAGTAAGAAGTCTTTTGAAACCTAAAGAACATCCGATCTCTCAGCTTGAGTGGGAAACACTTGTGGTTCTGAAAGCGTACTTATCTTCGTGTCTAATGTATCACAATACAAACAAGAGCTTGGCGCTGAGGAGAGCATTACCCTCGAAATTGAATGAAGCCTTACCCGCTGCTGTCGTTTGATATCCGCATGTTGAAGCAGAAGAACTAATTTCAGTTTCAAATTTGCAGAGCGAGAGTTATTCTGCCGGTTGTCAGTAATTGTACTACTGGCCTGACATGTTGGTGACCAATGTTAGAACTGGAGAGTGTCTAATCAGTGTATGTTTCTCTCGCAGGTCCCATCTGCAAATGAATCAGAACCAGTCCATTCGCTCCTTGTGAGCCGGAACGAGGCGTCTACATCATTTTGGAGAGCACCTTCTGGTATTCATATTGTTGAGCTGACTGTTGTGTTAAATAGCCTCTCTATCGTCTCCAGCATCATGTTGATGACGAAACTCGGTGGCTATACAGTCAAGGATGCTCCTATGGTAGGTCCTATTCAAAGATGTTTTCTCGGGTCACTAACTTAAGTTAGCTATGGCTTAAAGAGGAGAGGGTTTCGTTCAGTTAGATCGGATCTGATTTCATTGAAGGTCATGTTTGCCGCTGTGTTATTTTTAATAGCCTCGTAAAAAAATTTCAGCGTGTTTACGGAGTCTGGTATCTCCATTGAGCTGAGTTCTGTTTGGAAGCGCTTTTTGAACACCTAAGCATGAAAATAACGAAACGAGAAAGAGTTTATCTCTTGCAACGGTGTATGAAAGTGATCCTGAGATTAATTCTATCAGCTCTACTTATGTGAATTAAAATTTTTTTTCTTCAGGTCGACCTCTGGGGTGGCACTTTAGCTGATGAATCAGCGCGCACTTACCTTGGTCGGTTTGATGTGAAAGCTGAAATTAGTAAACCACGTTCACCAAGATCGTTACCACCGGATTTCCTCCGATACAAGCTCCGTCACGAAGTAACTTGCAGAATTATATGGATCAAATTTAGTCTCCCATCTTCGAGCGTATCGTCAAATTCGAATTTGGGTCCAGGCCCTTCAGCAGTGATGGATCTTCTAAGCTTCGATACTGCACCGGCGCAAGACTCCAGTGTAACTGGACCGTTGAGTAAAACCAGCTCAGACTCTTCTGGGAGTTCTGTATACATTCATGCCAAGAGAATTATGATTATAGGGCAGCCGATTCCCGAGGATTTGGATACGCGATTCATGACACCGAATGACAGACAATCTCTCAGGGCTTTCCTGGATCTACCACCAAAGTTGAGCAGACTAAGGGTGAGTGCCAGTCTTATTCGTTCTTCTTTTTCCAGTAGCACCTGCTTATTTCCTTCACTCCCAAGTAGGATTAGATTGAGTCATGCTGTCAAGCTTTGAAACTCGACGCAGGTGCCGTGCAAGAGTTTGAATATCTTGTATCTACAGAGTGACGGTCGAAGATGTGTTGTTCTTAAGTTTCGAGTTCATTAACAGTCACTGGCCAGTTCTTGGGAAAGATCTGGCAGGCCTTTTCTTACCTTTCAATTGACACTGAAGAACATCTTCAATGTTGTTCCAGTGATGTATCAATAGATTTAAGATGAATAGGTAGAAATATAGTAATAGATCGAACTAATATGGACCGGTGTTACACAGGTGCAAGTTGATATGGAGCGAACAAAGTCAGGTGGACGTGTTGTAGAGCAACTTGTGAACCCGCAGGCTTTAAATGTTGCTGGCTTTCGGCTAGATGCATTTGCGGCTGTGAAGAATATAGCCAAGTACAATCCAACTTGGGCCGAGAAAAGCCTAGTGAATCGAGCACTGGGAGGTGCGGTAGATGAGCTGATAACGAATCTACCAACCTTGCGAATTCGAATTTCTGCCATTCAAGTGAGTCTTGAGCTCTTGAGATCCTAGCCATGGTTGGTGACTTGAAATTCTTGCAATTTTATTGGTTTCGTGCAAGGATCAGCAGGACACGAAGGGATGACCTCACCGCACTCTCTGTGTCTTCTTCTTTCGCATCAGAGTCTTTAGTTTGGCTTCTCCTTCCACCTGCTGAAAATATTTCGTGAGTTCAAACATTTTTACGTCCAACGTATTGTCGATGCATCTGATGACTATTGGTTTATGAAATCAGGAAACGAATCAACCAGTATTTGTTGGAGATTACTTACTACCTATCGCCAAGGGAGGGACTCCTCTGTATTTTGATTTCGGGCATCCTATCATGGCAAGGGGATTGGTCTTTGAGCTTTTGGGTAACATATCAGCCTTGCTTGACGAAGAGTCAAATCAGACAGACGCGGATGGAAAGGATTACCCTCTACCCAGCAGTTTGTCTTTAGTAAATAGGATTCGGATTTATCGATACGCGTTGGGTTCGGAGCTTGGAAAGTGGCCACAGCTGAATGCTGTGTGAATTGTTGGGTTCGATCTGCTTCAAGGGAAGCTTCCATATGCCATCAAAGGGGCTACTTTTTCTTTCAGATCTGTTTGTGGCAGAGAAAAAGGTGTGGGTTTCTCCAGCCGGGCCTTACAGTGTGGACAGACAGAAGTGGAGGTGTGGTTCATGGAGGATAGGCCGTCCTGCCATCTGAAGTTAACCTTCTCCCAACCGCTGTGTTTGAACTTCGTGGAAACCGAGATGCTTAAATTTCCATCTGCGATTTGTAGAATCATACATCACGCTACCATCGATGATGTTACCATCAATGGCCGTGATCCTCCTGACAGAAGTCAGACAAGTGTCTCTGGAGCGTCAGGTGAATTCGTCGATTTCGAGCTAACTCCTGTGCAGTACTTTCGCCCAGCTGCAATTCTTTTGTTTATTGAGCTACTTCAGCACCAATTAGACCGACCTGAGTACTCGACTTGTTCGAGATTATGTACGATTGCTGAACATTCAGTCAGTAGAGTCCCTTGATTCCCTTGCCCGTCGGGCTTTGTTATGGGAGTTTTCGGGACTCTCCTTACCGCCACCTAGAGAATCTCCTTACAGATTTGTATACTTAGATAGCGTTTGGAAACGAGTAGAGCCCGTTTCCAGTTACTTAGAATCGCATATATCCACTGCCCGAAGTACGAAACTTCTGGCAAGCTGAGCTCCGTATAGTTAATGAAAAGAATTTTCGGCAAGCCGTGTAGAGTAAAAAGTACGCGTGGCACTGGAGAACTGCATCCTCATTTGAGAGCGAACAAGAAGATTTGTAATTTGAGAGCTCACCTCTCCGGCTTTCTGCCTTCTGCTCTTCCTGGACCCCTGGAATCGGGGGTTCTGTCGTGTACGACAAGGCTGACAACGATCAATGAGGGTTATCTTCTGGACACGCTGTAAGGTGTACACCTGAAGCACAACTTTGCCGTCACTATCCCGGCAGTCATCAGTGTTTCCGCGTGGTGCATTCCCTTGGTCGTGTCCAACGTCGACCAGGCTGACGTGATTTTGCCATGACCACGTGTATTGAGTCCAGGATCGTCATGTATGTGTCAGAAAGCTTGGTTCAAGCCACCATTTCTTATGAAGTTCTATATCAACAAAATGGATTTAGAGTGCCATTTCAGTTCGGTTGGGATGATAATGAAAACTCTTATGGGTCTATATGAGAACAGCATCTCGGCTCTCTTATCAATTCTCAGTCCGATGTACGTCCGTCAAATGCAATGAGCTGGATAAGTGGAAGGTCAAAAAGGTAGAGACCGAAACCCCGTCACATGTAGCCTTTTGCGGCGGTCCTCGCCCGGTAGCCTGTACAAAACGCATTCTAAAGCGCATGGAGTCCTGGGCGAACCGTATGCGTCGTACACGGATTGCAGAACCAGACCATGTCGCGCGTCGTGAGGTCATCCGCTGGAAGTAGTCTAGTGTACAACTCGAAGGTCTCGGGGTCATAGGGTCAATGAACGTATGAATGTCAACTCCGATCGACTTTGGCGTCGTACGAGATGTTGTGTCTGAGCGTCTGAGAAAGTCTACGGAACTCATGCCACCAACTTCGACCTTCGTGTGTGTTCGAGATCCTCGAATCCTCGAATCCAAGTACGGCACTCAAATTGCAAGAACAGGATATGTACGTACGCCCAGGGGAAGCATGACAGTGACGTGAACGCTTTTCAAATTCCCCCTTCATTCATTCTGGCTACCTCATGACTCTCGGCGCATGCAGATTCTCAGGCGGGGCATACAACGAAGCTTCATCTCAGACCGCGTTCGCCACTCGTAAACCTTTCCGTGGTACGTGACATGGTGAGTTAAACACACCAACTCCACGAGCTCAGCTGCAACACGGTCGACAAACATTTGACTCATTCTTTCTCTCTTTGGTTCCTTCTCCACCTGGACTGGACTGGACTGGACAGTCTTCAGAAGCTTCAAAGAGCAAACATGGCCTCACAGACTCAGCACTGTTGGGACCTGGAAATCACACGACTCCTTCCAGCCCACGGCCGACGCTCGTTTCCTTCCATGAAGAAGAAGGGCCTCGGAAACGAGCCTCGGCCGTGGGCTGGAAGGAAGCCGACAGACATCTGCAGATGGGGCGGGGACGGCAGACCTGCACGTCCGGTGCGCGCGCGGGGAGCCAGGAGGTGAGGGGGAATCAATCGCCGGGAATTCTCTGGGAGCTTCGGAGGCGCCCCTTCGGCGCCGTGATAAGCGGGGCCGAAGGCCGCCGGCAGGAGGGCACGCCATGACGTGACCACGAACAGAGCTGGGCGGGGGAGCGAGGAGACGTTGGGGGGTGCAAACGAGGGGGCGCGCCTCCGCGAGTTGATGCTGCGCTGCTGGTGCGGGAGGGAGCGTGCCCTCGTTCCTTCCTTCCTTTAATTTCAAACGCGTCCTCGTGCTCCCGGGGGCGGCCGTATCCGGCCGTCCGTCTCCGGTTCCGCCATCGGCTCCACCGCCCGATTTCGCAGCCGCGACATGGCGTTCTTCACTGGTCGCACTATTGAGACCTGAACTCCTCTCCTTCCCCCTCTCCACTCGGAGTCTCCGCTGTCCGCGGCGGGGCCCGCGGCGGCAGAGTGCAAGTGAAAGTTTCACTTGCACCAGGGGTGGAAATAACCCGATTTTGTTTTCAGGATCAATCGGGTTTTTTTTTAAAATAAAACCCGATTTTTATAAAAAACCCGGGTGTAAAAAACCGCGCCACCCCTGAGTGAAACGCCTCCGCGCTCCCGCAGCGGATTGTGGCGGGGCCCTCCAGGAACCGGCAATATTCTATCACGAGACTACGATATCCCTCATAAACTTTGGAAAGTGTTAGGTTTGTCAAAATTAGAACAATTTTGGTAAAATTTTCATCTTGATCCTGGTATTTCCAAAATTATAATATTTATAAATTTCATAGAATTTTCAATATATGTTTTGATAGGAGGGAAATCAATTAGGTGGTTCTCCAATCTTTACAATTCCATGACAAAATGAACTAAAAGTAATATTTATATGATAGTTAATATCATAAACAAAGATGAATTGAAAGATGAAAATTTATGATTTGAAAATATGAATATGAAGCAGTTAAATAATAGCAATTCTGATATGAATTTTTTTATTTCACTATTTTCCATCTGAAAGTCTTGGCTATGGCATTTTTGAACATTTTGAATAAATTCTCATGAATAAAGGAAAGCCTTGTTAGGTTGATGAGGTTATCTTTCTTTGCGTTCTCGACTTGGCCGGACAACATTACGATGTTACATCACTTTATTTTACTTTACTCCATTTTCTTACGCATTTGCTCGAATTAGATTTGGGAACACACACGTTTTTGGCTTCATGGCAAAAAGCACTTCACAATGTTGTTACATCACATTATTTTACATCACTCCATTTTCTTACGCATTTGCTCGAATTAGATTTGGGAACACACACGCTTTTTGCTTCATGGCAAAAAGCAATTCACAACGGGCTTCATTGAAATCTCCTATTCTAAATCACTCTTCATTTCGATGATTTCCCCTTTGAGCGTCCAAATGCATGGCAACTATGGGAGTGGGCAATGGCTAGAACTTTTGGCAAATAAACTTTGGCAAAGTGGTAAGATTAATTCTCATTTTAATAACGCCAGATTTTATGAGACTACGTAGAACCCGAATGACGGAAATGGCGGCCGTCCAGCTGGGGCCGGACAGAGCTATTCCCGTGCGTCGTAGAACCTTCTCCATCCATCCATCCATCCTCTCCGACGTCTGACTCTAGCGAGTGAGGCCGCCGATCATCGCCACTGCGACTCCCGCCGGCCGGCGCTCAGAGAGCGGGAGAGGCTGCGGCTGCCACATTCCTCCATCATCATCATCGTCATCGAAGCCTCAGACAAAGAGGAACTCACAGCTGGGCCCAGTCCACATTCCACTCCTGTTTGCCTGCGGGGACCGGAACAAGGAGCTGCCACGGTCCAGTAGGTCACAGCTGGGCCCAGTCACCCGCCTCAGCTCTCCATCCTCTTCTCCTCCCTCTACACACACACATACAAACATACTCGTCCAGCTGATGATTTGTGCGAGCCTCTTCGATGCAGCAAAAATTCCAATTTGAGGCTGACATTCCGAACATTTAGAAATTTCGATCGAGGCCAAAATTTAGATTGAGGCTGCAAACATACTCGTCCAGCTGATTATTTGTGCGAGCCTCTTCGATGAAGCAAAAATTCCAATTTGGGGCTGAAATTCCGAAAATGCAGAAATTTAGATCGAGGCCAAAATTTAGATTGAGGCTGCCCGAAAAGGAAGGGAGGGAGGGAGGGAGGGATCAGGCAGGCCTGCGTTTGACCTGTGCTTTAGGTGAGACGTAGTAGCCATGAAGGGTATAAATACTCCAGACCCTGCTTAAAAGACTTGGCAAGGGCGATGAAATGAGTGGGAACCTGTCATTTCCGGTTCAAATAGGGCGTGTTACTCGCTATAGCAGGTAATTCACTTCACCCTCATTTGGGTGCCTTGTTTATCGCTGTACCAGGTTACTGTAAAAAGAAGTCCCTCTGCCTTGCGACCGGTTGTGTACACGGTCTGCCCGAGCCAAAAAAAAACATGTAGCCATGTGATGGCTCTGTCTCCATCGTCGTTATCCTTTGGCCCCAGCACTTTATTTAGTCTCACGGCAGAAGTTCGATTTGGCATTCGTCATCGTAGTCGCCGTCTCGTATACTCATACGAGTGGAGATACGAGTAGAGACGAAGTGTACGAGTTATATAGCAAGTCACAACTGGGACCAGAAGCGAGTGGGGTGCCATGGCGTCGTCCGTCCTACGCCGACCACGTGGTAACGAGGAGGAGGAGGAGAAGGAGAAGAAGAAGAAGAAGAAGAACTCCTCTGAAGGGAGATGCACAGCTCATCGGCCAATGGAATTGGCTCTGCTCGGTGCTTGCTTCTGTTTGTCGCCTGGGCAAATCCCAGGACGAGGACGAGGACGCAGCAGGCGGACCTGTCACGGCCTATGTATGTGCTTGCCCGCCAGCTGAACCGAGCTCGTTCGTCCTTTGTCTGCAGCAGGCGATTGGGACCGAGCGAGGTCGGGATAGATCGATGGGGGAGAAAATACAGTACTGTGCCGTACTGTCGTGTCCTGTGTGGTACCGGTGGAGCCTGATGTGTACCGAAGATCCCTCCCGTTCCCACACACTGGCCGACAAACGACCTCTTCACATCTCGTCCATGATCTCGATCAGATAGATAGTCTGAGCGAGCTGTAAATCTTGCTACCAACCGCAGGTCCATACATGAACTGTACTTGAGGCTTCCTGTCTCCGGAGCGCGTCGCGATCGAGCTCGAATCTAATAAGATCTGCATTCCTCCCAGCCCTCGACATATTGCCTTGGAGCTTGCCGGATCCCATCCCCTGGGCCAATCTGCTGCCTCCCCACTCCAAAGTCTCCTTCCCGTGCAGCCAACAAATTCGTGGTTCTCGTCCCTTTCATGAATCCAGATACAGTACCATGAATTCTGTTTCCTCTTCCAGAACAGCCAGCCAGCCAGCCAACCAGCCAGCCAGTCAGTCAGTCAGTCAGTCAGTCAGACGGATCCAGTCCATTATGACCTCGATGGGACCTCCCTATCTCAACTCGCGGAATGCTCACATGGGCTCCGATGCTCACAAAGGTCGTGAGACTATAAGCGGACAGGACAGGATGGTGGGAATCGCCTGATGAATGAATGCTCGTACCGAATACATAACACTTTATCCACAGAAACACAACATTCGAAATCTAGTAAATGAATGAATTTGCACGCAGGGATCGATCGATCGATCGATCAATCGAGCAAGCTGACCTGACGACGAGCGGGCTGTGAGTTACGAAATGGGTGAAATCAGCAGCACTCAGGCTCGGCTCCATCGCTGGCTGGCTGGCTGGCTGCTGGACCTGGATCGTCATATGAATCGATCAGCAGCTCGGGGCCTGTAGAAGGGCTTCGTGTGATAATGAGCTCCGCCTGTTTCGGCGCCCCTGGAGGAGCATGTAGACACACAAACACGAAAAAGGGGATCCCCCGCCGCTGGGGCCAGGAGCTGTCGTGGCATGCCATTGGTCCTGCTCCGTCCGCAGAGCTGTCCAGTTGCGGGGCCTGTCCCGTTCTGCGGTGGAGCTTCACCAACGCGGCGGACGCCTGCCCGCCCTGCAGCCTTTCTCGTCACGTCTCGAGACGCAGGCCCCGAGTCGCGACCCACAGTCCGTCGTCAACCGTGTGCCCTTCTGGGCCCCGGGGAAGGATCCTGTGCTGCGGCCCGCCCGATCCGTCAGGGTGTAACGACTTTCGGGCCGGGCCGGGTCGGATCAGGTCGGCTCGGGAACAGGCCTGGTCGTGGGGGCTTCGGTAGCAAATTAACGGCCGTAACTGATGTTCCCGGTAGCACCGAGGCCCGCGCAACGGTCACTTCCGCCGTCCGGGATATTTTGAAATCGGTCACCACCGCTTGACCGGTCGCAGCGCCTTGCAGTTTACAGGACAACGCGGCCTTTGCGACGGAAGGCGGTGCGGGCCTCCTTGTCGGGGCGAAGGCCCCGAGACGATGGCCGCTCGAGGAGGCGCCAGGCCCGATGGCTGCGACGCGCGGAAGGTAAAAGTTCGTACTCGACAAGAGACGCGACGCGACATGCCGCCTATTGCTGCAGATGCAGGCTCGTCGTAAGCCAGAGCTCCGCTGCTTCCGTCGCGATAAAGTGACTCTCTCTCTTTCTCTCTCCCCACCCCCATCCGGTCCGGTCCGCCGTACAGGCCGCTGACTCGTCAGACCACGTCAGCGCGATTGCCGACGCGGGTTCACGACTCTACTCGGCTCGACGACAGAAGCTGCCGTTGAGTTTCATGACAGTCGTCGTCTTCAATGCTGGCGAAGGATTCCGGTGACCGCGCAATCGGTATCCCACAGATCGCCGCTGTCGATTCGCTCGCGATTTAATTCCTCGGTCTTTACGCGATTTCGCGAGGCCCCGAAGGTGCAGCAGCTGAGGGCAGGGGGCTCCACATGGCATAGGACCGCGACTACGTGCTGCGCTCTACCGCCTCCACAGCTCGCGCTGGCCTTCAATCGAAGTTAGGCCCCATCCCCAACCGTGGTCGTGGTCGTGGAAGTTGCTGGCCGCTTCGAAACTTTCGGCTGCCTCTCTCTGCTGGTCATTGACAATCTGCTCGAACGCAATTGAGCTCATGGCACGCCACCACGCGATAGAGTAACAAGTGGACTTCTGGCCCGAAAGAATGAGACGAGGATCGAAGTCTAGAACATTGCGATTGGGTCTCTTGGGGCAGAGAGAGACTAGACTGGTGTCCACACGGAATCGAGCACTTTGTCTCTCACCACTTTCCAGTCATTTTGTTCTCTACTGCATACTTTCTGCTTTCTTGGCATGCAATGCAATGCCAAGCATAGAGGAGAGTACCCACACATTTACAAGAATGTTCTTCTTTTCAAACATTGGGCAGTATTCAAATCCGAGTAGATTCCATTTCTGGATTTGCTTGGAACGAATGAATGTATCTCATGTGTTACTCATCACTAGCACTTTATCTTAGCCTCTCGTGAGTCATCATTGCTAGACATGGGTTGCATTGGGATGGTGTCTTCTTGTTACGGAGAGAGAAATGTATAATCTCATTTTTAAATATTTGACAAATGTATGAGTCACCCGCATTGCATGGTAGACTCTCTTTAATTGGATAGGATCTTACTCCTATGGCTTTTACTTTCATTGGATAATGATTCATCAACCTGGATGGGCCGCTAAAGGAATTAACACAATTTTGGAGAAAGATGATTATATGGTGACATATATCCAAAGTTGTAAAACATATTGGTATGTAGAGAACTTATTTGAGATTTCCTCTAGAATTGAGACTACGTAGAGATATGCACGCCAACTTGGACACTTTTACTGGCGAGTAGATAGAGCTTACAACTTTCTGCATATAAAGAGTATAATTGTCTCCTTATAGAGTGTAACTCATTTTAGGTAGAGTTGTTTGGTTGTTCTTACTCAATTCAAACTTGAATATATCATATATTAGCAATTTTCATCCCATTTATTTCAATGCTCTGTAAGTTAGGTTGAATTGATCACCTTCTTACCCAAAAATTTCAATACTTGTAAGAAACGAGATTATGGTTAGTAAGTGGTTGGTTATGTCTAAATAGTTTGGGTGCAGTGGCACATGTTTCTTAATTTAATTGTAGCGAGACCTGGACTCATCCTACCTCCTTGGCTTCATCCCTTTCCGACTGCATGGTATCTTCCCGTTATCTTTGCTGTCTTACTACTTACTTTATATTAAAATTAAATGAAACATTTGAAGTCTTCATTAAAATCTTGCGTCCAAAATTTAATGTGCTAGGACTTTTATTTACAATATGCATAGTATGACTTGAGTTGGAATATTGAGATTATTTTAATATATTTTCTAACGAGATTTGCTCAAAACACAGATCATGTGTGATCCGTCAGATTCTGACAGAGCATAGTTTAATCCACTTGAATTCATTATGTTATCATTGTTCTCTGTCAGGTATGTTTACTGTCTTGGAGATTGTTCAAATCTAGTAAAAATATAGTATCTTCATCGGAATCAGCCATGATTATATTACACAATAGAATTGCACTCTTGATGTAGGTCTTGGAGATAAACAAATTAACAGACGTGTCACAGAAAACTTTGATGCATCTCAATTTTTGAAATCAGTTACATGGAGAATACCATCCAACTTAGAATGGAAGTGCGAGGGGAATATCGTAGAAGAAGAATTCTATTATAAGAATGATGACATGGGATCCATATACAACTTTTAAAAATATGGATGTAAACTTTAAAATAGCATGTATTATGAAATTACGGACCTTTAAATCCAACGTACAATGAAAATAGGCATAATAATATTCACAGAATAAGGAGGAGACAAAACATGAGCGGCATATTTCAACTCTCATGTTAGAAATGAAATATGGATGTAAACTTTAAAAAGCATGTATTATGAAATTGCGGACCTATAAATCCAACGTTTAATGAAAATAGGCATAACAATATTCACAGAATAAGGAGGAGACAAAACATGAGCGGCATATTTCATCTCTCATGTGAGAGATGAAATATGGATGTAAACTTTAAAATAGCATGCATTTTGAAATTACATACAAAGACAACGTTTAATGAAAATAGGCATAATAATATGCGCAGAATAAGGAGGAGACAAAACCCGAGCGTCATATTTCGTCTCTCACATGAGGCGAACACATTTGCAAACTGTACACAAATAAATCATTTGCGGCAACTCCGCGGTGCAAACCGCAGCAAACCACGAGAGCGGTCGCGAATTGCGGGGAAAGTGCTCGGACGTAGCGTCAGGCTCCATCGGAGTCCATGGAGGGCGGGGCGGGGTTTCGTTGGCATCCACCACCTGTTTGAAACCCACAGATACATCCGGCTGACGGAGTTCGGCGGTCGGAAATAGGCCCGACGGTGGGGGAGAGGAGGAGGAGGAGGACGACGACGGGGTAAGCGTTAACCCGGGGAGGGCGGGAGGGAGTACCACGAACTGGACTGGCGGGTTGACAGTTAAAAGGGTAACTTCCCTAAATCCTTCTGCTGTCTTCTAATCTCGCGAGAGCGCTCCCTTCCCTCTCAGAGACTCTGGGCACACGTGCATTCGCGAGGCTACAAACGAGAGCTGTTCCGTTAACGCCAGTAGGTATTCCAAGGCCCGGTACAGTAGCGAGGGAGGGGAGGGGAGGGGAGGGGGAAAGGGTAAATGCGCATCCGGGTAGCGCCCTCTCGTTCCTCTTATTCGTGTCCAGCGGCAGCAGAGGTAGCATCTGTTACGTTAAGAGGGATGCGAGGGACATAAACAACGGGTAGTAGACAGAGAGGGAGGGAGAGAGAGAGAGAGAGGGAGGGAGGCGCAGGCAGGTGACAGACGGTAGACCAAACCTCGGGGAGCTCCGGTCCACGATGGTGAGGAGGTGGTGGTCGTAATTCTCGTGAAAACACGCGACGAGACAGTCGGACGGACAGACGGACGAGCAGAGGACGAGGATTCCGAGTTGGTTTATGGGGGATGAGATCGGGGCCTGGAGGGGGCAGGGTGGTGGTGATCAGGTGAGAAAGCGCGAGTCGCGAGGAATTATTCGAGTCTAGCGGCGAGGGAATTGGTAGCGAATCTCGTAAGGACGGTGGAGGCCGGGCGCGAGGCAGTGGGTGCGGAGCAGAAGGAGTTGTAGGTTGTGCAGAGGGCGAGGGAGGGAGGGAGGGAGCGAGGGAGGAAGCGGGCGAGTTCTGGCAGTGGCGCTGGGGCTCATCGCTTCCTCGTTGGGATTTTTTTTATTTGATTTTTTATTTTTTATTTTGAAATATGGACGACTGATGTAAAGGTATGAGTAGTCGAGGATTGGACCTGGCGGGCTGATCCCTCACTGGAACCGTCTGGTGAAGTTTTTGCGGACATTTTTAGCAGTGTATATCGTAGCAGGGCAGCTCGGCCAGAGTTGGGATGGTCTGGGTCTCGTAAGAAGCGAGGATGGGAAGCAGTGGCGGCGTCGAGATTGGATTTTCGACGACGCGTTTCACTTTCGGTTGTCAGGTGAAATGGTAGCATAAGGACTACACTGTTAACAATCATCAAAACTCTGCGAGCTGTGGGAATTACTATCAGAACAATTCAAGTTAACAAGGACTGTCACAATCGGCAAACATGCCTCCATACGTCGCCCGCGAAGCGTCCAAGGTCCCATTTTACAAAACTTTCTATGAGGTTTTCTCCCGGCTGAACCATTCGTTGAAAGGCTCCTAGTTTCATTTCACGGTCTGTGGAAAGCCGAAATCCTTTGTATTGTTCAGTTCTCTGCGATGCTGAAGGATTGTGGATGAGAATTCTGGTGGGGATTGTTCATTGATTGCGGAGTCGGGTTGTGATCTAACATCTAGTTCTTGCAGATATACCGGAGGATAGTCATGGAGACAATTGTAGAATGGCCCCTCCTTCTAGAAAAGTGGAGATTTCTTCTGTTTGGATTGGTCTTCCAGGTATTATGTGATACCAATAATGGCCATTTCTCTTGTTTCATATTGTGTCGAACTTCTCTCTGTATGAATTGGTCGTACAGAGATTTTGAAATTGATCGTACGGAGAATTTGATTTTGCTTCGTTGCAATATCAAATCTGGAGTTTAACAACGGCATCTTTTTGAAATTTTCAGTATTTTCATGGAGTGGCAGCGCGAATTGCCCACTATCTCCATCGACCTGGACCTATACTGCACGATTTAGGATTTGACCTCCTCCCCGTAAGCATGACTATTCATGACTATTCATGTTCTTCCGTATGAAGATAGTGGAACTCTTGTTGGATAGCAGTAATTTTGAAGAGTTTTGTTCTGTTCTTGAAATCTTTCGGTTTACCAGCTAAGCAGATTGAATGATGTACAAAACCTGTCACATTAGCTGAAGACCTTCCTGTCAGATATGTGATTTCAGTGAAAGGTGGCATTTCCAGGTTCCGGTTGTATGTTTATAGGCACTTGCGATTTATCTATATTGATTGTATGTATAGACTGTGGAACGTGTCAAAGTTTTTAGAGTGAAACAGTAATATTAATGTGTTATGTTGTGGTTCTTGTGAATTGTTTCAGGAGCTTGGACCTGAAAAAGCTTGGATTAGTGAGACTGTGTTTACATTCATATTCACCACTTTTGTTTTGGTCCGTTTAATTTCCACTCCATCTCCGTCTCAGGAATATGTATTTTGAGTTGTGAATGTCTCACTGCTTAGACCATAGTGATTTTCTTATCCTATGATGATTTTCCCTGATAGCAAATGTGTATCATTTTTAGTTCAACTTACCTGCTGATGCCTCGTTTTCTTACTAGAGTTGTTGATACTCATCAATACCGATTCTCGACTTCCACCTCATTCTCTAGCATTTTTGTGTTGGGTTGAATATGCAGTGGACATTCCACCCTTTTGTGTTCAACAACAAGCGCTTTTACACCGTCTATTTGTGGTACAGAGTACTTGCAATGCTAGTGGTACGTTGACCGATTGTTTTCACATTTACCTTCATTTTAATAGGCCCTAAACTAGGTTCAATGCAATATTCTTCATTTGCATCTGCAGTAGTATTATGTGATAAGCAAAGCGCTAATTTTTACAACTTGCTTCCCATTTCTGGTTTTGCAGATTGCTCAAACTATGAGAATAGTATCCTTTCTTGTTACGCAACTCCCGGGCCCGAACTATCATTGTCGTGAGGTACAACACAAGTTGGCATTTGAAGTTATTAAATGATAAGAATGTCACCCGCTTGACATCATAGTGAAGATTCTAGATGGGTATTTTGAATAGACTGCGTTTTACATTTTATCATAACCCTTGCTAAATATCAATGGGTTTTAATCGATCTTTTCTTGGAACTGACCCACAGGGATCCGCTGCCGCAACTCTTGATCCTCCTAAGCACATTAGTGAAGTCCTCCTTCTCAATTGTGAGTTTTACTCTACCCACTGTTGTAATTAGTATTGTGTCTTTGTATTGTGTTCATGAAAGCTACATTACGTGCTTTTAGAAGAGATATACTGGTCTTTGTTAAAGAACAGGCAAGATCTATGGATCACTTGTTGGTACTTTTGTATGTTCTGAACGAGTTTTTTGTGTGGGTTTGTTCAGTTCCATATGGTGTGATTTATGGATGCGGGGATCTGATCTTTTCCTCACATATGACGTTTGCACTTACGTTTGTTCACACCTATGCAAGATACGGCAGCAAGACGTAAGTTAATGATTCGATATCATTTTTACCTCTATCCTTTGCTTTTATTCTTAAGCGTACTTTTTTGTGTATTTGTTTTCGAATCGAGAGCTAACTGCTCATCTATTTTGGATGTAACGACAGTTGGAGATCGTAGATCAACAAGTGCAACTTATGTGTGTTGTGTGCATAACATTGTTTGTGTCAAGTTCGTTCGGATTGTTTGTGGATTGTTTATACATTTGCACATACTTGTACTTACGTCACCAGTACAATTTCACTTTGAAAACACAGGTGGATTAAAAGAGCAGCTTGGGTTCTTGTAGTCGTACAAAGCTTACTCATTGTAGCTTCGCGGAAACACTACACAGTTGATGTTGTCATCGCTTGGTAAGTATGCGCTTCATTATTCAATGCTCATTGCTTACAGTTAGATTTGTATCTGCCGAAGTTCCTGTTTCTCACTGTGCTTTGAAAAAGGTTGAAAGTCTTGGTAATGAATCCAAAGACAAATCAAGCCGAATCTTGTGATCCGCTTTTTTTATGAAATGTCTTAAGCTTGCTGCAAAATTTAGAAAATCATATGTACATTAGTTTACGGCGTCATCACATGAAGGCAAAGAATACGAGTTGGGATTGTATGGAACAAACACTTCTCAAACCGCATTTTGGTGATATCATGCAGGTTTGTCGTTATTTTACTGTTCAATTATGTCGGACGGAAGTTTTACGACCCAGGTATGATTTCTACATTGGTCAATCTCTTTTCGTTTCCTGGATATTTTACTATCACTCTAGTCTTCTGCAAATATGGAATAGTTGCATCGACTGCTTCTTCTACCGACTCTGCAGATGTAGAACTAAGTTGGAACTTCGTCTTATGGCCTTAAGTTGGACAATATCATGCTAGATAGAGGAAGGAATTTTCATATTATTTTGGATCGAAAGACTTCGTCGGAAAAAAAATTCGTTATTTAATCATGAACATTAAATACTGATCATCTGTTCCAATCGTGATAATTTTTCTCAATAAACAGAGTTGATGGACCGGTCTCCTTTAAGGGATCAAATACTACCAATGAATAGAAAGGATGGTCGCAACAAGGATGAAATGCAAAAGATGGTTAATGGCAACTCAGGGTATGCTGGTGGTGACGGGGTGAGCTTCTTACCCTTATCTGTTTGATTTGCAAGATTGACGTCATGGTAGCTAACAGGCAATGTTCTGGTCCATGAGATAAATTTACAAAGTCTACTGTGGGATGAGTGGTCTGCTAAGTGTCCCTTCTTCCTGACTTCGTCTCTTGTTACTCATACATTTATACTTGATTAGATTATCCAAATTTGTTTTGACAATACAGTTTGGATATTGAGATTGACACATGTATCGACCGTGACTTGCAGAGACAAAGAACGCCGACTAATGGAAAAATACTAGATGACGAACGAAGTCCCAAGACACTAGAAGTGCTTGTCAACGGAAGCCTCTGAGAACCCATGGCACACTTGATTGGAACTTCCCACCTTCCATCGTCGTTCAAGGGTTGAGTAATCTGCCTCTGTTTGTACTTAGAAGTTACGCTGACTGATGCGCTTATGCTCAGGGGCTGGTGCAAGGTAACAGACGTGAGGCCTGTCGGAGGTTTGAGAAGGAATATGCTTCTTACAATACTCGAAGTCATACCCTTGGGCCTTGTGGCTTCCTCTGAGAGTGCTAGCGAAGCCACCCAAAGATTGAATATGGTTTTGTAGCCTGCTCTGCAAGTCTGGCCGACTCCGATGATTCTCTCATTAGTGTTCTGCGCTGTGGAGAGCTGGTAACTATGAGATGTAACTACGGAAGCTTCATTCATTGCGAGGGAAGAGGTGTCAGTGAGCCATTGCAAGCATGAGTATGGCGTCGGAAGTTCGTTCCTGTGTTGCTTTTCTGTGGTTGACATGTTGGCATCCCAAGCCTATCTGGATCTTTGCACAATTTGTCTCTCCTATCCAACCCGGATGTGCCTGGAACCTTTAGTCCACAAGGTACGCCCTCGAGAGTGTGTAACAGACCTGGTTCAAAATCTTCAGTAAAATTGATGACAAGATTCTCAGTGCACATTCATGCCGTTACGGGACTACCACCACTACCACTGAATTGAGGCCCTTCGAATTTCTTGTACATTACATCTTACGATTTTCTATTCGATCGAGTAAAGCTGTTCACATAATCTATATCTGCAGCAGTTGGGCCCCGGCTTGGCATCAAGGGTCCCTCAAAGAAAAAACTGTTAAATTAGTTCTGTACTTTTGTCTATAGCTTCAACCGTAAGTAACCATCCTTGTTACGGAAGAATTTTGGTAGCGGGCTTCTGGCAAGACACAATTGTAAATGCTCCTCGTTTGTGTCGGAAGTAAGTTCTAGGTAACTGCCTCGGCAAGTCGAACTGTATGTTACCACCGATCATGTTTTTAAAATCTAAGCAATTTGTAAATCAAATCAAGCGTTTCCTTGTGTTGATTCGTCGTTCTCACGTCTCCTCCACGGCTTTGCACTAGGCGTCTGTTTACACGCAGGTACCCAGCGTCATTAGTGGATTGCAGGAGCTTGAGATGTTAAGCTTCCTTGTTACGTCAAGAAAGTTTTTGCTATGGATCAAGTGCGTAATTGATATGCATGCCGTCCAAAACTGCTGATGCAGATGGTTGTAAATGACAGAGCCCAAAAGTCTAGTTGGAAGTCTAGTCTAGTCTAGTCTCATCTCCACCCAAGCACACACTCTTATAATGACCAAGGACTGATGTGTAGGTACATGGAAAGCATATATTTAGCCCTTGCAACTCTTCTAAAAGTGATTTGGAGGTCGTAGTCGGTGGTCATACTGTTAATCATTTGTTATGCAGTTATATTTTTCGAACTTGAGCGCCAACCACTACATGGCAGTTACATCCTGGTTTCCCTGGTGTGGGGCGTAGTGGCCTGTTTACCTTGTCCTACCCATGCCCACCTGCTCCACTGACAGTAGAAAACGACGTCATGATCCAAATCACTCCAAAAGAACATCGTCACTGTAAGAGTCACAACAGAAAAGCAAAGCAAGAAAGAATACACAGGAAAATGCCGTACACTTTCGTACACTGTGGATTCACTGTGTTACTTGCTTCTCTGATAAATGTGAGTTATTGAACAAACTTCAGTCTGAAAGTGTGTAGGGTGTAGGATGTAATGGAGATCATGAACCTTTGTCTATAGGAATTTTAATACGCAGTTTACAGTTAAACAGTAGAGATAGTATGACGTAGAAGAAACGATACTAGGAAAAAATTGTCTCGTTGTTATAACTGTGTAGAAGGAAAGAATGCAATCAATCCAATCTTCTCGTAATTCCAGATTTTAGGCTCCATACCAGTGCCGCTTTCTTTCTTTGCTTCACTCGTCTGTGCCGATCCCAAACTGTAGGATCGTTTCTTTAAGTCATAAGAGATTGATACACCCACCTGGGGAGAGGTCCATCTGGACTGAACTCTGAACTGGTCGTGTCACAAAGAAACCTCTTCTTTTTCCTTGGAATGCCAGTGCCTAACAAAACAAAGATCAAGCTCAAAATCGGATGTGTAAGGGATCTTTCGCATGGGGAAGTAACAAATCTAAACAGAGAACTCGCCACTTGTCCAATTTCGGTAAGGCTTCTGTGTCGATTTCAAATCTTTGTAAGAGGGGTGGAAAATCTGGCAAGTGCCAAGCGTGTAAAAGCGTCTGCGAAGATGCTACTTTCAGAATGTTGGAACGTGGAATAAGGGGGACACAGTAAAATAACAGAAAGGGAAATGGAATTGGACATGAACTACACAAATGTAGACTACGAATTGTGGACACATGTGGCTGTTACACTTCACGCCATCAGCAGCGAAGGGAAGGGAAAAGGGTCTGTCACACACAAATTGTACGTGTTTGAAGCACTACAACTGTAGGCCTCGGGATTCGGATCACAACATACACATTACAGCAAAGTGAGCGTGAAAAGTCCAAGTTCGGTGAGACGTGCCGAATTCCTTTGACAAGTTCTTCGGAAGCAGTGTACCGGTTCTCAGCTACGGCCGAATCAAACTAAACAGACCGGGATCTGGAATTTGGACTCTAAACTCAGCTCGCAGAAAGGTCTTCCACGTGTGCGAAGAACTCGTCTCCAGACCAGCGGCAGGTACAGCATATAGCATGTACTCTAATCATAGCATAAGCGTGCCATCCAATGCATAAAGCTGCAGCCACGGAGGAGTGAAATTAACTCTGGCCTTCTTCCTCTGTATGGCTGGAACCAAGTAAATCCAGCAAAAAGGATGGGAAGACCCATCCAGTCGTGCATGGATGAGAGGGAGAGAGAAACCCCACTCCCGAATTACGAAGATACAAGTGATTCTGTGTAATGTATAACGTCTTTAGCTGATGTCAAGGAGGTCAGAATCCTTGACATCAGCTAAGGCCGCAGGATTGACGCTGCCTCTGTTCTTGCTTCTCAGAGGCAAAGAATATTATCCTATCACTTGACATTGACCGAGCGGCAGCCGGAGTGAAGCTTGCTCTCATCCATAGCTACAATCAAAAGACGAACCCACAGCCAAACGTCACGGCGCTAGGAAAAAATGGAGTAAATTACTTGATAGAAACTTGATGCATGGGACCCAATAGGTTTCATTTTACCCTATGGACCCCACAACGTCCTTGCACCACACTGTCAGCCATGTTCTAATAGAAATAGATCTTATAACCCGATAATCTGCGCCATAGTGTGGGAAGGATTTGCCACTATCGGGCTAACTTACTCTCACAGGAGAGAAAGCATTTTGGTGACTCCTTTGCAGCCATGACGTAATATAGCGACGGTCATTTACTCGCATTCTAAAGCTAATTTCAGAACTTCTTTGTGAATCTGGTGGTAGTAGAGATTGCTGTGTGATGAAAGCAGTTTACAGCAAATTTCAGGACTTCTTTGTGAGTCTGATAATAGAGATTGCTTCGTTGTGATGACAGCAAAATCTAGAGCCAGAATTTCTTTGTGAATCTATTACCGGAATCCGAAATCCCCAAGAGTATCTTGCCATGATGTAATCACGGCACGATAACGCCACGAGCTTCTTACTCGAACTTCACCGAATCATCCATCTTGAAGCATGAAACATGACTAAACCCTGCGTACTGGAACATCGTTGACTGTGGGGTGCATGGCCGTAGAGGGGTCCCATAGTGTAAAATGAAACCTATTGGGTCCCATCAACTAATTTTCTCGGAGGAATCATGACTCCGCAATGTCATACTGAAGTTGTACCTTGTCTTTTCACCTTTTTATAGAACGAAGGTAGTGCGGTGAAAAGGTGCAATATTCAAGTAAAAATTGAGCAGAGGTTTCTTATTAATATAAAGGTTAGGCCAGTGTTCAGATATTGGAGGTAAATTGCTGTGAGACATACATCTCATCATCATCACGGTATCCCGTTAATTTTTGTTTCTTTTGGCTTGATGAGATCTTCCAATGTTATAGAAAAATTCTTTTATTTGTATCAGGGGTATGAATAGTATAAAGTAGCTCGAACTCGACATACATCTTCTCGGAATTCTATAGCATCTGCATATCGCAATGAGCGAATGGAGAAATTCATAGCTGCTATTGCCTTTACTTGGTTTATTGCTCGCTCTCGTAAATCCTATAGTTCATGAATCTACCTCCTCTCGTGTATATGCCTTGATTTTCATTGATTTGTTTGGGCAAAGCTAGACGTACTGTCCCAATGGACTTCTGCATACGCGGGAATGTCTCGGTCTGAATGTTGGACATGGAATATTCGGTATGTTTCACCTCTAAATGTTTTGTGAACTAAATTTTTTTGCTCTGTTAAATGGTACAATCTACGATGTGATTTATTGGCGTTCCTCCACGATATTGTAATATACAAGACCACAACATGCCAAATCACAAATATACCGCAGAGAAATTTAATCAGGTGAATTGTACATACATCCGGGAAAGAGTGAAAAATGATGTTTTGAGTATTAAAGTAATTATTTAGTAATTTTAACGTGCTTTTGTATTAATACGTTAGTAAAAAATCAGAGTAAATTATTTTCCATAAATTTCTTATACACGAAACGCCCTCAAACGCTATCAAAGCTAAACATAATGACTTAAGACGACGGTTTAATTTTTTATGTTACACAACAGCTTTCAGGGTACTAGGCACGAGTAAAGCGATGGGTAGTTCTTGGAAGACGGTTCAGGTTTAGATTGAGCGCGGAGTTAATGCTGTGGGAGACCAAGATCGGGAACAGAAGGGTCGAAGCATATTTACGGTTCCTCTTCTTAAAATACGGATCGGTATTCAAGATTGAAAATTGAAAATTGAAAGTTGGACCAATGGAGGTCGGAGGGGTCTTCCTTTAGAGTTGCTCCAAGACCCTTCACCTTCACTTGCCAGTTGTTTGACGTTGAGCACTCCATTTTTTTCCATGAGGACGTTGAAATTGTCTTTAATTATTTTTTTGGGTATTCTTTCACTCCCATATCTCACCTCTCTATAAAAGAATACTGGTCCATGAAATTTTAATTTTTTCGGTACATGAGCTATCTGATGAATGTTGCAGAATCTATTCATGTTGAGTATAGCTGGTCCTAGACCAGAACCTAAGGAATCACTCAGAAACGTGGAAATAGCTCTGCCTGAGCTCTAGGTAGCACTACTCGTATGATGTGATGAATGTTTGCAACAAATCATGTATTTAAATATCTGGTCATGAATCTACTAATTTCTCTATGTATGTGAGCGCCACAACAAGGCCATTGCACAAAATGAAGATGTAGACAGCCAGAGAAGTAAAAGTGGCCCAATGGTTATGAAAATAGATGACGATTGGGTAAACAAGTGAAGATAGAAAACGGAAAAATAATAACGGAAGATTTTGTTATGATAATATTTGATGAAAGATATACACAAAAGTATTGAATAATAAAAAAATTACTTATATAAACGGTAATAAAATCTGATGTTGTATCACATAATATGATTATCATTGTACGCATAAACTTGAACTTTTATCGAGAAATTGAAAAATATTTTTAAAACTAAACTCCATATATAATAGAAGAATCAACACACATTATAACACGAAGTATAAAAGAAAAATTCATGACTGCATGTGCCAAGGGGTCAAATGGTTTTGACCCTTGGTCTGAAAATATGATAGACCCCTATGCTCCAATCTATATTTATAGATTGGAGCATCTCGCATGATACTCTCCTTCCACGCCCCAAAGTAGAGAACGCAACATCCTCCAGAGCCTCCATACCCAAAGAGGCCAACAAACAAACAAACACGCATCGCAGTTCAGCCATCGAACTCGACGCTCCTTCCGCCTACTGTACTGCACAGTACATGTGCCAGTCTCCGGACTCAATCCCAAGACCGCGACTGCAGCCCTGTCAGTCCGTTACGGCGTTGCTGGCAAAGGCAGGGCAGGGCAGGGCAGGGCAGGGCAGTAACTGTCGATGGCCCGTGGAGTCGGTCGGGGCAAGCACACGAAAGAAAGAATGGAGAGAGGTTTAAGGTTTAAGACTCGAGACTAAGAAGGGGCATCACGGGGAGCGACCGGAAGCGGCCCGGAACCGGTGAAGCAGGTGGGGACGGGCGGACACGACGAGGGGCAACGGGCGTAGCGTAGCAGTCATCAGGTGAGAAGAAGACTGAAGAAGAAGAATGGGAAGTGAGTGGCAGGCGGGCAGACATTCGAATACCGCGCCATAATGGCAGCGAGCGTGCCTGCGAATCTAGCAGAAAGAGAAAGAGAGAAGAGAGAAGGAGATGGCGGTCGAGGAATTGGTTCATGAAGCACGGCGAGAGTTGCTCGCATGCGGAGGTTGTGCCAACGGAGCGAGGAGGGGCGAGGGATGGTCGTCAGCAGCATCGAGCAGCGAGCAGGAGCAGCGCACTCCTCGACTCTCTGGGCCTCCTCCTCGGCTCGACAGGTCGCGTCGTCTCTGAGGGCGACGACGACGAGGGCGCCGAGAGATGCTGGCGCTGCTGCTGGATGTGGGGGCGCGGGGCGAGCGAGTTCGCCGTGAAATTCTCGTTGCGGGGCGGTCGTGCGCGGGCCGGTGTTGCCCCGGCACCGCTGGGCTCGACAGATGCGGGCTCGGCTTCGTCGTCGTCGTAGAGCAGCAGCAGCAGGCTCGGCCCTAAATGCTCATTCATGGTATTCTGTCTGTCTCTGAAGCTTGTTCTCAGAAGCATAATATGGGGAGTGGCCAACTGCGTTCCAGCAACCCTCTCGAGCACCTGGTCTAGCAGCAGCAGCAGCAGCAGCTCGTCGTCGTCGTCCTCCTCTCGGCGTCGTTCTTCATCGCGCCTCACCCCCCTGCATCCTCCGCCCTCTGTTGATGGCAAAGCCCCAATTCGTGCACATTATCCCCACATCCCAACCCCGCAGCACCAGCACCTCCCCGCTGCCAGTTTGCACGACGACTATAGTTTCGAGGTCGACAAAGTCGAGGAAGTGATGTTTCCTGTTTCCGGAGCCGGTGAGTTCAAGGGCCCCGTGCCCCAGAGGCCCGAGGAAGTGCCTCCCAAATCCAAGCGCGTGGAGAGGCTTCTCCGCGAGCGACAGCTTCGCAAGAGCAGCCAGCAAGGTCAGTTGGACGAGTGGGATGGGAAGCTCGAGAGTGAGAATGGAGGTGGAGTCGGTCCTGGCAGCGGGCGAGATGCCGGTGGCGACAATCTTGAGTTCCCCGCGGAGCGACCCACGCAGAGACTGCTCGTGGTGGCGAATCGGTTGCCCGTTTCGGCCACCAGAAAGGGCGATGACTGGCACCTGGAGCTGAGCGCTGGAGGCCTCGTGAGTGCGCTTCTAGGGGTGAAGCAGAATTTCGAAACGAGGTGGATCGGATGGGCCGGCGTGAATGTGCCCGATGAGCTCGGGCAGAAAACCCTGACTGCCGCTCTGGGGCAGAATGGATGTGTGCCCGTTTTTCTGGACGATGAGACCGTCGATCAGTACTACAATGGGTATTGTAACAACGTTTTGTGGCCCTTGTTCCATTACATTGGCTTGCCGCAGGAGGATCGGCTCGCTGCCACACGAAGTCTCCAGTCTCAGTTCAAAGCTTACAAGCACGCGAACCAGAAGTTTTCGGATGCTGTGTACTCTCAGTACCAAGAGGGCGATGTAGTTTGGTGTCACGACTACCATCTCATGTATCTGCCCAAGTGGCTGAAGGAGAAAAACAGCCAAATGAAAGTCGGCTGGTTTCTCCACACTCCTTTCCCTTCGTCTGAAATCTATAGAACCCTGCCCTTGAGGTCCGAGCTTTTGAAAGCAGTGCTGACTGCGGACCTGATCGGGTTCCATACCTACGACTATGCCAGGCATTTTGTAAGCGCGTGCACTCGAATTCTGGGGGTGGAGGGTACTCCCGAGGGTGTGGAGGATCAGGGTAAACTGACCCGCGTCGCAGCATTTCCTATCGGAATCGATCCGCAGAGATTTATCGAGGCGCTCGAGACCGATGTGGTGAAATCTCATATCCAGGAGCTTCGAGCTCGTTTCGCCGGCCGCAAAGTCATGCTGGGTGTAGACCGGCTGGATATGATCAAAGGAATTCCTCAGAAGCTACTAGCTTTTGAGAAATTTTTGGAGGAGAATATTGAATGGCGAGATAAGGTAATCTTCGTGCAGATTGCTGTGCCGACTCGAACAGACGTGTACGAATACCAGCGACTGACAAGTCAAGTACACGAGATCGTGGGGCGAATTAATGGTCGTTTTGGAACTCTGACGACCGTTCCCATCCATCACCTGGATCGCTCCCTTGCATTCCACGAGCTGTGTGCAGTGTACGCGATCACCGATGTTGCCCTTATCACCTCACTGCGCGATGGCATGAATCTTGTGAGCTACGAATACGTAGCATGCCAGAATGACAAGAAGGGAGTGTTGATATTGAGTGAGTTTGCAGGAGCTGCACAGTCACTCGGAGCCGGAGCAATTCTAGTGAATCCGTGGAATGTGAGCGATGTTGCCATGTCTATCGAAGATGCACTCACTATGTCGGAATCCGAGAGGAAAGAACGTCACCGTCATAATTTCATGCATGTGACGACTCATACAGCTCAAGCTTGGGCAGATACTTTTGTAAGTGAACTGAACGACACAATTGTCGAGGCCGAGCTGCGGACTCTGAGAATTCCTCCCACCCTACCTAATGAACAGGCTATCGAGAAGTACAAGGAGTCAAAAAACAGGCTCATGATTTTGGGATTTAATTCGACCATGACCGCCCAAGTTGAGGCCCCCAGGAGGCGCGGTCCTGACCAGATCAAAGAGATGAAACTGCGTTTGCACCCTGGCCTCGTGGATGTCTTGGATGTCCTTTGCTCGGATCCTCAAACCACCATAGTGGTACTCAGTGGAAGCGAAAGAGCAGTCCTCGATGAGGCCTTCGACTCCTTCGATATGTGGCTGGCGGCAGAGAACGGAATGTTCTTGCGACACACACACGGACCTTGGAAGACAACCATGCCCGAGCATCTGAATATGGAGTGGGTGGAGAGTGTACAGCTAGTCTTTGAGTATTTTTGTGAAAGAACACCACGATCATATGTCGAGGCTCGGGATACGTCCCTGGTTTGGAATTACAAATACGCCGATGTCGAGTTCGGCAGAGTCCAAGCCCAGGACATGCTCCAGCACTTGTGGACTGGTCCTATCTCCAATGCTGCAGTCGATGTCGTCCAAGGCGGAAAGTCCGTCGAAGTCCGGCCAGTGGGCGTCACGAAGGGAGCGGCCATCGACCGCATCTTGGGTGAAATCGTTCACACTAAGCAGATGAGCACGCCCATCGACTGCGTATTTTGCATAGGGCATTTTCTGGGGAAGGATGAGGATATCTACACCTTCTTCGAACCGGACCTCCCTCTGGAGCGGGAACCAAGCTTGAATGGGAAGGCTGATACGAAAGCAAACCAGTATGACCGAAGAATTGGAGCGAGGCAGGCATGCGACCGAATGACCAAAAATTCAAGCAAAGCAGTAGCCCGCCCCAAAATATACATGCAGGTGCAGGCGCCCCCAGAACGGAATGCAACTCATGAACGAAAACCTTCTGATGGAAACGGCGAGGCGGAGAAGGATGACTCACATGTAGCATCAGTTCTGGACCTCAAAGCTGAAAATTACTTCAGCTGTGCAGTCGGTCGTCAGCGTTCAGCAGCTAGATACTCCTTGCCATCATCAGAAGATGTTGTCGCCTTCCTTAGAGCTATCTCTTCCAGCTGTCCCAAGAAGATCAACAACAGCCAACCGTCACCCAGGTCTCTAACGAAATAGCTCACCTCATAGATCGCATGCGCTTGATACCTGACATCTTCGCGTTTTTGGCTGTTTGAGGTCCGTCTCTGCTTGTCATCGACCTTTGTAGATTGTTAGGGTCGTTGCTGGGTTCTGTCAGTTCATTTGCTGTTCTCGTTGAGTGCTACTTTGCAGCAATCTGAGTGCAGATAACGTGACGGGAAGTTTGGCAAGACCCAATTTTGTTCTTGATGAACGGGTTGGACGACGAGAGAGGCATGACAAGGATGACCTTGCCTAGTCTCAGAAGCATGGGACCGGAGTCTTGCATCTAAGTTGAGAAAACTGTCTGGAGTCCGTGAATGGATTTAGTGACTGCAGGGAAGAGAGCCAGAGACGTAAGGATTTCAAAATACAGATGTCGATGAGTTTAGTTATCGATGACAGCTCCCCCATCCACTTTGATATTTTGGTGTCAATGGACTCTAGTACATGTTTCCCCTTCCTTGTGTGTCCTGGTCCTTCTCTTTTGGGCTGTGTAATGTTATGTAGATAGGTCTGGAGACAACGTACGTACACCGGAGGGTCGTCGAGATTCCTCCGAGAGCATCGTATAATCCGGTGATATAGCTGTGCATACTTATCTTTTCCAATGGAGGATAATCCATGAATTTAATGGGGTTAACGGAAGTGGCTTTGGCTCATGAGCATGCCTTGTAGTTGGTACTGCATGGATTCTGGTGAGGATGTCTCACCTGCTAGAATTTTACTGTTTACTGTATTTTCTAGCTGTGCTTGTCATTGGGATAGATTGGTCAATTATCCGATCGGTATACAATCAGTCACCGTCAAGCATGGAAAGCATTGTAAAGAATGCTTCTCCTTGTCAACGCATCCATACCTTCTACTCATAATGAGTGCAAATAACGGTTGTAGATTGGACGGAATATCCGGAAGGATGTATGGAGTCTAAACAAATCTGCGGTAGTGGAAAAAACACTGGGGGCAGGGTTGGTAATGGCAGAAACAGATACATTTATTCAAACTCATATATGCGAGACTTGGTGATTGATACTTCCGTCCAGGACAGTGATCACATGTACCTCTTGCCCATATGATCCGGACAGTGACTTCGTCACTTTATCCCATTCTTGAACCGTTTCGCTTGGTGACTATGGACATGAACTTGAGGGGAAGAAGCCACACACGGATAGAACCAAAGCTGGTGGTGAAACTGACGGTGCCAGCTTAGATCAGGGTGCTTAGAATTTTCTGCTGATGGCAATCCGCACCCTGGAGTTCGGAACTCAGAAGAGATGCCACGAATACATCGTCGGCATTTACCGTGATCGTCCTCTCCAAAATATTAATCCACTTCACCATGGATGACTTTGTGCAGACTAAGAATCAGTGGAGCTTCGAACAGAAGCCTGCTGTAAGGACACAGGAAGGTGGAGTGAACCAATGTCGTAACTCCATGCGCTTTTGGAGGAGCAAGTCGTGTTCACGGTTAGCGAACGGGGAGTACCAAGTGTTCTGGACGAGGTGCTGTAGATTGGGGCGCGATGTGAATCCCTCTTGACCTCGTCATACCCTACGACATCCTGGGCCGTCACATACCAGAAAAGAATAAGGTCTTGCTGGTTTGATGAACTTTAGATAACATCTTTAGTGCAACATTCATACACGTGTGTGTCTGGACAGTTGCAGATTTCAGATGGTGTACTTCACGCTGAAGCATTACACCATAGAAGAAACCAGTGGACTGATAAATCTTCAACCACATCCCCTAATCTAGTTTTGTAAATAGAAGATTGCAAAGGTAAGTAAACTATTATTTGACCCCGTAATAGTAAGAGTTGATTACAAATCGAGGATATGTGTCAGTAGGTTTCACAACCGTCGAAAACCAGGTCGATAAGCGTGGTTCGACCACACTCATTAACCAGGTCAGGTAATGGATCTGTTAAAACAGCTAAACCATTTTGTATGATTAGTGCGCAACAGACTCAAGAGGATCAAGGGTCTAAACGGTGACTTCCCTCGTTAGTGTGTACCAGACTAGTGCGCACTAGTTTTCCCCTCAATAGAAACACGCAATGAACTGAGAACTGGATACCCATTATGAATGTTAATCATAACTGAGACTAAAGCAACTCATGAATTACAAGCTGCAAATACATTCCCTTCATAGAACCTCTCTAAATTAATACTCCATGATCGCCCCCACCTCCTTAATTTAGAGAGTTTATTAATCAAGACAGGAATGATAAATTATTTGATAAATAGAACACCAACAGGATCGCCCCCACCTCCTTCATTTAGAGAGTTTATTAATTAAGACAGGAATGATAAATTAATTGATAAATAGAACACCAACGACCTCACCCACAGCCACCAGGAGCAAAGCACACCACGATGATGTGGTAGCATCCGCATCGCTCTTTGTAAACCCAAATCTTGTCCAACCCCAACTTGTCAACTGGCTTCAGTAAAAACACAATCTGAAAGTTAGCCGGGTACCATCTCCAATACACTTAAGCTGAAGGCAGAATTGTTGAAGCTTGATGTAGGAGGCAAACACCGACCAGCAAGCGTCAGTAGTAAGTCAAGTATCCGTTGATGGAAGAGTCACTTGAATGGTTCAAAGAGCTTGTCAACCTGAGCGGTATGTGAATCTGCCGAGCAGATGTTCAACTGCCTGTATCCGGACCACGATTCGTTCAAGTTCTCAAACGGTTGCCTGGATGAAAAAGCGGCATGGCATTCGTTCCTACCGGCGCTTTGGAGAGAGTGGCAGTGTGAACATGGATCTCATATCAAGCAACCTTTAACACTTGCACCAAACACTTGAAAAGTACAAATGGGAGTATATTTACAATATGGATGAGACTAGCCCCTTCTTCCGGATGCAGATTAGTGTTGGTTCAAAGAAATCTTTCATGTTGTGCACTTCCCAGTTTGAAGTCTAACGCTGACTGCATCAAATGTCAGGCTGATAACTCCTTGGCAACACAACAACTAAAGGGACACAAACATAACAAGTAGCGGATCGGGGTCGTTGTCTACTCTAACGGTGACGGCAACGACAAGCTTCCTCTCTGGATCATCGGAAAGTACGCCAACCCCAAATGTTTCAAGAACATCAATGTGTGAATATCGGAACAACGCCCGGATGACATAGAGAATCTTCTTGTAATGGCTGATAGACTTTGACCAGCGCATGCCTACCCGAAAGATGCTACTAGTTCTCGACAACTGCAGTGCTCACATCCCTGTAGACGAGCTTCCTGGCCAGATCACCCTGCGCAATACAATGGTTTTCTACCTTCTTCTGAACACAACATCAAAGTGCCAGCCGTGTGACCAAGGTATCATCCGCAACTTCAAAGCCTTTTAGTAAAATCTTTTAGTCCTTCTCGACTTCCTCATCAAGCTTTACAAGACACATGTTTTGAAGGATGGTTCTCAAATGTGATGGCTTGATACTCAAGATGGAATGTCGAGGAACGACACTGGAACATGCAACCAGAGACACTTCGCCAACATCTACAAGAAAAAACTCTCAACATTCTTTGGAGCATACCTAGCACCAAAATGAAGTTCTCCGGACTTCATGTAAACCCTATGCTTGTTTACTGTCAAAAATAATATCTTCTTCTTGGATTTCTACTCTTTTATATCATATTATTGCATGACATAGAACAAGATTTCACAGTTTACATATTGATTAATGAAATCACATTGACATAAGTGAACGTTTCTTTGCTCTATGCGAGAGCAGGAATATAGAGTACAAAGAGCATGTGTTTCTTACTTGTTTAAGATATATGGATATTAGAACGGCTCGTAAGATTGTTGCAAAGAATTGTTATTTTTTATTGCAACGTGAACGTTATGTTTTAGGTTGCTACTTTAGAGATGTTCTCAGTAGTCACTCCAGTGCTCTTGCACTGGAGTGACTAGAGGGGGTTCTCTCGTTATAATGACTGGATGATCGTTTTGTGTTATTTTTAGCCTTTTTACCCTTGGGGTACCGGCTTGATTTATTTCCATTATCATACTGCCGGAATGTTCTAGAAACGATGAGACCTCTCTAAACTGATAACCCCTCTCAATTAATAGGCTTTTGTTGGGTCAAGGCTATTCATTAAGAGGGGTTTTACTGAGAGATTTGCTTGATGGGACCCCTGCGGAAAGTAACTTGCTTGATGGGACCCCTCAGGTTTAGTTTTACCCGATGGGACCCCGTCAGACATAGTTCTTGTAACTACGATTACTACTAGTTACAATGCGGGAATTACAAACAGAGATTAATCCCTGATTATAATTTCTGGTGGATTATCACAGGGACAAAGATCGATTTTGCTCGAAGTGCAATTTGTTGTGCTTCAATTCTTCCCACCGCAAAGATTCGCGGATTTCTCTGTTGCCTCCCACCTGCACACTCCTTCCGTAACCCTGCTCAAGTCTCACGATCACCCATTTGTGACGAACAAATAAACTCCGGATGAACATTTCTTTGCTCGTCTCCTTGGAGAGTGGCCGGATACAGAATAACAACATAAAAACAAGTGAGTGTGATGGAGTCCGAAGTCCACTCTGTCTGCGGTTGCGGTGGACTCGTTGCACTCTCTCTAGTTGTTATTAGAACATGGGTGACGGTGCATCGTTCATGGGGTCCCATCGGGTAAAATGAAACCTGAAGGGTCCCATCAAGCAAATTACTTTCTGCAGGGGTCCCATCAAGCAAATCTCTCGGGTTTTACTGCAGTGACCTAGACTGTTGTGAGACAACCTGACAATCACCGCAAAGTAAAACGAGCATTCGACATAGTGAGCACCGGCAACGCTCAAAATAATCATCATAAGGAGTGTTGCATTCCAAAAACCTCCCCACCACGACTTTATTTGAACTTGGAACCGTTAATCTGTGATAACAAATGAAGTTCTTGCCAACAAAGTAACCACCGTCCATAAAGGCTTCCATATATCGCTGGAATTCCCTTCAAAGCTGCACCACATCTTCAAATTCTAAACCTTGCTACGCATGTATACTGATGCCATCTCACAACAAACACCACCGGTACAATACATGAGTATCTACTTATTTCTCAAGCGGTCTTCATTGTCATCAATCCAACCAGGTAGATCACTATACTGAAGAATCATGGAATCCATCACTTCCACTCCTTCCCCGCAGAAATTTAACCAATCCTTGTCTCATAGACATTTCTCACGTCCACAACTATGGTCTACTTGAGAGAAGCGTGACTTCCTTCTGGAGTTTCACTTTGAACCCTTTCTTGGAGAATTTTATGAAACTCCTGGGCAGTGGCATGTCTTCCAGCATTGGACATCGAGGGAGGTTGTACAGAGGGATGGAGATCAAGGGTCACAAGCTCCTTGACAGCTCGTGCGGATTGAGAAGTGAATCCACATTCAGCATGAGCTTTAAGATTTGTAGGAGGGTAGAACGATGCGATCTTGAAGTAGGTGCCCGTAAACAACGAATCGGAGTGCACGAGTCTGATGTGTTCTTGTAGTGCTGTCAATTTTCCTCCAACCGTGATATTTATCGCATCCGGGGCGACTCGAATTCGACCCAACAGTCATAAGGAAGAACAAAGATAAAAAAGCCAGATCTTCATTCCCTCGGGGTAGACGGAATCTTGGCTCATTTGATAATAATTTGCGCTAAACTGGAGCTACTTTCTGACGTTCATGAGCGATAAATTTGCTCTCAAGAAGAAAAGTCTCTTGACCGAGGTTCATCATATTTTAAGGTTTGCAAGTGAGTACATTTGTACATACATACACAAATGAGTACAATAGAATGTTAAGAGTTGTAGCGGAAAAAGATTTGTTTGAAAAAACTAATCAGGTTAAACTTTTTGTTGGAAAACAAGGATCTTGGATATCAATGATGCTAAAAAAAACTCTTGTAATTTCAAATATGGAAAAAAGAAGAGACAGCTGCTAATGCAAACTGTCTCTTCATTTCGATGATTATTCTGTTTGCTAGGGCAAACAGAATAGAAACTAGTTGTAGCTTGTGTGCTTTATCACATATGTCCGTACTAATAATAAAGGATAATATAAGTATACATAATTTGAGTGGATATATAATATAGAAAAAAAACTATTTTATTGTGAACAAAGGTGAGAAAGATTTGTAGTATGTTTCATTCAATACGGTTAAAGGAAAAAAAAGAATAATCATCATAAATCTTCTATACATCTGTGCAAATATGCGATTGATGATGGCGTAAACATAGATCTGTTTTCAACTTTGTATCTTACGCCGCAATTGTGAAAAGCAAAGATGTATCAATTAATCACTGGACAGGGGCTGCATTGATTAATCTTGTGGAAAAAGGAGAAAGATCATTGAGCCTTTATTTATGTGGATACTTTGCTATTGTTAAATTCAGATAACGTCTGCTCAAAGTCTTACACAAAAAATGTTAATTCAAGTCAAATATAAAGGAAAAAGCTTGTGGCTCACTACACATTGTATTATTCGGATGAAAGTTTCGCAACATAAAAAATATCACATATCTAAAAGCTAAGAATTTGATTGTGTGAAAATCGTGCTAAGTCTTGCGATGATTACATATTCATTCAAAGCAAACTATGACCTGGATGCTTGTGGTGGCTTCTATTCACATTGGTTGCATTTATCTTTATTTTTTGTGCCCAGATGGATTGATTGGTAGAAACCTAATTTATGTCAAATAATTCTCCTTTTTTTATTTGAAATTCAAGTTTAATTTTGGACTTGAAAATCCAATAAAAAATACAAAACAAGATGAAAAACATGTAAATTGGCTAAGTTTTACATTATCAGAGACAATGGACTATCTGGTTATTTAGACTTTAACATGATTTTATAAAAAAGAATGATATGTACAAGATATGTTGGAAAGTGAGGATTATAGAAAATTAATCAAGTTGAAAATTGGTTCAATGTCAGAGATGAAAGGAAATGATATGCAAAAAACCCAATATTCATAGTTTTTTTTTTATCGCCAGCGTCATGTTACCAAGCAGTCAGGTGAGTAAAGAAATTCTAATATAGTGTTTCATGAACTTCAACAAAAACCACAAGAAAGAGTTTAAACTCGTGAATATAAATTTCTTGAAATTTATAAAATTCAAGGTAAAAATAAAAATGAAATGGGATACAAGACTATACTAGTGCTTTCAATGAACTTGCAATATCTTGAAAATGAATTTAGTAGATGGAAAAAAACTATTACATGGGGTGGGTTGGTGACGGATAAAATAAGGGTGTGATGACAGTGCGATAGATAGACAATGGCAGTAGATAAATACATAAAAAGTTATTAAAATATGATACCAAATTTTAAAGATGAGTAATATCTAGAATGATTTTTTCTTTGATATATATAGTTTAGTCTATAGTGTATGAAAGTCTATAAGACTTCCATACACTCCAAATAATGATTTCCATAAACCTTTTCGAACAAGCTGATTCATAGCAATTCAAAAGTCATTGAGGCCAATCGTTCTACATCCACACACCAATAGAGCCTTGACTTCACTGCAGCAGTTTGAGAACTCCAACCAAAATTATTAAAGTCCAAATTTGTTAGATTCATGCGAGTCAATTTCCTTCGGGACTAACAACTTTGGTTGTGAAAATATACCTCATGCCTGCATAACGCTCTCGTCCATCCGCCATAACATTATTCAATAAATAGTCAAGTTAACAGCTGTAGTAGTAAATAGCTGTAGTCAAGACTAAAAGTGGTTGAAGCATATTTGTTTCATTCAATGAAATACCGTCAAAGAAATCAAGGAGTGTGCATCAGCGTATCATATTAGTGAACACGATATATTAAATTCTCTAGTCTATTGTAAATATTGAATCAACTTGTTTTTATTGCTACATTTCACAAACCACACATACATAAAAGAGAAGGGCTTGTTTTCTCCCCATGAATACTCCAGGGCTCCATTTGCGGGGCCGTCAAGCACGCGAAATTTTGAAAGATTCGATTTGGTTAATCAATCAAATGTTTCATAATCGATGCTCAATTAAAATTATTTTTTATCAAGTTTCTTAAATTGTTCAGATCATCTAAATACCGAGAAACATTGTTTACATTTACTGCTCTAAAGTTCATAGTTCTCATGACCTAGTTTTAGTTTTCTTCCCTACACATATTGATGAAGATCCATTGTTTTTCCTATCCTACTGCGCTAGATCATAAAACAGCTTTCTCCATCCTTGAAGTTGCACCTCATATCTCCGAATGCCATTTTATTTTATTGTGACGCACTATGTCAGATCAGTTAGATACAGAGTTAGGGATTTTGCTGAACCTAAGATGGAAGACTCCCACAGTAATGAAGTCATCGATAATCCGAAGGAACCCAACTCTGAGAGAGGACGAGAGAGCTCTTCTTGCTCACATGAAATTTCTTTAAGTCCATTGAATGGTCAATGAAGCTTGGGTCAGAACAGAGAACAATCATGATTGCCTGGTCGAGGAAGCTTGGACTCGTTCGAGACTGCGAGCTCTTCCATCATTGTCATAATTGCCGGTAAGAGTCGGATTGGAAAAAGCTGATGCAAACGACGACACACACGCAGCGGAAGAACTTCTGACGCCGGAGAATTCGCGATCGGACGTACAAATCTTCTGCTCCACGGCTCTTCAAAGACGCCGGGGGCTCTGTACTGCAGAGAGTGTACGAATTGTTATCATGCACGATCCAGTTTCCGTTATGATCACCGATGTCCCCTTGAAGAGCATGCGACGTGGTTTCTGCAGGAAGTCCAATGAGCGCTCGCTCGTCGTTCTCGAGACGAAGACAGCTTTTCTATGTCGTACGAGAAATCGAGACTTAAGCGCATAATTTACTTTGGAGAGAAACAATCCAAACTATTCGAGCGATCGCAAGACGTGACCAGACGCCGACTCAGAGGTTGACTTGCAATGATTCTGAAACAGTGAAGTTCAAACCTTCTGTGAGTCATCATCATCCATCCGCTGGGATGAGGCAGGAGGCTGAAGCTTTTGTGACCAGATAATCATGATCTCCGCATGGCAGTGCCTCAATTCATAGACGATTGTGCATGTCAAGTTCGTGGTGGCTAACAACGGACTAGCTCTGATTTCAGGATCGCAGCTTTCTTCCGGAGACCCGATAGGTATCGAAGTTCTCGACTCCATCATCCGAGATTGTCTCCCAGGACTCACCAGTTCCGCAATTCCGCATATTCCGCGTTTTTAGTCGAGATTAGAGGCACCTAAAGTTTCAGGGACAATTCTGTTGTTTCCAACTCGAAAACAAGGCCCTCCTGTCACCTTCGCGTCGTTGTCTACGTTGTGGTGCATAAGCTGGCGGTGGGCATCGGGGGAAGGTCGACTGAAGGAGATTGTGTACGGGAACCGATCACCCGATGGGTCCAATCACACTGGACATGATCCGCAGACGAGCCGAGCACAACGATGGAGTGCTCGAGACGCTCGAGGTTGTAGCCACAAGACTCAACCCTTTTACCCTAACACGCATCGGTCGTATCCGTGGGGCAAGATTATCGGAAGAATGATTCGTTGGAAGGTCGTCATGATTAATCTCCTCATTCCTTTCTGTATAGTGTTTGGAGGATGGCGTGGCGTTCCGACACTGACTCTGGATGTGTACATGGTGGACAGGAGCTGGTTCTGCAGGAGGAAGGCATTGACAAAATCGAGACGCTTGGACGACTTTGCCCCAACCTCAAGATTCTCTACATGCCCAATAATCTAATCCCCAGACTCGGTACACGACACACCTTCCATCCATAACACGTGCTCGGTGAAGGCCTTCCTCAATCAACGCTGAACTCAGACAATCTTATCATTTCGCTCGATTTTGATTCGTGAATGTGTTTGGTGAATCTTGTCCGAAAGTGCAGAAAATCTGAATCGACTCAAGGCACTGGAGTACTTGAATCTAGCCATCAACAATATCACGAAGGTATCCCCATCCTGAACTGTGTTTTGAGAGAGAGAGAGAGAGAGAAGAGAGAGAGAGAGAGAGAGAGAGAGAGAGAGAGAGAGAGTGAGTGAGTGAGTGAGTTCTGATCTTCAAAACGACGCAGTTAGATGGACTCGAGGGATGTGAAATGCTCAACAAGCTGGACATGACGCTGAACTTCGTCGACCAAGAAGGACTGATCACAGCGACCAAACTTCGTGCAAACATCCACCTGAAAGAACTGTAAGCCTTTTTCATTTTTCGGACGGTTGCCTTGTCTGGAATGTCGAGAGTTTCGTGCCACAAAGCAATAAAGCACATGAACCAACTTAACGAAGAATCTGACGTCCATCGTGTGGCCGTTCAAGATACTTATCTGGCAATCCATGCACGGACTATCCGGGCTACCGAAAATTCGTCATTGCCGCTGTTCCATCCCTTCAGGTGAAAGCTAGAGTTATCTTCCGAGGAATTTCTGCAACTTGAGAATAGCTGAGCGAGGAAACAGCTAGAATCAATAGCTGTTGCTCACAATGTGTAGGTTCATGACATCCAGTCTGCAATGTTGACGTCACCTGCAAACTAACAGCTCGTTCACTATCAGTGAACCTTGAATTCATCAATTTTCAAAGACAGTACTTGAAACTGGAAACCTGTGCCCTCTGCCCATGAACAGCTCCTCGATGCTCACAAAATCAAGCCTTCGGAGAGAATAGCAGCTCAGCAGGTAAGCTCAGGGCACCACCATCACTGTCACCACACAATGTGTATCTACTTATAACGCAACCAAGTGGCCACAATAATCTGGCCCGAAATTTTAGAACGAAAGATTGGATGAATGAAGAGCACTGGAAACGACAGCGAGGGTGCGAGGGTGCTCGATTGCACTTTCGACGGGCCCCTCCTTCAGATAGACCTACTCACTATCTTACAGCAGAATCTGCTCTGGTCCATGCTCACCCGTCCACATCTCAACACTCAGCCCGCTTTTCGCACTGAGGATCGACTTTTCCCTTTGCAGGAGTTTCATCTGCTGTGTGCAGAAGTTTTGGACTCTTGCACTGCGCAACCTGTTGCAAATGTCAGCACATCGGAGCAAGAACTACCACAACTGTAAGTAAAAAACTCACAAAATATCTCCAGATGCCATAAAGGGGGGATGAATTTTTGGAGTGGATTCTGCCGTGGAATGGTTCGTCCGGCTGAATGTGAATGTGCGTGGGATGCAGAAACGAAAAGGGGGAAGTTGTCCGTGATTATACTGTGGCGAACAGAGTAAAAGAACACAATGAGATGCAGCAAATCAGAGAAGAGCAAGAAAACAAATCGAAGCCAAAAGTAAGGACTCCGTTTCTGGTTTGCATTAACAAACATGCAGCGAGAGAGAGAACTGGCCACGCATGGAGCCAAAACAAGAGAGTGACTGAGAATAGACTACTCGTGGAAGAGCAGCTCGCTCAGAACACACCACGAATGCTTCTGCTTCTCAGCCAGCGCTGCATCAGATGACTGACTGCTGGTAGTTGTTCCTCTTTTCGCTCACTTTCTCGCTCTGAAAAGCCGAAGGAAAGCAGAAAGCAGAGTAAGACTTCGTTCGAAGGTAACGAGAGTCGAGCTACGCTGGTGACTATCGTGGGTCATAGAACGTCGATGAAGATTTCTTTTCTGTTGAGTTCTCGCTAGAGACTGTTGAGCATCCTTGAGCATCCTTGAGTATCCTTGATTGATGTATTGGTCGGTAACGCCAACTTTGGTTTCGCCACCTTCAGACAGAAGAGCGAAAATCTAGGAGGCGAGCAGGCTTTGACCCATTGCCCTGCGAAGGCCGCACATATCAAAAGAACGAAGGCAGGTGTGGTCCTATTCTTCTAGCTTGTACCACTCAATTGTCCAACTCCCCAAAAAAATAAATTCGGTCGATCATCAAAACTGAAGTGCGTTCCTTGACTTGGGAGACTCTTCGTTTGCATCTAAGCTGATCTCAGTCAAGCAAGACCCGGATTCTCAAGCAGCGAAGTTTTCTCTCGATGCAGCACAGTTTAGATAGCGGGGCACGCAGATCCTGAAACACCATAACGCTGAGCTCATTCCTCTGTGTACTTGGACAGAGAGCTCACTGCTTTACTCTGCTTGGATGAGCAGAGAGTTGACGCCAGTAGTAGTTTCTCAGAGCTCAGAGTCTTGTCGCCATCGATCGTCACATGACATGAGTCTTGTCCGAAGATTGACCGTGTCCCTCAGATTCCAGTAGCTCTGCTGGCAAGAATCCCATGGTGCATGATGCTCGTGGAAAACGAGTGTACGCTGCATGACTGGTCGCTAATGATCTGCATGGAGACTGCCACCGACTTTGGTACGTATTGACATCTTTATGGGCTCGATCGATAATGATTGGCGTACCGCAGCCTGGACTTCAAGCTCGTGGAGAGCGACTGTGGACGACATGTCCTCTGTGATGTAGCTGTCGGGCGCTATCTGGACACATCCTTGATCGACGTTGACATCCAACCATCATGGATACGCATTCTTGTGAAAGGAAAGCTCCTGCAGTTGCGACTTCCTTGCGAGGTGCGTTCTTTACTGTAATCACATTAAAACGCTTTCTTAAGTCTTCAACCAGCTCTGGACCGTCACTTGATCTTTGCTTGGCGATCAAATAAAACCATATTTCGCATTCATTGCTTTACTTCGATCCTGAACTCTGGTTGAAGACAGAGCCTCAGACCGTAGCTGTACTTAGTCTATTGTCTAAAGGGAAAGATATGAAGCTGATTGTAGGTGAAATCAGATGAGAGCATTATTCAGCGATCAGCAACTACCGGGCGTTTGTTGGTGACCATGCCGAAAGTCGTGTCCGATCCTCGATGGAAGGATGTGTATTCTGCTGCTTCGGCCTTACCTCATATCAGATCCAAAACGAACAAATTCGTTGATACGACGAGAACGAGGCGTGAAAATTGTGTAGAGCCATCAGCAGCTGTCGACATACACGACATTGTGATCGATGCAACACCAACTGCCAAACAAGGCGACGCGGTGATTACCCAACGCGAGGTCAGAACCCCACAGAGCTACCTTTGTGATCAGCTCACGCTCTGTACATGGCCATGACCCGAGAGACACCACATACGTATTATTGTTCCTTTTTGGCCCTTGGACTCCTTGCCTGTTCCAATAATTGAATACCGATGTTGACCTTTTGGTTCGCTCGTTCCACTGTATGCAGCCGCAACGAGCCAAGATGACCGAACATGACGCCAAAGTGATGGAAACGGAAAAGTCCGAAGATCAGGAGCTCTCGTTTAACTGGGAGGACGACATACCCGCGTTGGAGTGAAATCGCTACATTTTAATTCTTCTCAACTTTGTGTACATTATTCGTTGCAATCTTGCATCAAAAAGGCCTATAAAGCGCAGAGGGGCACAGTCCGGGCTGCCACAGAAAGTCCAAGTGGGGCAAATCCAATCACTAACAAAGGTGATCCATTCTGTATACCTCGCGGATTACGACAGTAACTGCATACTTTCTCTCTTCAATTCCACCGTCCCCCAACATTACTGTAGTTATAAGGACCGGATTTGCCGAACGCTGACACTGTTAATTGCCATAGCTGTCACGGGCAGTGGCTGGAAGTTCTACGCCAAAGTTTTGGATCGAGGCAAGGCGGCTGCCTTGGATTATTCTGTGCATGCGTAGTGTGAGTCAGGCCAGATAATGGGACAAGAAAACTTGCTCGTTAGTCGACTGGCCTACTATGGCCATGATGACTGGCCAGGTCGAGGCCGTAGGAGGAGCCATTGATCTTGCACAGAGTCCAGACACTGGGAGTGTAAATTCATCAGTCCCGGTGGTGAGGTCCGTGGGATACAGCATCATCATTCGATCTGTGGGCTCGACATCGGATTCCAAACGTCCTCAAACTAACCAGACCCGACTACAGGCAACGATGATGGGACTTTGTTTGCCTGAAGAACGCAGCAGCTCGTTGAGCAACTGCGCCGACGAACAGCTGTGCTGCTCAGCTGAATGACCAGCGGGATTCCCTAACATCCGCTCCGTATGCAGTTTAATGATTCAGCGCGGGTAATCTCTGCGAGGACTCTGAGACTCTGATGAATGCATGCCTTCTCCACGGTGTTCACTGGACCCGAGGAATGGGCTTTGCCTGCCCACATGACCCCTAGGCCTCACGTGTGGACCAGCCTCGAATGATTTGAGAACAGGCGCCGAGCACCCGAGATCCTAATCCAGTGAAGTCCAGTGGCTCCAGACCTCGAGCCCTTCAGCAAATATCGCCTGGGGCCTGGAACTGGGACTGGGCTGATTTCCAGACATAAAAACAACTCTGTTCTTCGGCGGACAGTTTTCACAAAAAATTCTACAGATTGTGAAATCCGGTCGTGATCTCGTGAGCGTGTTCTGGCTTCTCCGATCAGATCGCCAACCAACAAACCGCAGAGAGGTCAAATGTGAAGGAAGGACGGCGGGGCCAGACTTTGTAGATACGATGCACAGCAGTGGTCGCAGCTGAGGGAAGAAGAGGAGTGAGGGTGAATTCATAGATCACTTGAGATTGCGAGAGAGGGAGAGAGAAAGAGCAAGAAACCAAGCACGTTTCGAGGCACATGGACAGTGGCGGGTGATGGCCATAGCGGATCTAGGTGATCCTCCTCCATCCCTCCCTCCCTCCCTCTGCCCATGCCGGGACTCACTCCCTTTCTCTCTCCCAACTTTAAAAGCACGCAGAAGTAGCAGGCTGTTCCGGTCTGGTCGGCTTGGGCGGCCATATCTCCCAGCTTTCGTCTGAAATGATTCGACCATGGTAGGGCCATGCCGGGTCGGAAGAGCTCACTCCATGATTGTGCCCTCGGCTCGTCTTTGCCCTGAGTGTGAGCCGGCCTCCGAGTAGTGGACGGACTGGACTGCCTGAGGTTTCATGAAGGGCAGGGGGGGGGGGGGGGGGGGCAGAAAAGGCCATGCTGCGCAGTAAAGACGACATTTACAATAATGGTACGACCCCTCGTTGAGTCCCTTGACTCCCTCCCGTACGGTGTGGAGCCCAACCCACGACCGTTAGCCCCAGTTGAGCTTGAGACCCCCGGGCTCTTCCTCAGATCGGTTAGTGGTTCCCCTCTGGCAGAATAAGAATCAGGATTCTCTACCGAGAGAGAGAGAGAGAGAGAGAGAGGGTGGGGGGAGCATAATGTACAGGAGAAGTGGAGACCGGCATGGCAACCGACTGTCCGTCCGTCCTACGACGAGATGACATGGCGTTGACGACAGACAGACAGTCTGAGCTTTGCTTTGCTCCTCGCTCCAGTTTAGCCCAAGACGACTACTGGCTCTGCTGCCACATTAGTCCGATGATGCGCCGGCCGGCCATTGCAACCCGCTGGTCCAGGAGACCGGTGCTGTATCCCACTTACTCACTCACTCATCAGATCAGAGGTGTGGGAAAGCCATCCCCGAGAGTTCAGTGAGGAGGAGCTAAGCTCGAGTCCAAGATCATGTTCCGAAGCTTTTCTCTCGTTGCCTTTACCGGCCTCTCATATGAATCGAGTGGGCCTCGCCCTTTGACTGGATCGGTAGCTTTCTCTCCAGGCCTGTCGCACTCACGCAAATGTGGACTCACGTTTCCCCTCTGTCAACTCTCGCCAAGAACATGTGTTACTGCTTTTGAGCTTGTGTTTCTGCTCTCTTTAAGCCCCCAAACGCAGACCCTAGTTCCATCGATGCGCTCCATGGCTGAGGCTATAAAGTCTCCTTTTACAGAGCTCTTTCCTGCTCATATGGAGTCAGGGCCCAAAGTGGAGGGCATCTGGAATGAACAGAAGTTCTTGGATCGTAGCTTCAACTTGATGTCACCTGCCACTAAAAGGTTGTTGTTACTATGGTGGTACCAAGGATGGCAAGCCCCTACAATCTACTAATCATTAAAGTGGGCTGACCGGTGACCTTTCAAGCTGATGCACTCTCTACATCGAGGCGTGAGAATTTGCGAGTATACATGTCCAGAACCGTGACCTCTTGCTTCGAAAGACATGCCCACTTCTTTTGCATGCAGACTCAGACAAAAGCTTGGAACTCAATCAATAGTACTTTGCCAATAATTTACCTCCCAAGCATCTGGGTACATTCATATGGAAAATGAATTGAAGTTTGGCGGCCCAGACGGTCAGGGTTTGCTTTATTTTGGTCCAGCTTGCTTATCTCTGATGACATATGAGGAATCTCCACCAGGTCTCAAAATGTCAACTTTACGCCCCCTTTTCGCAAAGTTCAAGGCACAACACTGAAAAGAACGTCGCTGCACGATAATGCTTCTCGGCATCGAACTGAACTGGACTGGACGCCTCACCGATGATCAGAGATCCATGGTCTCGCAAACGCATTCAAGATCTGAAGCGTCCTATTCAGGGCATCTTCTCGCCGTCCTCACAAAGAGCACAGTCTAGAAATCGAGACATTAGGTGACTGATTGAGCACAAGGGCATCATCATCTCACCTCCTCCTGTAATGCCCTTTCTCCGAGCCTTGCTGAACTTCTCACTCTCATTCTCTCTCTCTCTCTCTCTCTCTCTCTCTCTGGACAGCTCTTTTACCGCATATAGTAACAGCCATCCCTCCGTCGTCACTGCCACTACTAGCAGCAGCAGCAGGCCCCTGACTTCCATGTAGCCTTTACAGATCCACTTTCCATTACAACGAAAAGGAACAAGCAGCTGCTATCTTTACTGGCCTGGCCGGGCCGGCGCTCGCTAGCAAATTCACTGATCAAGTCAATCATAGATCGAAGGTACATCTTCATAACTGACCCCTCGGGTCAGACCCCAAACTCGCCACAGTCCTGTATCTTGTAGCGGCACAATACTCTTGCAGTACAGTATCTTCATTTGGTATGGGGATGGATCGGATCGAACTTTAGTGCGCATGAATTAATGAAGGGGCTCGAGATGCGCTCGGAATAAAAAGCTTGCATCGGCGATTCATACTGCCTGCATCACGAAGAGAATAGATAGAATGAGAGAGAGAGAGAGAGAGTTCCGGAGTTGATCGATTGATTCCTGCTCGGCCACATATCTCTTCCCTCAGAGAAAGAAGCTACCTATTAAAGAATGTCATAATTACCATCATGCCTTTATGACTTACAAACAAGCTGCCTTCTATAACAAGTGGTGGTGGTTGGGTGTTGTCCCGTTCTGCACTTGCACTTGCTTGCTTGGGACCTCAGCAGAATGACGAGACCAGTACACGATTCTCGGTGCATCTTGCGTCCCCTTGTGTTTCAGAGGTATCATGGCTCAGTTGGAACCATCAATTTCCGGATGTGAGATTTAGGACTTCTAATCAAGTGGTGGAACTTTGATATACCTCCACCAAGATTTGGTATCCAGTATGGACCCTTTGGTGTTCTCCAGGACCGTCATGTTTCCTCATCCCTGTTACACACCGGCTCTGTAACCATGCTTCGAGGGGGTTTGGGTACTGCTACAACCATGGGATATCCATGAAATTTTAGAACTACTTCAAGCTATATATATATAATTATACAATTATATACGTATATATAAATTCTGATCTCACGCAGTAGTAATTCTCCATTGCAATGCAAACCAGCGTTAAATGAGTTCTGCGAGAATCATGCATGATGGATGGCTGCCTCGGTGTTAGTTTACACTCCGCTCGCTTCCAACTTTGGGTGAACCTGAGTACGAACCCCCAGCCTGCCACACCATTAAATGTCCTCCCCTTTAGCTAATGTGGCACAGATTCTTTCTGGACTCCGGATATGGGTTTGGGAAATGGTAAGTATCAAGTCCCGACCTCCGGTATCAATGTCGAAACAAACCATGTCCACTCTAATCTGAGTTAATTTTTTATGAATTTTTAATTACATGCGATTACTTTAGTAATCACATATAATCCAATGGAATTGATCCATCACAGTATACAGAAATCTCAAGTCCGAGTAGTAATTAAGGAGTAGCATTGGTTATGATTTGAAATGGAAAAAACCCAAAAGTTGAGAGATATTGAGGGCTGAAGCTTAGGCTAGTAGATGAGTTTGTTCAACTATCATTGCTATTGAATGATTCATAACCTGGATACGAAGAAAATACATTCACAATCAAAGTTTTGGTAGTCCAGTGCATCTTCATGAAGATATATGAGGGAAGGTATATTTCAAAACTTTGTATAAAATTGAAATTTGTTAGAAAAAATTGCTTGGGTTCTTGGTTCCATCTTACATCATTTCAACTTTCACATATTTTGAAGAAAAAATTTCAAATTTTATCTGGATTTTGATCTGTATTTGAGAACGTAGAAAATATATGTATTTTAAAAAACAACAAAATGAATTCCTAAAATCAAAATAAATAATTACGTGAAAGTTTCACTATTCAAATTTATAAAGATATTTTTTCATATAGTAGTTGACATTTGTAATGTTTCAAAATTACAAACTTGAGATCATGATTTTTTATTGTTTTGAAGAGCATTTAATTCAAGAAAATCATGTAAATCTTACATTTATATAATAATTGATATTTTAAATATTTTTTTGAAAATAATATTATTCACAATAATATTTCAATTGATTCCAAATAATGGGGGCAAAACACCTAGTCTAACATATCTTGAATGATAATAGAGTAATTCAAAAACATTAAAGTTAAAATTTAATTTTTTACAAGTAAGTGCAGTATCATTTATAAATATTTTTGATATGATATTTTTACTGATTAATTTTAGATTGACGAATTATTTATGGGATTAATTTAAAATTTTTAACCTTTGAATTATCATAGAATTTACACAATGGTGAAATTTAATGAAGATTCAATGATATTGATAATCAATCAAAAAATACAAGTTAGATTTTTAAGAAAAAAAATTTAAATTTTTTGTGCAAAAATTCAATGTAAAAATCTAAAAGAAATTTTATGCTCAATAATATTCATCCTCATACTTTTAGTGTGATGATATCAACAGATGTGAATAAATTTATAAGAAGACTCAAGCATGCTTGATCATTGATTATTTGGAAGCAGTTGTTTCAATATCATATTGTTACATTTTTTACTTTTTGCAAAAAGGTGATTAGCACAGTGAGTATAGCACTTAAGAAAAAAAAATTAGCTGGTTTGTAATATATATAGTTATATGAAACAACAACATGAAATGAATAGATTTAATATTTGTTAAAAGATAAATATCAATGAACTTGTATACCAATTCTTCCATGAATATGAGTACATGCACTAGTATTGCATAGAATTTGGTCAAAAGGTGATTAATGAAAAGGTTACTCATTTTGCTAACACTTCAAGATCTACGTTTAGATCCATGTTATGAATCTCAAAGAGATAGCCATAGACAAGACAAAGCAATAGATCCTAAGAGCAAGTAGTATTCTTGATGACTTAGTCATAGACAACACATAGCAATCCAATACTCGAATCTCAATTTGTACATACAACATATACTTACTTTGTTCAACACATAAAGTATCGTGATACATATAAAAGATAAAAAATTCACAATGTATGACGTACACACGTTTATGAATTTATTGAGTACATAAAAAAATTATGAAATATAAATACATAATAGCAGTTGCTTTTGGTGATAATTTGTAGATTTTTTTCCCCAATGATGTTAAATGTAACGAGAGTTACGGGATTTCATTTGGTATGACACGGCGAGGATGTTGGATCCCAAAAATAGGGAGTGTGGACAAGCTGCACTCCAAATGAATGGTAAACACTCCAAACCTACCGTAATCAAGGAACCGTGGCAACCGCTGATTCAGGTCGGTAACCCTTGTCACTTGTCCGCCCGGGTTCGACTAAAACATAGCCCGCCGGAATCTTGTCCCCCGCGCGGGCGACCCCGGCACGATCTCTGGCGCTGACTATGCCCCGTTCGATGGCCGAGCGAGCGCATGTCGATGTCGTCCACGGCAGAAGACGATGAGTCGGTCGCTCGCTCGCTCGCTCGCTCATCGTCGTCGTCGTCGTCGTCACCGAGAGGAAGGCAAGGCAAGGGAAGGGAGAGGGAGGAGGAGGAGGAGGAAGAAGAGGTGCGTGGAGGGCCCCCCGGTCGACGCGCCTCGCCACTCTTTTTAAGGCAAAGCTAGAGGCGATGGTGAGCCTATCGGACCAGCACACGGAGCGCACACAGCAGCAGCAGCAGCAGCGGCAGCAAGCAGGGCGAAAGTACAGGGCTGGACTGGACCGGACCGGACCGGACGGGCTTCGGCTTGTGCTTGTGCTTGTGCTCCTGCTCGCCCTTGGGCTGCGGCTTTAGCTCGCGCCTGCTTGCGCTCGCGCTCGGGCTCGGCTCGGATCGGACGAGCAGGAAGAGGAGGAGGCAGGAGATGAACAAACGCAGAGAGTCGACGATGGTCTGAGGCGGACGAAGGAGCTCGTGGGAAGCGCAGGCAGAGATCCCATTGTGCGATTGATTGGAGAAGGGCAGGATTTCTACAGACGGACTGACAGACAGACAGACAGACAGACAGACGACTAGCTCCACCGCCGTCGTAGTGGTCGTCGTTGTCATTTGAGGGAGGGAGGGAGAGTGATAGGGGAGGAGGGGAGGAGAGGCTGCTGGAGATGATAAGAGGGCCGAGGCGGGCAAGAGGAAAGAGAGATGGATAAAGCGGGGTTCAAAGGAGTGTTTAGTGGGAGCGCGGCGCAGGAGCACGCCATCGACTGGGAGTTGCGGCCGGGTGGAATGGTAGTGCAGAAGCGAGACCCTGACGCTGTCGCCGTTGTACAGGGCCCCATGATTAAGGTCAAGGTGTCGCACGGCCTTTTCTCCCATGATGTCACCATTCCTGCCCAAGCCACTTTCGGTCCGTTCTCCACTTCCGGTTCTCCTCCTCCTCGTTTGCAATTGGCTTCGTTGTTGTCGCCTCGACAGCTGCGAGGGTATTCTTTCCCTGCTTGCTGTCCATGCGCGTTGTTTGTGTTTTGCCTTCGATTCCTCGTCGCCCATTTGCTGCACTTCCTCGTGTGTTCTCAGCTTACCGCCGGAATTTCGACCGTCCATGTGGTGGACCGTGTCCGATTCGGGGGTTAGAATTCGAAACGCTCTCGATCGGTTCTCGAATTAAATTCACCAATGTCATGGCGTTCTGTGAACATTCGTGATGCTGTTACAGCTCGCCACATTCATGGATCGGTGGAGATGCAGCAAAACGCAACGTGGCTGAGTTTGGCATCAATGCCGTTAGCTCGTGTGTGTTCTCACCCTAGAAGAATACGCAAGAGTTTCGCTGTAGAAGACTAGAATAGCTGGCCGAATGTTTCCCTTCTGAGGCACGTGCTGATGGTTGCGTCCATTGGTGCAGGCGACCTCAAGAAGTTGCTTGTGCAGGATACCGGTTTGAAGCCCAACGAACAGAGGCTTCTCTTCAGAGGCAAACAGAAAGAAGACTCCGAGTGGTTACATGTCGCAGGAGTTAAGGATAAGGCGAAGATAATTCTGGTCGAGGATCCAGCCAGTAGAGAAAGAAGGCTAGATGAGATGAGGAAGCAAGAGCAGATTGCTAAGGCTTGCAAGGCTGTCGCTGGAGTTCGATCGGAAGTCGATAAGCTGGCCGGACAGGTAGGCTGATGGGACGGAGCCATTAAAGTCCATGGGTCTTAATTTCTCTCTCATCCTGTGTTCCTAGCACCGCGAGTCACATAGAAACCGTTAATTTGTACTTGCGATCTGTACACGGTATGTTTTCTCCGGAAGTATCGTCTCAGCGAAGCGAATGTGGTTGCCAAGTGACCTCCACAGTTGTTGAGAATTGGTTCCACGTGAAGTCTCAGCTGTTTTATTTTCATTCTTTTACGAAACTCTGCCTTGTTCATCGACGCAGATATCAGAGTTAGAAGCAAGCATTTCGACTGGATTCACCGCCCATGATAGTGATTTCACCGTTTTAACGGAGTTGCTGATGAGACAACTGTTGAAGCTGGATACCATCCAAGCTGACGGAGAAGCGAAAGCATTGCGCAGGACTGAGGTATGCCATTCAGTTGTTTGATTTTTCTCCTTTTCTAGAGGGTTCATGTTCTTGGTGTACCAGGATTTGGTCTGTCATCAGCTTGCAACCCTGTCGAGACTTGCTGGACTTGGAGAATGTCAATGTGGAAGCGTCCGTGGGGCCAAAACTAGAGTCAAAGTGAATGCACATTGCATGTTTTGCCGTTCAATTGAGCGCTGGTTTGAAGGACTGGAAGGACGCCAATTCGTGTTCGTCATGTGGGAACAGGTCCAAAGGGTACAGAGTTTTGTTGAAGCTGTCGATGGAATGAAATTGCGTAATTCCAAAGCTCAAGCTCCCAGTTCTTCCGTAGTGGTTACCACTCAGTGGGAGACATTTGACAGTGGAATGGGCAGTCTTACGGCACCACCTCCATCTTCTATTCCAACCATCACTGACTGGGAGAGATTTGACTGAAAGCTTTAATTGTTCTGTCTCTCACCCAATTCTGTATCTGCACTTGTTTTGTAGCATGAGTTTGTTGTCAATAATTTTTTCTTTCACTTGTGAAATCCTTTAGAGGCCACAGTACAAAATTTGTGGGTTATACCAATATCCATCTTCAGTTTTCCTAGTTCACTTGCATGTACACATAATTAATCGATTTTCCAGCTAGACTTCCTGGATTTTACACTTTACCGACTCCGCTCTTTCTTGAGCCATCCGAATAAACGAATCAGGACTTTTCGAGTAACAGGAGATTTTTTTCGTCCGTCTCTTGGCAAGACTTCCAGTGATCATTTTATGTTGTACTCACATTTGCTGTGTGGCAGCCCAGACTTGATGTCTTCTCGCAGTCTCCCATGTACCAGATCTGAGCTTGCTATTAGGACTTGCTAAATATGGACCATGGCAACGTTTCTTGACCTCTTATTGCGATTCTCGCTCATCAAAGTCGTGAATCTGTCAACTACTTTCTTACAATAGCATGCTCCACTTGATTGCCTTCTGGCTGTATCTCACGTACGGAATAAGATTCAGACCTGGACGCATGTCTTGCCCTGTGTTTTTGATCGGCAAGTTCCCTCGGCCGTGTGCCTATCAATTGCAGTTGTTACAGGTCAAAGGAAGGTTGGTCGCAGTCGAGGTTGTCTGTCATGTTCAGCATGTGCTGAAAGTGTGATATCTCCACCAAACTTGTCATGGGAGGCCATTTTCTCTTGCATTTAGAGATTTGTCTGTGGATGTCACGATGGTAGCTTTCTCATTCTCTCAGTAAAACCTACACTCTTGAACTTGCTGGTTTTCCACGCCGTCACGGATATGGATCGTGTGGAGATGGCTCGAGTTTCTTGATGTGTGCGAAGTCATCCTTGAACTAATATAAGAAAGTGAGAAAAAATTCGACAGTGTTGCAGTAGAAGGCATGTGTCCCACGAAGTAAGTAGGTACAGCAGAGAACATAGTTGGCATATTGTTCCTTCGTCCCCATTGTCAAAAACTCGGCGAGAGGACTTGTTATGTGTTGAAATAATCTGAAGAGAAGGGTCCTCGGGGGATCTCTACGGTTGGATTCACTTCCTGATCACAGGCTTTGAGAAGGGGAAAGAGGAAGAATGTCTCGATTATGGCAGAGGATCCATCTTTTTTAACCATCAAGGGAAGGGAGTCTACAAGGGCGATAGTAGCTGGCTGGTGTGTTAATGTATCGCACCCGGGAGATCTCTGAGTTTCCAAGATTGACTAATGTAGGAAGACGAATGGAAAGAAATCCTCAGAATCAGTATAAGTCCTGACCTATACCGCCGTTTCGCAAGTCTCAAGATAAATTATACAGAAGCTTTAACTTGGTCAAATTGAACGTTTGATGATTAGGTCTTGGTACCCTTTGGAATCATGTGGTCTTCATTTCAAAATCTTGAGAAGTTCTGAAGTATGCAGAATTGTTTTGATACATCAGTTTGGATTAATCTCCGCTTTAGAGTTTTGTTTTCAATAGCAGGACATCTTGAACTATTATTCCTTTATTTAATGAATGTACGACTTTTATGGCTGGTGTCTTCCTTATTATTGTTTTGAAATTAGATTCGGAATTCTAGGGACTTTTGAGCCACCCGTCATATGCATCACTTTGGAATAGGTCTGAATCCTTCTGAATTGGTAGAACTCAATTTGGGATTTCGAAAACTCTGCAACGTTTTTATAACAATTTCACTAAGTTTGAGTAAAGTTTCAAATATCTCAAACCAGCCAGCTCTTGAACGCCAAATTGAGGTTAGGAATATATAGATTCAGCCATAATGTCGAATTGTTTCTTCGTCACGGACTAACTTATGCGTTGTACCAAACCCTAATTACTGACATGCAACTTGAAAACAAACTAGGCCACTTCGAGCGACTCCGTCTTAACTCTACTTTTGATATTCCATGAGGTGTACAATCATAACACAGTTCTTATCTGTCAAGACCCTGCACCCTGTGTAGACTCTGCAACTTGCATGTTAGCCAGAATTTGGGCAAATGAGCAATACAGTTCCCAGTAGTATCGGTGAAGTCTACGTCTTTTCCATCAGCTCGGAGACTTTAATGTCTGAGGGCAGTACCTTTCATGTAGTTTTGATTTCATGATGCATGAGAGGTTCATAACTCGTCCTACCATTGTGGTCGTTGAGTATTTCTTGTTCTCAAATTTATGATCGTGTGCCATTTCGAACTCTGCCATGGTAGACTTCAAAGTCGTCAATTGCTAAGTAGATTTCTTCCGCAATAAGTAGGTTGTGCACTTTACAATTCTTTTGGAGCGACAGCAGAGTTGATTGAAGTATAGCGTGATGAAGGGTGTATGAGTAAGTGGTGAAGTCTTCCTCACTTGAAATGAAAGATTTTGATAGAACCAAGAGAATAATGCAAAGGGTGCATTCTTTGAGTTTCATTACGATGATTCTTGGTCGATGAGGAGTATATGTTGTGAAACATGTTAAATTACTGACATTTTCCTACAAGGTTGAGACCTATTCAATGATGATGATAGTAAAGTCATCCGATAATCGCATTATGTCTAATTTCTCGGTGTATTTCTAATTACAAGTACATCGTGGATGAATACTGATGGCGAGACGAGTCTATTGAAATAAAGCTTGTAGATATGACAATTCCTAGCATGTAGATACCATGTCAATTTCATCTTATTTTCAGATAGTACAATCAACGTTGTGAAAAGTTACAATTTGAGAGCTACACTTCCAAATTAAATATTGTCCACATAAATTTTCAAAAATTTACCAAGAACTTCACTGAGCCTTTTGAACATTTCATATACATGATTCCCATGACTTCACTAAAGTGAATTCTGCATTTTTCTTTTCTATCGATAGCTTGGATACTCTAGCAAAGAATACCCCACCATTGATCTAAGAACTCTATAATCCACATTGAGAAAACATGCGCATGAAAGAGTGCAATGATGCCAGCGCTGGGATTTGAATCCAATTCTAGAATGCTTGAAACTCTTTAATATAATTTCGTGGGCTTCAAATTTGAAAGCTTTTTTTCTCACACATTCAAACACTATAACACCTAAATGTCTTTTGCTTTTCAAGTCATATTGCTTTTGGTGATCAACTATAGTCATCAAGAATTCAAACAATAATGTTGTCTTTGAAGTCCAACATTTCGTTACTACATACCATGAAGATGTTGACTTAATATCATCACGAAATGAAGATCAATAACATATAAATAAGTATTAGCGATAAGGTTAAAGAGATGATTTGTCTTAGATGATCATCAATATCAAATTTTATAGAGATTTAAGTAAATCGTATAATGTACTGTTAATATAATAAAAAGTTTTTGTGACAGCAACCAATGATACATATGAAACAAAATGAATCAAATTGTCAAAATTTCCCAAATTTTAACAGTGATAGAAAAAGTATTATATATATTAAGATGAGTTTTTTACAATATGAAAACAAAAATATGAAATTGATGATAAAGTCAATCAAGTCTGTATGTGTGATGTGGAGTGATACATTGAAAATTTGTATGAGAGTGTGTTTAGATTATGAATATAAATATGAATTTTAATTTTCTATAACCATGATGAACTATCTCAAAGCTATCTGAGATAAGCTTGAGTGAGAGTCAGAAGTTGCAATCTTACACACTTTTGACTTTGAAGAAAAAGTGCATCCGGATTAAAATTTGCATTGTGAAGAAGGAGAAGAAAGTACTTCGGGACAAATTGGAATTGTCTCAGAAAGGATTTGAAAAAAAATTCAAGCGCGCAGAGTAACTAACGGTAACTCTAAAGGCAAGAGATCAATTGCATGTTGCGAATTGGCTTTGAAGGCAAAGGAATTGCAAGATTGCAAAGCTGCTTGAACTTCGGAGTTAGAGCGTAGGAAGGAATTAGACGCAGATTTCAGCAAATTGTGTTGTCAACTGTCGGCAGTTGAGGAGTAGTTGGTCGCGGCTCAAGCAGATTTGGTGGAGACGGAGGCGACAATCCAGCAGTTGGATACTGCGTGAGGCTAGATCGATGTCTTTGCGGTTATGTGGAATGGAAAGTTCAGACCCTGAAGTGGATGAAATTGGATGAGTAGGAGCATCATCTAAAGGAATTGGGAGCCAACGGAGCCGCATGACATCGACAGGTAGCTAGACAAATCAATTCGTTCATCTCTGGTTTGGAGGAGACGAAGTAGAAGTTAAAATTGGAACTATCAGCCGTTTTGAGTAAGATAGGAGCTCAATGAACGTTGACAACTGCCGCATCTGCTGACGTCGCTCTTGATGGAGGCTTGCAGCTAGCGGATGATCCCTCCGAACGTGCGTTGTGAATAAAGAAGCCCAAGGCTCTACCTTTGGGAGGCTTTTCCATGAGTCAATTTTCAATCTTAAGTCTGCATTCCTCCGCACGTTCGTGAGTTGTGCGTTTTGTGACTGCGCGAGTTGCTTCAGTTTGTCGAAGATACCGCATCTGAAGTAGAAAGTACCATTTAGATGTTCTGAGTAGTGCATAATGTAACTCAGAATTTAAACAAATCTGTACATTGGAAGCTCGGTGCAGCCAACGGAATATCTAATATTGGAAAATTTCCCCCTTGAATATCAATTACTGAGTTGCATGCGGCTTCTATTGAGATTTATTGGATGAATTTCAGGATTCAAGTGTGATTTTACCCTGCATTGTGTCGCCTTTGGCCGTAGCAATTGCAGTCTCTTATGGGAGTGACATGTGCCTAAGAAGTAAAACTTCTCAATAGAATGTTAATTTGTGACTCTACTTGATTCTCTGATGTTGTTTATGTTTTCGTGGGATCGGAGCTTTACCATTACGTTCCATTTTGATGATTATTTATTCTTACAATATTTATTATTTATTATTTAAACAGTCTTGGCTTAAGGTGATAATGGATAATAAATTTATGTTGGAGATACATAATCATAATAAATCATACAATTATCATGTATAAAATATGATGAATTCAACTACATTAATTTTCAAATTCAGCTTATTTATGTATTACATTCTAAATTATGATATATGAATAATAGATACTTGACACTTATTGGCAATATGAGCTTGTTATCAATAGTAATTTGTTATTGAACATATTGGAACTTGAATTTTAAGAATATTGTGTTATGTTCAAGAATCATAGTGAAGCTTTTGGTGTTCAAATTCAAAGTCTCAAAAAGTCATTTGATTATGTTCATAGAAATATTTAGGAATTTTTTTATCAAAATTTTATTTTATTTTTTTATTGATGATTATTCAAGATTTGTGTGAATTTATTTTTTCACACAAAAGTCAGATCTTTACAATTTTCTAAACCTAAATGTTCAAGTTGAGATTCAAATTTGACATAAGATGAGCTATCTACATCTGATTTATAGCAAAAAATATAAGGTCATAGGAGTTTGGGAGTTTTTGCAAAGAAATATAGGATCATTTGTCACCTCTTCACAGTTAATCATTCACAGCAAAAGGCTGTTTTTAAAAGGTTTAAAATCTTCATACTGTTAAAAAAAAACTGCATAGTTTAACATGTGAATTTTTAGCAAAATGTGTCAACATTATAGGTATAATATTCTTTTTCTAATGCAAAAAACTTTTTGGTGTTGTTTAAAATTTTTAGTAATAACTCATGTTGTTTTTGTTTTTAAAATGTCTACATTAGTATTTTCAGATCTATTTTTTTATTACAAAGAAAAATTTCGTAACTTGATCTCAAGCATTGTATTTGTTTGACAGTAAATAGTTATGTTCTTGCATATGTGCGTGTATATTATATTATATATATTATAATATATATTACATGTATGTATACATATATAATACATTCTTGCAGATGTAATATATATTCAATATTTTCAGTCTTTGAACACTTGATGACATGTTAAATTTGGCAAGGAATTATTTCAATGTAAAAATGATTATATAAGTTATGGAGTGAGATTGTTAGAAATTAATAAAGATATGTTGATAATTCAATTTTGATGTTCAAAGTTTAATCTTTGATTTATTGATAATTTTTTTATATTGAAATATGTTGCTAAAATTTCTTGCAAATTGAAACAATCTTATATAGAAAATATATTTTATATATTTTATGTGACAATTGCAAAATGATATATCCCAATAAAAATATTTCACACATCAGACTTTCATACTCTACTATACTTAAAAGCTCATCATGAAAACTTTAAATTGAATAACAGACAAAAAAATTCACATATTCCAAAAAATAATTTTGATTCACTTAAAAATAAATAGATGAAATGATTTAACTTGATAATCAGCAAAAGTTTTAATCAATGCACTTTCAATAATCAACTAGTTTGGACATATTTGCAATACTGAAATTATGCTTGAAACATAGTTAGTTATAAACATAGTTGGTAAAATAAAATTAATGAAGAAAAATCTCAAATTAAAAATAAAAATGTATTTAATTGAATTATATTTGATTCATTGAAAATAAATCAGTTAAAGATCAATAAATTTGATAAAAAAATATTGTTGGACTGATTCAGATCTATTCGACAACAATATGTTTTTTTGTTAACAATATACATTATGTAATCTATCTATAATGATAAAATGAATGATGATATTGATATCTTTAAGAGATAAACATAAATATATATTAAATAAATAGTTGGTCTGGTTATCTGTTAATTACAAAATTCATCATCAAGTGATATTTTTTCTATTTTCAATGTTACAAATCTAACCTTAATTGGATATCATGAAATTTTGATCAATTAATTTCATAATTGTCTCATCATTTGAAAGAAATATCAAGATCCAAATCAAATCCAAACACAATTTTACTTTTCACCACTATCAATGACACACATATGTAAATTGACTCACAAGCAAATGCTGCTTAGCATGATTCACAGGTCAGATTACGTCCTGATGGTATAATGATTAACTAACTAGATTATTGTTAGGTAGTAAAAAAGGATATATACATCAAGAGCGACATCCACACTCTTCATAATTTAGTTGGTCTTTACTTCAACAAATCATTGACAAAAATGCCATAGCAGCAGGAAACAAGATGTACATATTGTTTGGAAAATTAGAAGATTTTCCTCTTTTGCGTTCAAGGCAGAGAAAAACAGTGGATGCCTGAAGCGAAACCTGCTCTCATGGCATTACCAACAGCGGAATGGGACGAGAGAGAGAGCTATCATCAATTGGGTCATTGGTGAAAATGATGGCTCAGTTGGGTAATTCTGTATGGCGATGCTCTTCTGCGATCTGCAAGCCTTTAACAAAGCTCATCAAGCTTCTGGAAGAGGACCCTTCGGGACTGACTGCTTTGGCCGCTACGACTTTCATATTCTGGACATTCTTCCTTATGAGTTTGCCCTCTTCTGACGACAGCACTAATCGTATACCATTTTCAACTACATGTTTATCCACTTTCAACCATATCCCTGTAATAGGGTCTCGACTCGGAAGCATCACCCCCAACTTTGCTCCGTCTGCAGCAAATCTGCATGGAAGTCAACAACCTGAAGTCAATACGGAGACAGTCCGTTGCCAGCCATGCATGAATCAGGAGTCAAATCAGAAATTTAGACATAGCACATGATGTGCAGCGATCATAGATGAAGAAGGTAGGACTAACAAAAGACAGCTCAAAGAATCGGTGCACTACTCTGCGTATTCTAGACACCCACGATCTACAAAGTTCCGCAGCAGAAACAAAATGTTTTCGGAGGGCAGAATTGGAAGTTCGAGCGTACTTCACATTGGTAGGCTGATCGGCAAAAGTGGCCCATGCTATGAACGGAACGCCTCTACAGATAGTTTCCAGAGTGGAATTCCAACCTCCTTGCATGAGGAATGCGCCAGTTGCGCGATGTTCCAATATTTGCAGCTGTGGGGCCCAGCCTCTAGTGATAAGCCCCCGGCCTTTGACTCGCTCCTCAAACCCACTAGGCAGAACCTGCTCCGCCTCTTCTGCAGAGAGTCCTGGCGGCGGTCTCAACACCCACAAAAATCTGGCTTGGCTTCCCTCGAGTCCCAGTGCCAACTCGTGCACCATTTCTGTGGAGAACTTGTTGAATCCCGTGGTTCCAAAGTTTACATACACCACCGAAGTCGGTGGCTGCTCATCGAGCCATTTTAAACACTCGTCCCCGACATCGTCGTAGTTTTCATTCGAATGGCCTTTGAAGTTCTTGGCCGGTACAATCGACGATGATAGTGGACCTACTGGTATCATGTTAAGTCCCTGACAATACGTCCATCATGTCAGCAACAACTCCCACATTCTCAGGGGTTTTCCTCTTTCTGATCGTTATGAAGTAGAAAGATTCCATACGAGTGCTCGCTGCTGGACACGAAGGTTAAGACTCAGGGTTAGTTAGATGTTACAATCGGAGTGACTTCATGAGTAGATTAACCTTCTGAACTGCAAAACGTCTCAGTAGTTCCACCCACGTACCATTCTCTGAAGCTCAGCCATTGACTCATGTTCCAGTTCGGAGAACGAATTCTCCAAGATACCTGCTGATTCGTTTGCTGACCTGTTAATGAATGTCGCACCTACGCCACTTGCATTTGGGTTGGTGGCGAAGAAATTGCTGATGAGGGGACCCGGGATGATGTTTGGCCAGTGCAGTATCTTTGGCCTCGCCTTATCTTCTTCAGTCCTTGGAGAATGAAGTCTCATCAAAAGCGAAAATGCCGACATTGCGCACAATATGTATCGAGGAATTTGCAGTCTCGCAGCTGCTTGCTGCGTAGGTAATTCACAAAGCTCACATCAATCTCATGAGCAAGTAGTCTACATCAATGCAACACATTCGTATCCTGTTCAAGCAAACACAGACTTCGACAGGTTTGCGAAGAGACTTGAATCGAACTGACCACCGTCCACAGAAGAAGGAGATCGGATATGAGGCAATGATACTGAGGTTTCCCTTCTATGCCGCCGCCCGCTCCTAGCAACTCTTTGTCGAAGTACTCGTTCACAACCCGTCCAAGGGCTTCGCCGCTCGCAAGCGGGTTCCATAGTGACAGAGGTTCCTTGCTTGGAGGCAGAGCATGAAACTGCACTCCGTCTCTCAATCCATCTGTTGGCAACCCCTCCAATAGTTTTTCGTATACGAAAATCGTGCAAGTGACTCCTTCACAAGCTGCCAATCTGTCTGCCAAATGCATCATAGGAGCGATGTGAGGGATGAATTGATGGGGTATCATCATGAAGTGAACCATCGTTGTTGGTTGCTCGCTAGAACACGAAGAAATTCCTTTGTAAAGATCTTGACAACTATCAATTCTTCCTCATCTTGTATTCTGAACTCCAAGTCACTGAAACCTTCGATCACTGTATTGCGAAATTTCCCCCTAAAGCTCCGAGAGAGACCTGGGAAGGGATTGTGCGCAGACAAGGAGCATCAATTATCATTGTTTCAGAGGTCCACAAAAAGTTTACCCGAAGAGTGGAAGAGTCAAGGCCTCGAAAGTCGTCCCTGACTAAAATGACATTATTATATTAGTTATAAGTAAGTGGACCCAATCTTTCTGCTTGGGGCAATGACGCAGTTAGTGAGATGAAACTGAGACGCGTGAATTGCTGGTTGAAAACTATTTCCATTTCCAATGAAAGCAAAATTTTAGCGACTAAAAAACATCTAGTTTTAGAAAGAGGTGAAAGACTAGATAGTAGCAGCAATGATTGAACGTTGAATTTATCAAAACCATAGATTGACATTTATTATTTCATCGTATGAGCCAAAATAATAAGATATCTTGCTGAAACTTGAACACATTATTTATATTTATATGAATTTATGATTGTAATGTCATACAATGATTTGATTTTATGAAATTTTTTAAAATTTATATCACGAAAGTGATGATCGTGTACAGTAAAATATAATTTGATTAAAAAAAGTTTTAAATCTAATTTTTTATTAAATAACTATATATAATTTAAATATAAATGAGTAATTCTTATTATTTTACATATTAGAGATTAAAATTGACACTTTTCATTCTAATTGGTCAAGAAGTTTGGAGTGATGATAATTTTAGGCCGATTTGTTTAGATTTTGTGTATTTTTGGCAACTTGTGAAAGTATATATATCAAAATTGTGGAAATTTAAATCGTTAAGGAGGATAAGTTATTCATGACTTGAAGACTTAGAAATTTTCAATGACTTGAGATTTTCCTATGAGATAAAAAATTTGTAAAAGATAATCTAGGCGCACGTTTTGAAAATAGTAGTAATTAAGTGAAATTTTTGAATTACCACAAAATATATTACGAATTAGACCTGTTTCAATGAAGAAAAATTGAGTTAAGTTGAAATTAGACCTGATGTATATTGAGAATATTGAAAAAATATAATTGCAGTCACGGGCTTAGTATCCTAAAGATGATTTAGGATACTAAATCATCTTTAGTATTTTGTTACTGAAATTTTTTTCGATAGATGTTGAATGCAATAAACTTTGGATGATAATATATTTAAGGTACAAAGCTTTTATAAATTGAGTCATTATTTAAGAAGTGTGGTAAATTTGATATCCAAAGCCTTCATATTGCCGTTTGATACTAATTGATTCACACAGTCTGAATGTGTAAAGTCTTTCTCCGAATAGACTTTACACATTTTAAGGTACAAAGACAAGTGCAAGTGTGAAATTGGAGAAAACTAGACAGTATAAGTTTTAGAAACTACAATAAATTTGTATTACAGTTTCAACAATATGAACAATCAAATGGAAAATCATGATGGGAGATTCATGTACAAAAATCCACTCAAAAGTTATTAGAATGCACTACACGTCAAGTTTCTCAAATTTCTCAAACGGCCTAAGAGTGAAATAGTGTAAACATATTTAGTGTTCATATATGTATGATTTGATTGCAAATTTGTTTAGTTTTACAACGTTATCTAAAATTAGAGGGGATATGAATTCAATGGCGTATTAAACATCTTGTATACCGCATTCTTTCAAAAAGCATAAAATAAACATCTTGGTAATATAAAATATGCTGAATATATAGAACATTTCAAAATGCATTTGCTAATAATTGAAAAAAATTGATATACATAAAAAAATCCACTTCACATATGAAATCTTAACAATAGAAATTCTTAAATTCAAGACATTTTTGTGAATATTTTCATGATTTTGGAGATAATGTCCAATAAATAAAAATAAAAACTTTGAGATGAAAAACTAAGTCATTTGTGTGATTTAAGACATGCAGCATCATACTTTTTGAATAATTAGTTACTTGTTATATTTATGATAAAGCACTGTTTTTGACCCAAAATATGACAAAATGATCACAAACAACAATTATAAACTAAACATGCTTCAAAAGACTCGAACACGATATTACTTTGCAGGTCAAAGATAATTCTTTCTCGATGTTAGAGTGCAAATAGACCAAATAGGTGAAAAAAATGAAAATATAAATGATATCAAAGTAATAGTAATTTATAATTCTTAATTTGGAAAAGTTGTACACATGACTTCAGACTTCATAAAGCCAGGTTTGGGACTGGAATAGACTACGCTTACCCTGCAGTAGATGAATCCGTACTAAGCTAATGCTAGGGTAGATAGACCTAGGCGGTTTTGCTATCTATATGAGCTACGGTAATATTATAGATTGTTTATTCAAATGTGAGAATGATTAAGGGATGGGCAAATAGATTAGGACAAAATGAAGTTAAGGTGGGGCACGCACTAGTTGACAGGATTAAAGTATCAACGCGGGACATAATATCCTCTTTACATCTCTTTGAACTTAAACCTGACACACGAACCAAGAGCAAGTTAAGAATGGATGCACCTTTCTCCTTTCTCTCCCCCTCTGATCAAGGCCTCTTTGTCGAGCCTACCTAGCTGTTTAAGTATGCACAAACTTTACATAATAGCGAGCTTTGTGACCAATTAATTTGGTAATTAAATAGTTAATATCTTTGTTTGCAATATATAGGGGACAGTAGTATGATTTGTTCTAGAGAATAGAGAGAAAAATACGTTTTCTTTTTCTAGATGCACTTTTACATGCGGATGGTTTGGTTGAAAACTTTGAGAAGGAAATGATAAAAGAGAGAAGATGTTATCACACAAATTCCTATCTGGATATCAGAGTATCGTCTGAATTTCAAGGTTGGACTAGCATAGACACTTTCACATCACCAAATACAGTCTAGAGACGAGTAGATGGACCTTGAGATTGGAAGTAATGAATGAAGTTATTTGTAATATGATAACTACATGTTTAGAAGAAAGATTTTAACATCAGAAGTTAAAAGTAACTCTACTGTTGAGTAAATTTGACGGCTCATCCCAAAACAAAGTACAATAAAAGAGTTGTCTTTGCTAGGTCCAATCCGAAGATTATGCAGTCCAAAGAGAAAGAATCCAAGACTGAACAAACCGTGGTAGCAATGTTTTTAATGGAGCTGATATTAAATACTACATTCAAGCAAATGCATAAGAGAATTTCTTTGATGTAGAAGATCAAGTAACACAAAGGGAGGAAGGAAAAATACATACATGTTAAGTGGATTTTCTAATTTCTTGTTTCTCCTGACACTTAACGTAACATATGATGGGAATTGAATTCTTGCAATTCTAACTATAAATATTTTATTTTTACCTTTCACTTGAAATGATTAGCTTTGACTTTAATACAAACAACAATGTAAATTGTAAAATTTTTCAACACATCATAAATTTCAAATTTTTGTCACATATTATAAAATTATTCAAACAAAGTTTTATAAATACTACTGTATTTTACAAGTTTGAAACATCATGAATATAGTTTGAATCAGTTTACTTGTTTTGAATAAGTAGGATTTTATTTTTGGCTATTGATTGACACCTGATTATTTGAAATTTATGTAGATTATCAAAGTAATATGACAAAATTCACTCTCACGGTTTTTGAATAACAGTCAATGCATTTTATATACATTTTTCTAGGAAAATTTATCTTAAGTCAATTATGAATCTTATATCATTTTTGTGTATTCATTAATTTTTATTCTTGTTAAAAAGAACGTTATGTTATACATTTGGATAATCTGTTTATTAATTCTACTATCTTAAATCAAATCAAGAGCATAAATATACAAGATGAACTCATGATATACAAAATGGTATGAATTTTAATTATGTAAACGCAAAACAAAAAAGAACTTAGTGACACGCTCATGCTAACAACCAAACCATCAACACGAGAGACATTAGCATAGAACGTGGTTCACCCTCAAGGGATACGTCCACAGAGGAATACACGCGAGAGACTTTATTGATAAGGTGAAAAGATAACAATGCACGCGAGAGACTTTACTGCTAAGGTGAAAACATAACAATGCGTGCAGCGTAGAAGCATCAAGGTGTATATATATTCAACACAGGCGATCAATCTCATCTATAAATAGTTACACATGAGGTTACTCCTTAACCGGAGTTAACCTCAATAATCTCCCTCTTAACTCATGTTAAGTAATCTCATTCACCTCTCTCACGTATATTATTATTTTGCAGGAAGTTCTAAATGGTATACTAACTCAAGATTACTCTTGAAACAAGAGTTAACTAAAACTAAGCAGTAGCCATAATATGATGAAGTAATAATATAAAGAGATAACAAAAAAACATGTATCTCTCTTAACTTGATTTAAACAATCTCATTTATCTCTCTAACCTATATTATTACTCTACGGGAAGTTCTAAACGTAAACCTAACACAAAGCTTAGCTTTAAACAAGAATTAACTGGAACTAAGTCATAGCCATCACAAGATAGAGTAAATATGTAAATAGATGATTGAAGATACTATGCTAGCAATAATCTATTGTGCTCCCTACGCACAACCTGCATAGTAGCACAATGTCGTCTGAAACTCTCCAAAAGAATAACTCTGATCAACGCATGAACTAAATTGAGTTTAACGTCGATATGTAAGAACAGATGTTGTATGTGTGAAATAGAATTAAAAGTAGCCAAAGAGTTAATCATAGTTACTTTAGTTACGACTAAGTCTAGCTAGTTATAACTAAGTTTATCAAATTATAACTATGTTTAGTTATAATGTTTAAACTTGGCAAAATAACTAGAGAAGTTGCAGAAGATGTGAGTGAACACATCTATTTTGTCTTGTACAAAAATCTAGATTCCAAAAGAAAAGACTTTTGACTTCATGTTTAATTTTGATTGGTTTGACTATGTACTGGGGACTTCATTGATTAGACTAAGTCTTATGTTGACTTAGTGGCAAGTGGAGTATCTAGAAGTTGGAAAGACACAAATGACATGTTGGCATCTCAATCTAGGAATTAATAAACATCTAGAAGGTTTTGGAGCCCAATGGCATGTTGACACGTATTGATAACTAGTCAAAC